ATATGGTCGATCGGGTCGGGTCGCTCCCCCCCGCCCCGCTCATAACAAGTATAGGGACCCCACAACGTAGGGGGGGGTTATATTTTTACCCAGGGACCCCCCCCTCTAAAAAAATAACCAGCCCCCCTTTAATCAAGGAAAAACACAAATAGTCCGGGGGAGAAAAAAAAGGCCCGAAAAGCGTCCGTAACCTCTTCGGGGGGGGGGGGGGGGGGGAAGAACAACAGTTAAATGTGTTGCCAGCCACAGTGAAATGTCATCTCGGTGGTAGTTAGGAGAACCTGAGTGAACTCAGCAATATCCGCAACATACATGTTTTTACTTGAGCCGCCGGATGAGTTGTAGGACTCTCCCCTAGGCCACAAAGGCAATGACCTTGCAAGCGATCAGTGACTGCTCCCTCTTTAGCTGGCACAGAGGAAATTTAATTCTCGGATTGGAACCGGCGAGAACATAATGATATAATGATATGAAGGGAAGTCCAAGATTGGCAGAACACAGCTTCAAAAAAAGCTCCCCCTCCAGAAGGCGATTGAACGGGTGAGCAAGGGTAAAAGAAAGCCACGAAAGGAGTAAGAGAGACTGCAAACTTTGTGGCCGTGTGTGGAGGATAGAGCTGTGGGGGTTGTCTCATGTAATGGTCGAGGGAAGAAGCCTTGGAAGCCCAGCTACCCTTGCTTGCCACTCATTGTAGACGGACACGCAAAGGGTACAAAGGATAGAAAAAGCGAATGTTGAAGAAGCCAGTGGCATAAAGTACTCAAAAGGTAGATGAATGAGATATTTTTTATTCAGCCAAGGTAGATCGTTTATTACTTTTCCCCTGCCCTTATAGCAAAGCTCCCATTAAGGTGCCCGAGGACGTGCCGAAGGAGAAGGGGGCTTGAATTGCTTGAGACACAAATAAATATAATTGAAATGGTTTTCTAGCAGTTAAATTAACAAATTACAATAGGGGATGTGGTATATCTGCGTTGCAGTTTCCTGGACGTCAGGTAAGGCGGGCTGTGGGTGGGGGAAAGGAGGCCGGGAATTGGAGGTGTGACTAAGGGGAGAAAAATAAGAAAATGCCGAATCAATTCGTTTGACTGGTCTCTAGTTATGACAATATTATTTTCTTGGTAGAATTATCCACTCTCGCTTTTATCGCTTCCTGATAGTTCCATCTCAACCCTGAGCTTTCTCAGCGTTGATCAAATATCTGGCCCATCCATCCACGTACTCGTTGACGGTTGGAGTCTGAGCGCTCGGTGGGTGGTGGGCAATAAAGAGGGCAGAGGCGGTTTTGTAGATAACGATACCCTCCTTTTCCTATCGGTGGGGAGCGAAGTTAGCATTTATCCTATATAACTGGTCGCACCCAGAAAGATGAGGTGTAAGTGCGTCTCGCAAAATCGAGAGAGTGAGTGTGTGAGAGAGAACGGTGTGAGTAACCTTTCGGCCAATGAGGCAATCCGGGTCCTTGTCCGATCTTACAAAGAAGTATTTCTCGCCGGCATAGTAGAAACCATTTGTTTGTACTTCCTTTGGTTCATCATCCTTGGTATCTGCGAAAGAGCTCAGGATAAAGGCGATTTCGTTTGGCTGGGCCTAATAGGAATCTGTCAACTGTGGCGCAATTTAAAGGAGGCCGAGGTTGTTCTGGTTCCGGCTACCAGCATTTGTGAAATTGAATGTCCCATACCGTGAAACCCTGAGAGCTAGCACATGGCGAGTTGGCGTACTGTGGATCCGTACTATAGATAGCCGCCTTGTCGATTCCCGGACACTGCAATAGGCTGCAGAAAGTGATCCGAATTAGTACAGAGTTTCCAGTCCATGAACTCGAGGGACTCTGTTCCGCAACTGACGGGCATGGCGGAAAGCAGAAGAAGTGGTATCAGATTATATATACCCATTGTGATAGTCTGATCAGATCAAGGGAAGTCAGCACCCGGAACCCATCTTGACCGAATGCACAACTTGGCAATGGATAATGAACAGACAAAATATACATACCTGGCCAACCAACAGGCTTATTGACAGATGGGTCTGTCATTTTTTTTTTTTTAGTTTTCAGAACGATATATTAAAAAGTGGTCTATATGAATAGCGAAACGAGTCGCTTCACCGGAAAAAGAGAGGATCAGCACAAGTAGTTGATGGGCCGAGGGAAGGGGGACGGAAGTGGAAGTTACCGATACACAGCTGACCCAGTAAGATGGAGTGACTGGAACAGAGTTCCGCAGACAGGAGTCTCGTGCTGGGACAGGGGGAAGTGGGTGAGTGTATAGATATGTGATGGCAGTGGGATGGCTGGGGAGTAGTTGAAAATCAGAGGAGGAGAGTAGATGATGATATGTTTTTTGTTACGTAGGAACGTCCAAGAAAAATAATATGGGACAAAATTTGCTGGGCGCAGAGAGGGGAAGTCTTACTAATCAATCCATCATTAGTTAACGTAATCTGTAACAACCAAGTTACTGCCTGCAACCCACACCTTCAGCAAATCTGCAATTAACAAGCATATTATATGGATTTTTACCAAAATATATTACGCTCAACTACCTCTATTTAAATAAATTGAAATTCACTAGATCAGGGCATCATATTCTTGTATGTCCAATTGTGCCGCAATTGCTGCATCTTTGTGACATCCTGAGCATAGCCTAGGCTCTAAGGTAGCGGGCATCAAAGAATTGAATCTCTAGCTGTTTAACGGGCTCAGCACTTTATTTCTTGTCAAACCATCTTCACATTGAATTCAACGACTAGATTTTATATACTTTAATTTTGTTATAGTAGGTATAGTATATATTACTTCTAATTTAAGAAAGCAAAAAAAGAAAATTATATTAAAATAATTGCTAAAGAAATAGAATAATCTTCTTTGATATATATTTTAATGATATTTATTATTATTATTATATTATTCATTTGAGATATATGCAGTCATTGACTATGACATCTACTTAATTATATTAGAATTTAACTATTTTATAAATCTTATATATAACTGACTATACAAGTTAAAACATACAATTAAAGTGTTTCATTTCAGAATAATATAGTATTTAGACAGACTTATCATAGAAGATATAATTATATATATTTAGTTCAATATAACCTAACAATAATGAAAAAAATAACAAATATAGAAACAACTAATAAATAAATTATTAATAAAATAGAAGAAATAATTGTCTTAAAATCTCAGAAAAGAAAATCTCAATAGACTATTAAAAATAACAAATAATGATAAAAAAGTAATAATGATAAAAAAAAATTACATAGAGTGAAATGATCTTTAAGCTTTTAATGTTTATTAATGACACAGATTAAGTAACAAATTCTAGAGTTAGTAGAAATTCTATCTGATTTTAAAACTTACTCTCTAGAGAAAGTCCTTGTTTTCTCTATATAGTCAATCAAAAACTTTATTTCTAGTTCAGAATAAAAGAGAAAGAGCATGATTAATTGAACAATAGAGTAATTTTTTATGTTTCTTTTTAATGTCATTATTTAGTAAACAGCTCATTAAATTATAATCTGAATTCACAACTAAATCACAGAAATCATATATATCTAAGCTTGTGAAACCTTCATTTTTTTAAAAATTAAATTTAAAATAGTCATATCTTAGTTTCAATTATATTATCACAAGTAGAAAAAATTATTTTCTTATATTTTATTGAAAACAACTTTAATTTTAACTTCATTTTTGTAATAGATGTGCTACTTAATACAGCCCTAGCGCTTTCTTATAGAACAAAAAAGAAATGCATTAGAAGGAAAAAATAAAATAAAATAAAAGCTATAAATATAAAAGCAAAGTTTTATACAGATTAAATCAGAAGAGAAATAATTCAGATAAAAGTTTTAATTATGAAAGATTATCACTCAGACATCTGTCTATTATAATTTCATATCTTGTATATTGAATATTTTTCTATTTTCTCAAAGCTCAGTTTATTTATTAAAGTATAATTCTTTTATCTTTTCATTAATATAAGATTAAAGAATAATCTTTTGAAGTTTTCTTTTAAGTTTCAGTGTTAATTTTTATTATTAAATCTACTTTCTTATTTTTTAAAGTGTCTATAACTACAAACTAGTACTTATAATAGATAAATTTAATTGTCTTTTCTCTTAGCTTAAATTTTTTTTATTATTTTTTGAATCAATTTAAGATTTATTTAATTATATTAAATTTCATATTTTTAATCTTTTACTATAGCTTGACTACTTAAAAATAATTTGTATTTTTAATAATAGATTTTTTAAAAACTATTTTATACACTAGTGTAAATACTCTTGAGTTGTAAATAATTTAACATTAAAAATCTTATAACTTTTAAGATTTTAAAAATATAATTTATATTATAAGTACATTTTAAAGTATATCAAAGTTAAACTTATTGTTTACAAATTCATGAGATTATCAAATTTAAAGTGAATATTACTAGTTCAATAAATACATTTCACTTCAATCTCAATGTTATTAAGTTAGTCAGAAAGTATCTACTCAAAAATAGTTAGAGATAGCTAATAATTTAACTGAAAAACTTGCTTTTATACAAGTAGCCACTTCTCCTATTCTTGTTTAAACAGTTCTATTCAAAGATTCAAAATCTGAAAAGAAAAAGATTTAAAATCTAAAGAAGAAATAGTATATAAATAAGAAAAGCTAGCTCAGTTAAAGAGACAATGTCTTTTTCTAAAGGCTCTTAAATAGAGAAGTAATAAGCCTATTTCAAAGTTCAAAATTTATTTTAAAACTAAAAAATAAATTAAATCAATACCTTCATTCAGTTGCAATAAATATAAAGATAATTTTTACTATAAATATCTTCTTTATATGAAACTGTTTAGTTATTATAACATTGTTTAAATTTTCTTCCAACTTTCTTACTCAAAAAGAAGAAAAATAAAGATCTCTATTTGAAGAAAAACTATAAAAGTATTCAAATTTCTATCTTGAGTATCTATTTATATAAAAATTTTAGAAAATAAAAAAGTAAATGTAATAGTAAAAACCTATATTGAAATTTAAAAAGCAACTCAAAAATTGTCTTTTTAATCTTATATTAAAAGAAGAATTGAAAAGTTATATTTTGGTATGATAAAGAAATAAAGCTTTTAAAAAATAGTCAATATACAAGATCTGAAATAAAATTAAAGTGAAAATCTTCATTAAGTGCAAAAATATTATATCTTCTATAGTATAATTGAAACTTAAATATAACTAATTTAAATTTTATATGAAAAGATTTAAAAATTCTACAAATTTAGATAAAGGTGATTTTTGTAACTTAGTTAGAAGTTCAGATTATATTTTAATAAACTGCTTTTTAAATAAAAATGTTCAAAAGAAATTTGATGTACTTTATTAGTCAATTAAATATATATTTTCTTTTTAGTACTAAGTTAGAAAGTTTTAATTAACTTCATAGAGAAAACAGAAAATTCATTTAACTAGTTAACTAGAGAATAAATTTCCAACTTGTATAAGATCTTTATCTAAAGTGACTCTATGATTGATAGGTATCAGATATAGATATCACTTTACTTTTTATATTTTTATTGATCTAATACTATTGTCTTTAAACTGTTATTTTTCTTTTTGTTTCTTTTTTTTTCTTTTGTTTTATTTTATAATTTCTATTCTTTTAATTATTTTTACTAGTTTTCTTAAAATTGAAAACATAATAGCTTGCTTTCTACTATATGTCTGTTTAAATGCTGTTTTATTCTAGGATGAAATGCTATAATTGCATGAGTTAATTTGTACTTGTAAATTAAATCTATAAAATAGTTAAATTCCAGCTTAACCAAATAAATATCATAGTCTTTGACTGCATACACTTATAGTAATAATAATAATTTTTTTACACTACATGAGCATGATTGATTGCAATACATTACATTGTTGCATAATTCTTGACACTGCTGGCTCCTCTCAGTGATACTTCTACTTTCTCACCTTTATACAAGATGGTTATATAAATCATTACTGCAGAAGATTATGAGAATTATACCACTGATGAAGTCTAGGAGGCGCTCCTACCCCCCCCAATCAGGTAGGACGGCATCTTGTCACAATTCCATGAACGACGGGAGCTTGATAGAAGCTCTATATAGATAGCTAATCTGACCCACTGTTCAGAGGGTCAGCGATTCGTTCTCAATATATCAGGGTTACTGGAATACGCATACAATTAATTCACTTGTACCCTCAATTCTTAATACCACTTCTATTTGTAGGCATACGCTTGTCTGCTTTGTCTGCTTCCTTAACTAGTCAAGCCCACCCGTTCGGCTTCCCATATAACCATCCCTACGTGAACCGTCTCGGCGCCGCCTCCTTACATCTTGACAGCAAATCCATCTGCAGGTCACTCAATTGTTTTATCATCAATTTCCTTCTTTGACTTGCTGTGATCCTGTGATCCTCATCTGACTGCTTGAAAACTGTACAGAAAAGATGAGAACTCATCTTCTTATCAGTGAATTGAAATAAAACTTTTCTATCCACACAGCCAGGGTGGATGAGCGTGTTATCCAGATGCTGGATGAGGTTCGTCGAAATAATTAGAAATTGACCTTGTGAAGACATACTGTCGGGGGCATTAAGAAGGGTGGACAGAGATACATATCCATGAAAATTGCTCTTCTGCGAAGGGTCTACCACCTGGCCGGCGTTTTCTGTCGTTTCACCGTCTTCCGTTCGCGTTGTTCTAGCAACATTGATATCTTCTAAGAGAATGACACAACCTGCGGGGAAGCTGGGCAAACAAGCTGTTCAGGCAGCTGTTGTCGATGCTTGAAAGATTGAGTACATAGATATCCAACTCAAAACGGCCGGCGACAGATGAGCTGAAACTGGACTATTTATGGGAAAAGACTTGCGAGGAACAAATCTGAGAATAGATGTCCATAGTTTCCTGCGGCTGCCCAAATAACATATTTATCAATGCCAGGCAGTAGAAAAACTGAAAAGCAGGGATGTCCTCGGGAGAAAAGAATAGATTAGCAGGAAAGCAATAAGAATGAAAAAGAAAAGTTCGCTCTCGAGAAAGCTATTCATATAGAACTCGGAGACAGAAGCAGACGGATTCAAACAAGGAAATCAGACAGTGACATATTAGGAGTCACTCAAAATCGTATGACCACAAGCCCAGGTGCATGGTGCCGGATGGTCCTTTCTGCAAGCGCCCCTCGTACCAGCAGTTAATTAGTCATTTGAAAATCTGATATAAATTGTTAGGCATGACGGGACTTCTGCATAGTAACCGCTGAGATGCTCACCTACATTAATAAACACAGCAAAGTGCATAAAGGCACTTTGGTTTTCAACTCATCATCACCTTGATGTCTATCATGGTGTCGGCAAGGGTTTCTTAAGCTATTCTCTTACAACTCACTCACCTTTCAAATTGTTTTAAAGAATGGCTATGCTTGAAGCAGTGAAATCTCATGAATCAACGAGGCAACAAATGCCCAGATACCACTTGGAGCCGTTGTAATGTGTCTGATTAGAGAGGCGAAAGCTCTGTCCTTATGACCTGTCAATTTCCATTGCGACAAATCAGACGTTCTATGATCAAAAAGGGCTGTGGTAATTCCAATTCAGGCATAGTAAAGCGGTTAAAGGTTGTGTAGCTTTGCGATAAACCGGGCTGCTAGACCAGAAGCCATGAAGCTGTGATGATGCGAAGCATCGCGATTCACTGCTGTGGCTCGTGGCTCGTGACTTGAGGAGCCTCCTCGCCGCCGCCCCGCAAGCACAAAATACGTCTGCCCGCCCACGTTGGGCAACGAAGACAGGATCGGAGAATGGACGGACGAGTTTTTTAAGTGCGTGCTGGGGATCATGGGCAGTTGCAAACAGGCTGTGCACATCCAAGGACGCGAATGATTTGCGAATAACTAGTTAATCTGTACCAACGAGAACAGACATCAAATCCTGACCGTTGAAAAACGAAAAATAATAACCCGATGGTTAACTATATCAACTCCTTGAAACCAATTCGCTGGAAATTGACCCTGCGACAATTAGACAAAGTTTGGGAAACCGTCAAATCTAACTCCGGATGGGGCATCTTGGTGGTTTCAGCTGCGGGCTAAGTCTCTTCGATATAGTTTCTGTCGAACAGCGCCTGAAAAAGCATCGAAAAGCCCCAATCAGCAAAATTCAAGAGAAACACTTAAGGAATTCAGCGTCTAATTACAGGGCGGCTTTCCCTTTACTTGAAGAGAGCGTTGTGGTTGGCCGGGTTGGCTGACAACCCCGTTCGGTCCCCTCTGCTCCAAATAATAAGCGATAATGACGAGCCTTTTGCCGTCCCCTGTCTAGTCCAAACACAATTGGAACCCGGGATCAGAGCAGTCATATTGGTGGCTGTAGGGATGAAGGCATGATTAAATTCCTTGGGCCTCCTAGAAGAGAGCGCGGCACAAACCCTGCCGTTACTGGCTGATGCCTTGCCGGGTCCCGCCGTTGGCCTGAACATGCAATTTGACATCCTAGTCGCCATCGAATGTTTGACCAGTGACGGTTGACAGCCCTACCAGTGCTGGAAACTGACACGATATGGATAATCTCCTTTCCTTGAGTTATACCGCTCGTGCTTAATGTGTTGCGCATACTGGCTTTGGCAAAACATGTGTATCGGGGATTTATGCTGTTATTATTATTACGACCAATTAACCACTCGTGATAAGAGCGCTAATATCTCCAATGTGTTTCAGCAATCTAGATGTCTGCAAGGTCCAATCCACCCATTCACCTATATCCATGTCCCATATCCAGAGAACAAATTTGAATGGTGCAACGCTCGACGATGGAGGATAATATCAGCCTGGGGCATGCAGGCGCCACCACTTCTGCCCATGTACCTTATTTGAACCGCTGTCGCCGTCGCGAGACTGTTGTGAAGCTTTCTGTTTTCCCTCTGCGTCCTGTCATTCCCGTCGTTTCTTCTTCATTCCTATCCTACATTCCTTTACACCTCCCATTCTCTTTTTTTTTACCCAGCACTTTACACATTAATTTTTTTTTTATTTTTTTTTTAATTTTATTTTTATTTTTGGCTTTCTGGGAAGCTGTCCATTCATTTGGGGACCTTTTATCCCCTATTCTTGGTTTTGGGCTCGCTATTCTTCTCTCCGTCTATATTGGGTCATTCGAAGCGTAGCCTAACCTGCAGAACCAGATCTCAAGTTATAGTGGAATCATTTAAAATGAGACAGCGTGCAAATACGACCGGTGACACCACCTCACGGCGTACACTCAATAACGTATCTGCGTTTCCCTATTTTGGCCTGCAGGACGCTGTCCAATCCTCAGCTGGTAACACAGGCTCTAAGAGAAACAATACCGCTACTATCAATATCAGTTCGCAGCGGGAGAGGTGGAAGGTCCCTCCCGCTTTCGATTTTCAGTTGTCATCTGAACCGGAACAAATCCCCTCCCCACATTTTCAAGACTTTAACACATCCGACAATGGAACTATGATGATAGGCGTCGCGTTAGGGAGCCCCACGATGCACAGGACTCAGCAATCCGGACCGTGGTGTACAGTATCCACAGCGCTACTAGATGCCAGGTCGGTAAGAGTGGAAGATAGAGATACTGAAAAGTTGAAGCCCAAGGCGACGAAATGGAAACAAATCAGCGGCCTCTTCAAATCGAAGAATCCAGTGCCTCCCCCCGATACACCGATTTACCAAGTTCCACTTAACGATCGATCCGTAACCTCCCACGGAGGCCGTGATTCACCAGAGGATTCTCATATTCGCCCAAACCACGCTTATCAGCCTTGGGATGATTTCCAGAATAATAAACTTAAAGAAGCAGGGAAGGTGGATGGGAGTGTTACGAGACCACCAAAAAAGATGAAGGAATCTAAGAAATTGGTTAAATATATTGATATAGAGTCACTGAAATCTAGCCCGAAGAAGAGTGTTCAGCAAGATAAACACTTGCCCTTGCTTTCGAAGGAAATCGCATCTCTTCCCACCACTTCATCAGGAGCACCGGATCTATGTTCCCCATTGCTCACAGTTGATATCCCTGATATCCACCTTGAGAGGTACAGTGTAATGTTTGGCACCGTACTCGGCAAACCACCCCCTTCGACATTATTGGCCAAACGAAGCAGGACTCTTGATATGCTGAGGACTCATGATGAAGAAGTGAGTTTTGTGAACTTTTCTCAAGTCTGCCTTGGTGTTCTCTAACCTGTCATGCAAAAGCAGGAACTGGGAGGTGGCCTTATGCCTCCACCTAAACACTTGACATCTCCGCTTCTAGCCAAGTCGCCGACGTTTACCCTTTTTCCGGCAACACCAACATCCAAACCGTCTAAGTTACCCAATGCTTCTAATTTTACTGTTCCTGGCAAGCCTTTACAGAGATCCAATACCGCTCCACCCTCTCCTCGCAGGGTAGTGAACGAGATTATCGTCCCTGCAAAGGATATTCCTATCCCGACCCCCCAGGCAAGAATGTCATCCCTGCCAACGTCTTCAAGCTCTCAAAGCCAATGGGCGCCGGAAGGGTCATCATTTTTATCAACTGGATCAGGGTCGTCGTCGACGTCGGATGACAGCGACTCTTGCAGAGAGGATGAGATCATATTATTCAACTTTAAACATGCTCGTATCAAAACTCCCGATGATAATATTTGGGAAATACTCAATCCTAGAGTGCGCGTTGAGTTACCCTCTACGACTCTAAAAGACCCTGGACGAACACTCCAAAAAGAACAATCGGAGGGACCTGATTCTTCGAATGGCGCCGCCAAGGTGAAAGCTCGAAGTCATTTACACAAATCTGGAACAAAGTTGAGGCCTGAACCCGAGTCCAAAACACAGGTGAATTATTCCACTTCATCCCAAACGAAATCAGAAACGAAATCGGGATCCAAGTCCTCAACACCTCAACCGCTTCACTCCCACCCGACCGTTGACCAACTGGCGAAACCCCCGCCTCCACCCCCCCAGCGAAAGCCTCCCCCAGTACCCTCAGACCCAGCTGCTGCCCTTCCTCCAAAAATGGTCACATCCCTTTCCAAGCAACCTCCACCCAATACAAGATTAAAATCAAAGTCCCTTTTACCACCTAGAAATGCAGTTAGGCATAATCCCCCTGCCGTCGCTGTCGCGCGAACTGCCGAGATATCTGTTGCCCGCTCAATTTCTGTGGCAAAGCGAACAAAGCAGCAGATGACTGTTCCCATAAGCGCGATGCGGAGTGATTCTCTTCTCTGTGATGATGAGCGATTTGGTGAGAAGAGGGCGGTCGTGCCTACGCTAATATCCGTGCCGAAGGGGCATGGGCGGGGGAGGTCGCAGCAGGCTCCAATTGAAATTGTGTAGTCCTGGGAAGTGTTGTATTCGTTGGTTGATTTTACGGCTGTATTTTGGGAGTTTGGATTTGTGTATTTGGTTCCCGAATGGTGTTCTGGGTTTTCGTCTTTTGGATTCATTTGATTGACTTTGGTTGTACGCCTCGAAAATGAGCTATGTTCTTGGAAATACTTACTTGCAGACATGACACCTTTTTCTTATCACTTTTGCATATTTTATATTTCTTTTGCGCTTCCTGTTTGTTCATCTTTATTCCCCCTGTTCCCTTTTTCCGATTGGGTGTTCATTATCCTTGTATATTGGAGACTCAGCTACCACCTTTCCGTTATGAATTTGCTCAAGTTATCATCACTCCCCAGTTGCGATATTTCACCATTTCATCCTATCTCTAGGATATCATTTTGTTATATAGTTTCCACCGTCGGCTATTCTAAAACGGTATTTAGAAATAGATTTCTCGCAAAGTCTTGCGGTTTTCGCTTCACTTACAGGTCGATTAAAGGCATATGAAACGTATTGGATATGCACCTGACTGTGTTATGTGACTAAAGCTAGAAGGGATGATAGCTTGAAAATACTCCCTTTCCATGAAAGAATTTTTATCCATTGAGCCATGCATAGATCAATCTAACAACCCGCCTGTTTTGAGTTTTATTTCAATATCTATACATCCAATCTAACTCCTATTTACAAACCTAGCATACCACACTCCATTCCATGCCAATGTAAGCATCACTAATCACCCTCACGGTCACATTCAATTTTTCCCCGGCATCCTCATGGTCTTTGTGCTTGGTCTTGCTTTTGCCCTTCTCATCAGCACCTACTTCAAGCTCATGACTGTCATCATTATTCCATCCCTCAGGAAATCTTATCTTAGCTCTGGCAACGACATTCCCCCTGTCTCCAGGCCTGGAGGTGCTACTGGAAGAAGACCAGGATACACGTTTGAGCGCCAGGATATTTTCTCTCACTCCTCCGCTATCAACCCCAGTCGCACGAGGGTTTGAAGTAACAAGCACGAACCAGCTCTCCGTCTGCGGTTTGGGGAAATGTGGCGCGTAAACGCGGAATGACTGATCGTCACCTTGAGTCGTAGTTCTTCGCCGCGGGTGCGAAGGCAGGGGATGCTTCCGGGTTAGAGAGACCGTCAAACCTGCGGGTGATGGATCTAATATAGATATTGAGACAACAGGAAGGAGAAAGAGAGCTTGATAAAACTGAGAGGATAGCTGTGTGGATAGGTTGAGTGTATGGGGGAGGGATGTGAGAGTTGATTGGGGAAGGGCGAGAAGGGATGGAAGGGATGCTGGAAGTTGCGTTGGATTTGGTGACTCGTTTGCGGCCGGGGCAATGCCAGGGAGAATAGAGAGGGGATGGTCGTCTGGCCAGCGGGCAGACTTTATGCATTGTAAGAGGGTCATCATCATTGTGCAAGCGTTGGGGTAGCCCAGTTCTGCTAAAATGTCGATACATGCTTGGATGATTCGGATGCCTTGGTCTAGAACGGAGATTTGGTCGCCAACGTAATCAGTTATGGGAAGGTCGATGCGAGACATGAAGGCCTGGAGGAGTAAAAAGGCTTTGATGTGCGGATCCCACAGGGGTTGAGATGTCCCCATGGCTGTAATTGGAAGAGGGAGATTTTGTGCCAGCTCAGCGTTGATCAGGTCTTCATTGTGGCGGACAGGGAGCTCGTCGAATTCCGTGGCGCAACACATCCAGCTGAGTACGTCGCTAAAGGTGGGATTCGGTTTTGCGCGGGACATGACGAAACGAACTGTTTTATGCGAAAGATAGTAATAACTCATTATCTTCCCGAACGGGGTTGGGTCAACAAAGCCTGTTGACGAGTCAAATAGAACGCAGGAGGATTCTGCAAGTTCGGTTAAGCATTGATCTACCAATTCGACTATGAAATCTGATGCGATTTGTTGTGCTGTCATGGTGTTGTGTTCTTCAGCGGATATTACAAGCCCGTAGTAAGAAGGGTTCTTATGCAGACGACGGAAAAAGAACGTCCAGGTCAGGTAGTCCAGGGCATCCTGCTTTGTTGTAATGGTACCTGCAGAAACCTCGGCGGCCAAATGGTCATGGAGGACTTTGTGGAGTGTGGACTCCACAGGGAAGCCTGTGTGGAGGAAGTGCTTGTAAAACGCCTTTTTAGAACCCTGTGTAAATATACGCGCGATACCTGACGTGTCAAACTGTGGCCTCCCAGCGCGTCCCAACATTTGCAGAACATCTGTAAGGTCCATATCTTTGTACCCTTCAATCTTTGCATCGAAAAACTGTGTCCCTTTCACGACCACTAGATGAGCGGGAAGGTTGACACCCCATGCGAGAGTACTGGTTGCAACGAGAATCTGAATTTTGTTATTCGCGAAGAGCTCCTCTGATAGCTGCCTGTCCGATTCAACAAGGCCGGCATGGTGGAGGGCGATTCCGAAACCGAGAGCCTCTTTAAGCGCCTCATCCTTGACTCGAGAAAGATTTAGCTGTAAGTCTTCTTCGGGCATATGAAGGAACCGCCGTGGGTTATCTTCCATGCCACAGAAGTTGATCAGGTCCTTTGCTGTAAGACGTGTTTGCCTTCGAGATGCCACGAAGACAATCACGGGTTTGTCCGGGGAGTGATTTTTGATAGCTAAGAAGGTAGGCCGATTCATCGACTGCATCAGTGGACAGAAGCCACGTTGTTCTGGAAAGCCGTCGATGTATATCTCTAACGGAACAGGTCGTACAGAGTGGCGGAAGTTGAAAAGCCCTTCTTTAACTCCCAACCAGTTTCCAAGATCAGTTGCATTCGCACATGCCGTGGACATGCCAAGGAGGCGAACGGCGCCTTTAGATTGGGAAGCTATGTAATTCATTCTGGAAACAATGATTTCCAAAATGGGTCCTCTGTTACTACCAAGAAGGTGGATTTCGTCAATAATCACTAAGCTAACTTGACGAACATAGCCTCTTGTTTGCCAACTTCGGGAAATACCGTCCCATTTTTCGGGGGTGGTGATAATAATGTCAGCGTCCCTGATTGTTCTCGTGTCTGGAGTGTTGTCTCCAGTCAATTCTACCAATTTTAGACCCATAGGAACAGTTAAGCGACGCTTCCAGTCGTGCACTCGTTCTCTAACAAGCGCCTTCATGGGTGCAATGTAAACAACCTTAGAACCTGGTCTTTCGCGAAATGCCCACCACATTGCGAGTTCTGCTGCGACCGTTTTGCCACTCCCCGTGGGGGAACCCAAGAGAACATTAGTGGGAGTGTGATAGAGGGTGTGGAATATCTGCGTCTGCATGGGGTTGAAGAATTGAAACCTTTGTCCATATATTTCTTCTAGAATCGGATTCTTTAGTGCGGAAATTGGAAGGGGTTGCAGATTTAATAAATCGGTATATACACTTTCCGTATCTGGACGGATTAGATGCTGAAATGAAACGGGAGTCACTGTTTCTGCTCCGAGCCAGCGATCAGAAATTGCACGGACATATATCTGACTAGGTAGAGGATCGGACAGAGGAATTGTGAAATTCAACTCGTGATCATCGTTGAGTTTCTTGCGGCTCAAAATGAAATACTCATGATGATAGATTTCCGATGTCTCCGAGTTTTCGACCCATATCCAGTATGACTCCGATGTCCCGTGATGTCTATCATTCCAGCGGAACTCAGGATACAGATAAAGATGGATGCGAAGAACATCACGATTGAGAGGCGCAATTTCGGCTTCCACAGCCAGTGTTGGAAAATTATCTAGGAGTTTCGAAATAGTGTTGCCCATGCGGTTGTTGTGGACGAGTTGGCCGATTTCAGCAGGTTCCATATCCCTTAATGATTCGATAGATGACGATGGGAACTTTTCATCCAAGTTCTTCAGAACTGGTTGAGGAAGGTCGAATTGGTGGAAGGGATGCTGGAACGGCCAGATTTGCTTCTCAATCGATTTGCACGTAGACAATAAGACTTGGCATTGGTATCCCCAACGCCTGTTCAGCGCAACCATGAACAGGGCGCGACAGATGCGTGCAGCGTTTTGAGCCACATACGCTGAATCGGAAACGAGAGCGAAGTCTTCAATCCTAGCCCTAGAAATGTAAGATTGCAGCAAGATATTCGTCTTCGCGTGGGCGTTATCATTGCTTCCTTCGACTTCGGTTTTAATTGCCTCCAGACGAAGTCTGTCAAGCTCTTTGAATTCGTTTTCACGAGACTGGATATTGTCAAATTCTCCACTCATGCTGATCATTTTCATGACATCTGCGTCATTGGCCATAGGATTCATCATGGAGTTGAATATTTCCACACTTGTTTGCAAGACGTAATACTGACTTGCAATTCTTCCAACATCTTTCGCGCGTAGTTCTTCGGTCAGTTCGTTAAATATGATCATCTGGCTTTGCTGCAACGTTCGTGCAGCATTGATAATCAGATCTCGTCTTCTGAGGACGAGCTGGGGATCGTCTCGAATTTCTGCCCAGTCAATACCATAACTGTGGGGATTCCGTCGCATGCGTACAAAGAGGTATGAGTATCCAAGCCATTGAACTGCCTCGGGAACAGAAGTTACTGTTCCAAGAGCGATTTCCGCGTTTAGGTTATCAACTAGTTTGCGCGAGAATCGAGATTCAATGGGTTCTTGAGAAGTTACGGCGGATAGGTAATGTTGCAATTTATTGTGCGATGTGCAAAGAAAGCCTATGCCTGTGTCCTGAAACTGTGGACGACCAGCTCGACCGAAAATTTGTAGGACATCTAAAATACCAAGGTCAATGAATTTTCCTTCTTGAGCACTGTACAGTTGAGTTCCCTTGATAATGACTGCAGCAGCAGGAAGATTGACACCCCAAGCGAGAGTTGCTGTACAACAAAGAACTTTTAGCACCCCTTCGGAAAAGAGACGCTCCATGAGGTTGCGATCAGACCTAGCCATTCCTGCATGATGGGTTCCTAAGCCGTATGGAACAAGCTCTCGAATCTCCCGACCACGACTTGTTTTGATATCTCGCAAGGCCTGCGAATAATTTTCATGTTCCACAGGGCTAAAGAGGTCTGCGCACTGGTTGTCAACCGCCATCCGACGTAGAAGTCGTGCGGCATTGAGAGTTTCTTTCCGGGAATGAACAAAGACCATGACTTGATGACCCCGTTCAAGCATCTCTCGAACTTTCTCAAAACAGACGATATCGAGATTTTCTCTAGACTTTTTGGTCCCGGCATCTCCTTTTACACCAATAAAATGTTGTTCAAGAGGGACAGGACGGAAGGAGGCATCAAAGTAGAATAAGCCCGCCATTCGGTTGACTTTGAGAAAGTCTGCAACATCGATATAGTTCGGCAGGGTAGCCGATAAGCCAACTATACGAATGAGTGACTGCGTACTCTCTACTTGCCGCTGCGTTCTTGCAACGAGAGACTCGATCACAGCTCCACGTTCGTCGTGTAACATATGGACCTCGTCAATGATTAACAGACGAACTTTCTGGACAAGTTCCGTATTCCCAGTTCCCTTGCGGGTTACAACATCCCACTTCTCAGGTGTGGTAACAATGATCTGGGTCTGCACAATCTCTTTTTTCGTCAGCTGCATATCTCCTGTCAGCTCGCGGACTTGGATTCCCAGCCAAGCAAGGCGTTTTCCTAACTTTTCCGTAACTTCTGCAGCTAGGGCCTTCATGGGGGCAACATAGACAATTTTAAATTCGTCTGTCATAACGGCGAACTCGGTGGCATCATAGTTTTCAAGGGAGTTCGGAATGGTATTTTGGGCAATCACATTCAGAATTGTCAGCACCGCAGCATCGGTTTTACCAGCACCAGTTGGTGCACATATCAGCATATTTTCGTTTGTTCCGTATGCAACGGGGTAGAGCAAGCTCTGCATTCGATTCAGTGACTTGTATCCTTTGAAGGTACCCTTGCAGAGTCCATCCATGCTTGAAATGGCAACTAATTTCTGGTCTGCACCCAGGGTTCCGACCTTGGTGGCTGGAATGGTGTATTCCGTATATCTCGGTTCTTCAACGTGGGTGCTACCAACAGGAAGGCCGTACTTTATTCCATTGACTGAGAGGGTATTTCCTGCTTGGTACGCCTTGTACACATGTGGGTAGATAGGACCTTCGCGGTTCTGCTTTTGTGCCAATTTTGCGTGTTTGTGTTCGTAATCTTGTTGTCGTAAAGCTTCTTCCCGCTGTCCTTTTGTTTGTAATCGACTAAATATATCGCTGCCTTCTGAATCTTTCATTGATGTCAATTCATCTCGGTGGGCAATAAGGTCAATCACAAAATCCAAATCATCGAATCCTACAATTTCCGTCAAGGATATCTGTAATTCATCGGGTGGGGCACTTGCACCTAACACTGAGAGAAGTTGTTGCTGCAGTTCGGAGGCATTTAAACTAGAATTCTGTTCCGCAATAGACTGACATTTATGGAAAAGCCATTGCTGGTTGTAAATTCCCTTTGGTTCAGAAATTTCTTGTCCATTCGCTTTGTCATCTACCATCGCATATGAATCATTACTTGTATCCTCATCCTCACTGATCATGTCCCATAGATCCTCAACTGATTCAGGAGCTGAGGCAATATCATCTTCGTCAAAGAAAAGATTATTCTCATACAGTATTGAGTCTTCGGATTTTGGGAGCTTTAAATCCGCCATAGCTTGCCTCATAACCGCCAGTTGTGAGAGCCATTGTGATTCTGCCAGTTGGATTTCAGGGGACATTGTTTGTCTGGCAGAGTGTGGGGCTAGACTTCAGAAGGAAAAAGAATAAATTGTCTGGTATTGAGATGGAAATGGCTCTCCAAATAAAACTAAGCACATAATCCAGGGCGGAATAAATGTCTGTTAACAACTTATCTTGCTTTTAGGGGACGTGAAATCCTTCGATGTCCGTGAATGCGGATAACGCAGCAAGGCCTAGCCCTAAAGAGACTAGCCGTCAGTTAACGCTCGCCTAGCGGCTATTAGCTTGGCCTTCCCTGATACTGCCAAAGCGGCGGTCGGCTTGGAATCTGCCAAACGTTCCAGGCATCAGACATACCCATCGCAACGTCCCTCGTCTCCCCGTATTCTGTTTAGTTGTTGCTGGTGCTTGCTCTAGAATAATCTGGCAGAGATCGCTTCCTGCTTCTGTACATACGCTTATTTCTTCCGATCTAATTTCTTAACTGACACGAATCCCCCTCCTGTACCCCCCTAGTTGTCAAATACCCTCCTTGGTGTCCTAATTTACACTTCGATCCGGGACAGGGACGACATATCATCTTCTCCCAATCATGACCACGACAGGGGATATCATCTATATTGGGGTATGTTCGATTCTAAATGTGTTTATTTACTGTCCTGTCCAAGACCATGCTAATATATTCCAATGTGTAAACAGTTCTTCAGTAACGACAGAGGGCAGCCTCCGGAGGAGCTTTACGGCGCAGATTCCATTGTTGATTCCATACTTACCAGGTTCATCCGAAAAAGGTGTGTAGTATGAACATATCTGCTGTTTCCCACTTCTTACCCCAGTCGCGATCCCTGTCATTTTGCAAATGTTGATAAAACGGCAACGCTGACGTTACGATTCCTGCAGCCAACTCGAGTTAATCACATTTGTATGCAAAACTCTCCTGGAAAAGGCCACTGTTAATGATACTGCTGTTACCGTTATCAAAGATGACGCAGACAGCCAGAATGTCGGCGTTCTATACTGCTTTAAACCCCATGACCGTCCCGCCACTGTCGTAGTCGCCCGGCCTTCCTATTCTGAGCAAATCGCAAGGAGTATTGCGAAAGGAGTTCAGCTGAAGATCAGAAAGGACTTTGCAGTACCACAAGATTTTGATTTAACACTCCAAAAGAGATCGAGTGTGGAGCGGAGTAAACTTGGAATCTATGATGAAGCAGTTGTGAAAGCTAAAAGCAAACTCAAGGAATATGCTCAAGATCCAGGCAAGGCTGATGAGCTTGCAAAAATCCAGCAGCAGCTGGATGACACTAAGCAGGTGCTATATCAGACCGTTGATAAAATGCTGGAGCGAGGGGAGAAGCTCGATAGTCTCATCGCGAAGAGCGACAATTTGAGCATGCAGAGCAGGGCGTTTGCTGCTCAGGCAAAGAAACAGAACTCTTGCTGTTCGGTAATGTAGGGTGGGGCGTGTTCATATTATTTTCTATTTCCATGAGTGATCGCGCAATGAGACGGGTATTGAGACTTGGTATATAATATTCACATTTGTCCCTTCTTTTTCTTTTTCTTTTTCTTCTTTTTCATTTTGGTTTCCTTTTTTTTTTCTTTTTTTCGATTCCCTATAATTTTCATTCCCTTTCCGCACATCCTCTCTCCACTTCACTTTCGCACAGCCTCTTATTTGGTTTCCTTATGACTCACGAACTGAGTTTCATACTGTTATTTTTCTGCCCATCGAGTTTAGACAGGAAGTCACATATCCACATGCCTCAATAATGACACTGTTTCAAGTAATATATATGTATGTGCCTTTTTAAGCAAGGGTCTCGCAGAAAACCCCTGAACAATTGTTGCTGTGGCATAGTTCCAGTAGCTTACTTAAGTGAATCACATGACGTCAGGCAGTTTTGTCCAACTCGAAATCACAAACAGTTTTGCAAGGCGCATCATTTGGAACTTCTACCAACAACCAGACGTCTTCCACGTCTCTCAGCCCGGCATAGAAATGTGCAGAAATGATACTAATTAGCTGAAGGCCCAGCAGCCATGGTGTCCCTTTGGCCATGGAAGGTATTATCCAACTGTTGCCCCGCATTCTCCGAACTTGGTTGAGCTCAGGAGCTGATGCATTTCTCGATGCAGGGTTCTAATACCTCACCAGCAGAGTTTGAAAAGACACTCTCTACATTATCTGCAAAGATCTCAGAGGCGATCGCCCGGCTAGATACTCATAGACAACGCTCTAGACAATACAGAGTCCTCTGGACCTTATATACTTCGTTTGCTTACATCCTCTACTCGATCATTATCACCCTTGTGCTAGGATGGCAATATTGGGGAGCAGTTGAATACTTCGCTGTGGTTGGTGGACCAGTTTTGTAAGTCCCCATGTTATGATGCTATTTTTCTGTCTACAAATGTTCTAACTTTGGTAGGATTTATGCTATACGGCTGGGTCTCGATAAATACTACCATTATCGCATCTCCGGCGCGCAAAAACATTTGGAGGAACTGCACAAACAACGGGATGCAACAATTGAGAAACTCAAGGAGGCTACTAAGTATAACTCCACGCAGCAGCTTTTAGAGAAATATGGCGGGGACTTTCACAAACGCTCTGGTTCCCAGAAAGGGGCGGCTTCCGGTCAGGGCAGCGGCGGGCCCAGTGGGAAAAAGAGGGACCCGAAGATAAGAACATCACTCTCACACCCAATTTCGAGTGGTAGAACGGGTATCTCCCCGCCTCCAACTGCAAACATACCACGACCGCAGCCTGACTCCCTGCCAACTACTCCAATCCGATCTCCACCCATGTCTGACCAGCGGGGACCTCCAGACCCATCTAATCTAAATCCCACTCCATATCCGCACAATCCCGTGCAGTGGCCTCCAGAAACTATGGACGAATTCAGTTTCACGCGTAATACGATACCAACAGCCCAACAACAGAACTATAACACTCTTCAACCTCACTGGTACGATCGAATCCTAGATGTGTTACTTGGCGAAGACGAAACACTAGCGAAAAATCGCCTGGCACTAATCTGTACAAATTGCCGTCTTGTCAACGGTCAAGCGGCCCCAGGTGTCCGAACCCTACAAGAAATCGGACGTTGGCGCTGCGGATCCTGTGGCGCGTGGAATGGCCAAGAAAGTGAGACAAAAAAGGTGCTCGCTGGGATCCAAGAGTCTGAGAGCGCTGTTGAAACCGATTCCAGCTCTAGAAGCCGTTCAGGCCAGACCTTCCGCAGCCGGAATCGAAGCCAGGATAACCCATCGGTGGTTCTGGAACAGTCAGCATCGTCCGGTTTTGTCGGAACAGAGGGGGCATGGGAACCCATTTCAGGGAAGGCTAGTGTGACCAGTGAGATTGATTCGGGGCATTTTTCTACCGGGGAGGGTACGGATGCAAGTATGCTTGTTGCGCCAACCAGTAGCGATGGCGAGGAGGGTGAATCTTGCGAAGAAGGGGAAGGTGGTAAAAATAAGGGTGTCGGTAAAGATAAGCGGGCGGAAGTGAAGGTGGAGGAAGATGAAGACAAAGTGGATAACCCGGGTCTTCGTAAGCGGGGAAGCGGGGAAGCGAGCGGGGCAATCAAGGGGAGTTGGAGCCAGATACGGGGTTGAAGCCTGAAAACGGGACTCAAATAGAAACCTGGACGCGCTCGAAGTCGCTGTGGACAGCGCCAAAGAGTTAAGATATATTGAATAGGAGGGATAGCTTAGAGTTGAAAAACTCGCCCTTCGTTCTACTTGCTGCCCTGCACTAACTACTACTCCTACATGTCCTGCCTATATTGGACCCGGTTGCCTTCTGGAATAAGGATACTGGTTTTGTTCATGTCTCACCGTCTTTCTCTTTCACTTTTCCTTGAATTCTTAGTTCATAATTAGCTGTTCGTTTTATCATCAGAAGGAAAATCATCATTTATATTAGTTGAAACTCATTTTCATGAGTGTGATCTGAGATATGATTGTTCAGAAACATGCACATATCCAAATACATATGCATTCATTCATTCATTCATTCATGTATATACACATTAAACAATGCTGAATCGACAATAACATATACACTGTCCCCCCCCACCCCCCCCAACACACACACACGCACACAAAAAAAATATAAATAAATTAAAACTCTGGGAAGAACTACACAGAATATAAAAAATACAGGAAGTTTAGATCATAATTGAACCTCCGTATAGAACGAAATAGATACATCTCATGTGATACCCAAAAAAAGGAAGCCCGCGCCCTATATACGGACAACAAGTTGTTAGCCAAGCGCGAGGTATGACGTTGAAATCGTTTGGCAAGATTGACCGGAAATGAATGGGCGATCGATCTAGTTGAAGGTTGAGAGTGAACTGTATGTACGAACATATGTGTATTGAAACGCCAATATATGCCAAAAGGATTCTTGCAATAAAATATAAAAAATAAAGTCAGATGCTGGCCCTCCTAGGCGCCATAGTCCTCCTTAAATTCTTTTTCTCCTCAGTTTCGTCTGGAATCGGAAGGCCACCCTCATTCTTCAACCGTTCCAAAAACTCGCGTCCATACGCATATCCGATCTTATAAATCTCGTCGAACTTGGCAAAATCTAGCGTTCCAAATGCATCAATTGGGGGTCGCATGTACAAACAACCTGGAGTGTTTTTCGCGGTCTCCAACGCACTGAAGGAGGACACGTAGGCAAGACGGGCTTGGATTTCGGCAAGGGTGGGCGGATTAGCGAGGGAGGAGAAAGGGTTCCAACGGTTGACCAGGGCCCAGAAGCCGGAAAGTGAGTCACCGTAAGCCTGTGGGGTATTATCGTCGATAGAGCCGACATCAATGGCGAAAATGACGTTTGCGCCAAGCGATTTCATTCGGGAAACGGGGAGGTTGTCGACATAACCGCCGTCGAGGAGCATGTTGCCTTCGTCGCACATGGGTGGGAGGAGACCAGCTAGTGACATCGACGCTCGCACGTAACGCCATACATAGCCCGACGTGTGGAATTCGTTGCACGATTTGCTGATATTGGTGGTATTGCAGTAGAATTCGAGCCAGAAGTCTTCGATTTGGCTGTCGCCAAAAGCTTTGAAAATGCCACGATTAAATTCATGCCCGGTTGTGTATGAAGCCGATGGATAGGTGAGGTCAAGAGCGAATCGCCATATGCTTCCCATGCGGCCGGCGAATTTCTTTGCACGACCATAGAGGGGCACAACATCGGCATCTCTCGCATAGAGTGCGCCAATAAAAGCACCTATTGATGTACCTCCAATTATATCGATGGGGACGCCCGCTTCTTCCAGAGCCTTGATCACCCCTACATGAGCAATTCCCCTTGCCCCTCCGCCGCCAAGAACAAGCCCAACAGATTTACCACAAAGCCGACGAGCAAGCCGGTGGAAATCGCCTTTGAATGGAGTGGTTGCTGAGTATAGAGGAGTCTGGTGAATGCGACGAGAGGTGTACTTTTGTAACTCAGCCTGCAGAACCTGCACCCGTTGTTTCAATACGGTACCAAAGCGCTTGGTTACAGGATTGGATGGCTCTGTCGTTAAACGAAACGACATTTGGATATGATGGTGTCCGCCGTTGATCCACATGCGATTTTTTAGCCATTGTCTGGTAAGCCCTGGGGGCGAGTATCTATCCAGATGCAGGAGTACGAGTTCCTTCCTAGCAGTAGTTTTCATACCAAGAAGGAATCGTTCATATTCGCCAATACTAGGGGAGCCCTCAGCGACCCCGACCAAAAGGATACAATCTGCCTGGGTAATGCAAGTTTGGGTCCAGGGAGCATTCACATTTGTATCTGCAACATAAAGTACCATACCATATCTCTCCTCCAAATCTGCTAGATACTGGGATAGTTTCAACTTACCCATTCTGCTGAATGCATGGCGGCCCAAATGATTGAGGATATCCGCTTGATGTAGAGCAGCAACCCCGTTGGTGACACCAATCTGGTTAAATGCATTCAAAAGGCGGTTCCCAAATTCTACAACGGGGACACCAGCAGTGACTGGCAAAATGGCAACAGTGCGGAGATTTAAAGTAGAGGTTCCAGTCATCGCGCTTTCTTGAATGCCTTTGTCATTGGGCTTCTCTATAAGCGGGTTAAGAATAATGTGCTTCATTCTCTGGGCGATCAGTTTGGAGATTTGGATGGTAATGTTGGGATGTTCCTGTGCAAGGCTATTGAACAGAGTTTTCGGGAATTTTGCTAGTTCAGTATCACGGATGGCATGGAGGGTAGCGGGCCGCGTCGACTCAGTCATAACTTCCAACTCCCCGACACTATCACCTTGACCGTACTCTCCCATGACGCTCACTTTACCATCACCTTTCTCCCAAAGAGACCGAAGACGACCATTAAGGACAATGTAGATCGCATCGCTTTCATCGCCTTGGTGATAAATAACTTCGCCGGCGTTAACTTGAACCCATTCCAGAGCAAAATCAATATGCAAAATTAGGCGAGGAAGGACCGTAGTAAGGCGCTTCGCCATCGTTAAAAGCACAAGTGGATGCTTGTCAGCGATCCTTTCGAGACACGCCCGAGGAAGAAAGCCAACATAAGCGTCTGTTTTTGCTGTAACGTCCGTAAAAGATCTAGAGGAAGTAATGGACCCAACATAGCCATCAATGCCGCCGGGCTTTACCATATATAAGGATGTGCGTGTCACGGGTCCCCTCCGCTGAATTTGGCCACCCCTTATGGAAGATGAAGCTCGAGAAGCGGCGGGTCGTTTAAGTGGTTTAGGCATTCTGGCTGATTCAAGACGTGACGAATCACAAGGTCGCAAAAGGTCCTCGCTTTTGTCATTGACTGGTATGCCAACGTCCAAAAACCCGTCGATAACATAATAAAGACCTGGGCTCCGCTCCCCTTGTTCGACAAGTAATGAACCTTTCGGGAAAAATACAATTTCTATCTCGTCCCGCAGCTCCGCCTTAAGATTGACAATAGGCGAAGTCCCTCCAGCGCTGGTAACAGACATAGACATGAGCGATTCAGAATCCGCATCGCCGAATGAATCGTACGGATCTATAAAACCAAAGGCATTGTTAAAGGCAGCCTTCTGACGTTTGAAATCGTATGAGACTAGTTGTGGAGATGCATCTCCCGAGTTATGGGATTTTCGTAGTGCCTCGTTTGTGCTTCCTGTAAGGCCGAGAGCTTTTACCATACAATCGAGGATAGACTCGCGGAAAATGTAATCCTCGTCAATCGACTCCTGCACGTAATATGAGGGACTTTGACTAATTAGGCTAAAAGGGGGAGGTTTCCCGTGTAAAGCAGGGGATGGGAAGGGAGTTGCGGGACTATTTAAAGTCGTAGAATGCTCTTGAGTGAAACCCTTCAGACGATCGTATCCGTAACGAGGGCCATAACGAGAAAGTTGAATGGTAGAAAGTAAGTCTCCCGGACTCACGCCATTGGCTTCCTTTTCAGGGAAGCGTGTTACATCGTGAACTGGATGCCTGGCGTGAGCGGAAGAGATTTTAGCGTATAATGCAGCGTCCTTCCGCAAAGCGCTACTCGATCGGCGCCTCCTCGAAACGGAAGGATTGTGAAGAGCAATCCCTTTTGTACCCTCCTCTGGACCTAGGCGATCTCTCTCTTTTGTAAATTTATCCTTTAGCCTGCCTAGCGCTGCTCCGCGAAGATGATTCGGAAGGTCATATGAGGTGTATCTATTCATCTGTCTCTCAATACTCAGGACTTCCGTAGTCAAGCCTAGGTATGAATGCGCCGTAGCGAATGTAACCCGTTGGAGTCTGGTAAGAATTACCTGGATTATATGCGCCGTTGCTCGAGGATAGACCCGGGTTAGGCGGCGAAAAGCGCTTGCAGGGATGATGGCAATGGTGGTGTCTACCATCGCGCGTGCCACGATGTCTGGATGGACAGATTTTTTCTGATCCATTTTCCGCGATTTCCTGCGTTTATATTCATGGGTGGTGGGTTCATTTTGCAAAAGTGAATGACTGTCTTCAAGTGCGAGGTGCGGAACAGCAGGTAGTGGGGTTGGATTTCCATTTATGGGCGGGGGATTCCCTCTAAATTCCTGAAACGTCGACGCTGTCGGATTCTCCACGAATGGGGAAGGGGTCAAGGGAGTAGACCCTGCACGAGTCGGGTCGATGCTAGGGGTTCCGGATTCCATGTCCTCAGTGTGCCTTAACTTGACATCCTCAGTGAAAAGTGATAATATAGAGAATAGAGACGACATAGAGGCTCCATTCTTGACCTCAGTTAGTAATTGATATCCCTGATGTTTGTGACCGTCATTGCCTTCGTCTTCCTCCATTGAATCCTCTGCATCATGGCTAGCGCTTGGGCTGCTTTTGCTGTGATCATTCTGGCACTCCCGAATGGATTTGACGAATATCTGAACAGCACCATCCACAACTAGGCAGAATCCTTTCTCTTCTTCCAACAACAGGGTTTCCCCGGCAATCAATTTCCTCGTTTGCATGGTCCGCGTCAATTCATGAAAAACAGGGCGTTCAAGGTATCCAAACACTTTAATTGCACTGAGAAACTCGTCGAGGTAATTGGCTAGTCCAGGTTTAGAATCGCCATCCTGGGTATCTGGGAAGAGATCGATTTGGGGCGCTTTTCGTTGCGGCTCAGGTGGCAGGCGGGAGTACACATTCAAAAACCGGTAGCGGACAAACCAGCTGATTGTTGACACCAAGACCACAAGGATGACAAGGCTGAGATACACAGCGCATTAGTAACTTCAATCTCCAACAAAATATTCAAGGGGGAACTTCTCAAAGCGGGGAAATACGTACAGCGTTGTGAAGTTCATGGTAAATGTTAGGCTCATAGAAAATAGAGTAAATAAACAAGTTGGAAGGGTGATTGTAGAGAAGGTAATAATCCAGTATAGGACGCTGGGTATGACCTGAAAGATCAGGAAGAAGAGACGCCCAACAAACGTCGCCATGGCAAAGAGAGAAGAGGTTTCACTGAGGGACTGAGGGGTAGAAGACATTTGTGAACAGACAATTGAAGGGGACGAAGGAGGAGTTGTTGACGACATGAGAGCCAAAGAGGACTCTAGTGGGGTTAGGGGAAGGGCTGTCGTGGGGGACGCAGATGATGTCGGATTCGGCTGTAGCGCAGACCCATGATCCTGGCTGTTAATGATGCTGACGATGTTGTTCTGGAGCTGTCGGGCCGCAAGGGGTTGACCAGCATCAGGAGGAGCTGGAGATGACGAGACCGAAAGGGGGGGTGAAACAGACATCGTCCAATATGTCTTCTTCCATCGGTATAATGGTCAAGGAGAAATTCGGTAACATCGGATTATCCGCCCAATAGATGGGTGATGCAGGAATTCAACAGTAAACGTGGATATTTTTTTTCCCGCAGCCAACCTTTAGTAGCTGGGCTAGGAAAGCTACTGATTTAGTGTTTCCATTCCAGGCCATAGAACCACATCCATAGCAGAGTGAAGGAAATAGTGCCAGTCAGGGCAAAGGTGAGATCCGAACCGGAAGAGCGTGGGCTAATAGCGGGTAACAAGCGGCTTCCCTGCACAACTAGGATCCTGCAGCATGGGGACAGCAGCTACAGCAATGAACCGAGGAGAGCTGGGGACCTTCCGGGAAATATAAAAAGCAGGGTGAATAGTCCGTTGATGCACTCCGTAGTTGGTTGGTGTCGGTTTTGTCGTTAAACCCGGCGGCTGAAATGGTTTTTTTGTCGGCACGGATTAACTATTACCCCGGTGGCTGTTTCACCTCCATATAACGTGACTTACCACTAAATGAGCCAATATCACTAAATGAGCTGCTCTCAGCAAAACTGTCTCAACTTGCTAGAATTTAATTAATTCCACAACAACAAAATAAATCTTATTTAGATTATTAAATAGTAATGAGAGTATTCTCTAGTTCCATACAAAATAGATGATTTAATAAAACAGATATGTGTTTGGCTAGAGGACATGGTCATGATAGAAGATATGACATGAAGTAAGAAGATTGATCAAAGAAGTATTAATTTCTGAATTAGTAGTAGAAGCAGCAGTAAGCTGCTCCAGAGGATTGAGATTGACCTCATTTTCTAGACTGGAAGATCAGATAGAGTTTAAAGAATTAGAATCTACTGTAGATATTTGCTTTTGTCGTTACTTTGAAGTAACTATAGTTGAACTAACTGATTTTCACTTTATAGCATGAGTAAAAGTCTGTTCTTGCTTCTCAGCTTCAAGCTGACTTTTTCAAGCCTCTCTAGCAAGCTGCTGAGCTTTGTGCTGCTCTGTCTTTCTAATCTTCTCTTTCTCACAGACTTTGTAAGCTGCTATCTAAGCTACTTGTTATTCAATTCATTTTTACAGAGTTTCTTCAGCTTTATATGCTTTTTAGAAATTACATTGTAGTCACTTTTAAACTTATTAAGCAGCTTTCTTCTTTTTTTCATGATTTGCTTTTTGAATTCTCCCATGAACTTATTAAATTTTAAATGATGAAAAGAATCAAGTCTGATTAGACTGCTGCTTCAAATTCAATAAATTTAAGAATTTTTCATACTGTCATTATTTCTTTTTATTGTATAAAGTTTTAATTAAAGTTTTATTCTTATGTACAAGTATTTTCTTTTCAAAAACAAACTTCTCACTAGTATGTATAACTTTTTTCATGTCTTTAGAGAATAGACTCTGTTGAATTCAAATTTTTTTAATATTATGTTGAAGAGTATAAGTAGTTGTAAATGTAACAATGTCAGTTAAAGCTGGATTGAGTGAAACTATAAATTATTTTATAAATCAATAAAGAATACACTCAAAAATAAAAAAATAAATATCAGTAACAGTAAATATAAATTGAATATTCTTAATCATTAAAGATTGATTTCATATAAAATTAAAGATTGATAAAAAACTTCTTTTTATTATTTGAATAAATTCAAATTCACTATAAAGAAGATTATTGACACTATAAAAGTATACTTCTACTAGAGAATTAAAGATGTTAATATTTAAAAATTAGAGTTAATAAGTTAAATATGAAGATAATATTATAAAAAGAATTTAATTTTAATCTACAAAATTAATAAATCTTATAATGATATAAGAAGAGTATTCATCTAAAATAAAAAGACTTCTTCTGCAATCTGCTTTAATTTTAATATACTCATCAAAAATTCACTTCAGTTAGTTAAACTCATAGTTATCATTACTTCAATCTTTCTTAGAAACTGCAAAATAAGCTATATTATTCTCATTTAGATTCTCTAATTATATATATAATATATCATAAGACTTTTTTTAATAAATAGAAAAAATAAAAGAGCTGTTTCATATGCACATATTACTGTAAGTAGAGAAATAAATTCATAGCTATTATTTTGAACTATAGTAATTTATTTTATCTTCATAGCTTCAACTGAAATAATCTGCTTAATAATCTGACTGATGTCAATTAAAAAGCTTTTTTCATCAAAATTATAGATATTTGATAATTTAATATTGTATTTTTCAATCTTCTTATTTAATTATATAGTTATATAATAAAATAGTTAACAAGAGTCTATAAAGAACTTAGTACAAGAAAACAAGCAAAAGATTAAAATACTAGCTGAAAATAATATTTAAAATCAATAGAATTATCTGCTATCTTATGTTTTTAATCAATGTCATGAATATGAATTCTTTGAATTTGAGTCTTATAGCACTTAGTAAAGCATCTCACTTATAGAATTTTAACAAATTTTTTAACAATTTTTCACAATGAGATTTTGAATAATTTGAGATGTAAAAGCAAAGCTGTGAGCTGCAAGCTTTTTTATATAAAGCAAAAGCTTTTGTTCTTGCTGATTTGAAAACTTTTTCTTATGTTGAGAGACTGTTTTATTTTGCATGAGTTGCAAGTTATTATAATATCAGCATAGTATTTTTTTATTAATTAAGTACTCTCTAACAGTTGTAGTGTAATTTTTGATCTTTTGAGCTCTTAAATTCTTAATTGCAAGTTGAATAGCTTCTTCATTTGACATCTTAAAGCAGTGGAAGTTGAAGAATTAAATTGCTGCACATCACAAAAACACAGCTTGTTTAGTGGTACAACTCATTTAGTGGTAAGTCATGTTAGAGTTTAGCTGTTCCAAATAGTACTAAAGATGCATTTCACCACTTCATTACCTGAGACATAGCTACATTCTGAGCCACTTACCACGTCGTATCGTTTAGAAGGCATCAATTAAAATAATGCTGCTTCAATCTTTATACATTTATATCTAATATATAATCTTCAATTATGAGTATTAATTTAACTTGGTGTTAACTGCTTCAGCTACACGTAAGTAAAAGATCTTTAAAGGACACTCAACTTTTAAAGAAAAAGAATATCAATCATTTCGAAGAATTCAGACTTTAAGATGATGAATAATGCAGAAAGATCTTTCTCAGAGACTCTCTTTAAAATGTCTGCTTAATTTCTGCTTTATCCACAGAAACAGCAGGAATAAATCAAGGTCTTCACCCATACATTTTGCCCCGAGTACAATGTTGATCTGGGTCTGACAAACAGGTCGCCAATGGAACCCACCTTTGCCCGCTCAAATGTTACCAGAATTTCCTCAGACAAGCCACGCCAAAATACCGCCATCTGTCTGTTGGGATTAGGAATGTTCCGATGAGATAACATAGATAGTCTTTCAGGGAGAAAACCTCTAGGAACTTTACATGGAGCTAGATTAAAATACATACATGGAGTAGCAATGACGTCCTCTTTCCACGGGAACCTTTGCAACCAGAGCGAACAGGGTTATTCACGATGCTCCTCTTGACTGAAGCTGACAATCTCAAGATAGGATGTGAATGATATCTAGCAGTTCAAGTCATACACAGGTTGCCCAGCATTGTAGTGTTGATAGTTTTGAGATTATCATTCAATTTTGGAAAACGTTGATTTGGTAAAATGAGTATACAATTTAATGCTTATTCAAATATAGATGTGCGTTAGACGTTCATAACCTGGCATAGGGTGGATATGTTATTGACTGTCTATATCTATATCCATAATCACTGGGGAGGTTTGACCCTGAGCTACATAAAGAGCCCACATGCAAGTCCACCAGGTACGGCGCGGGTCGAAACAGACAAATCAATCATAGCATCTCTTAAATCTCTCCTTGATCGTGAACTTTCTTAAACAATGCCGCGATACGCTACCGTTGAGTCATGGGCCATTTCAATCCTGAAAGTTACAAGAAGGGATATCTTGCAGCTGAATATCTTGCATGAAAATCTTCCGCCAAGAAGAAAAGAGGGGGCTGGAGATATCACTTCATGTCGTGCTCCAACGCATTTAACTCATCAAGCAGTTGGACTGTCTCACCGGGGTTAGAAACCCAAGAGGTGGTGCATGCGAGTCGAGCCTAATGAGATTAAGAAATCGATAAGCGTAAGATTGGTTAGCGATTGTGTTTACAGAACATTAGTAAGGAAGAAGACCCAAACTAAACAACTACAGAGGCAAGAAAAGAATACAAGACGTTATCATACCTTGAAATCATTAGATCCAGCCGAAAGGAACTGGTCGCCGATATGTAGGGTTTTGGACCGAGCTATCCCTCCAAAGTAACGCTGGCAAGCGAGCACGCCCCAGGATTTATCCCCAATGTCAATGAATACGTCGTTTCCACCTAGTGATACTTATTAGTATGCTATGAGCAATATTTGTGGGTTGGCATGGTGTTAATATCGAAGAAAAGAAACCTCGAGGTTCATTGGCGTACCATTGAATGCACAGAACGGGAGTCGATGACCGACTGCTGACAGCTCGACAGTTTGTTGGGCTACCAAAACCGTTTCTTCAAGCTGCTCCCGATGTAGGCGTTTTCCCTGAAGGGGAGATATACCAACTGCACGAGGTTTGCGGATAATGGTGGCGGGAAGATTTAGGTTTGTCATGCAATCACGCAGCGCGGTTTCAGCAATATCAAGAAGCTGTTTGATATCCTCTTCTGACCACAGCTTCATCTCATCCAGAAGCCACTCACTACGTTCAACTGGACAGAGTAAATGAGGAGAAGAGTGGTCAAATTTAAATAGAAAATTGCTTTCGCCACCCATGACAATAAGGCTATTTTTCTGGTCCTCAGTTAGGTCTGGGGAATCGTTAACAATGTCGAGTAGACCATGTAGACGCTCGTAGTACCTGGGTGCATCCGTGTAGCCGGCTGCAGTCACAATGCCGATCTTTTTGCCATGGCGCAAGAGGCGGACTATCCTTGGAATTACAGGGTTGTCTACAGTCAACGATGCTCCATCGTCGTAGAGAGTCACGTCGCCATCAAAAGTGATAAGTTCAACCTTGCCGTCGTGAAGAAGCCCCATGATCTGCGCCGTATTGAGGATGATCCGTATATCATTGAAAGACGGGGGCACAAATCGGCGGCTACTAATAAATCGCATCTTGTCCTGATACTTAAAGGCATCGGCCAACAGCAGCGGAGTAAAGAAATTCCCAATGCTAGGAACTAGAAGCTTCAACTTCGAACGGTGGCTTGTGCCATTTTTCTGATGGTTTCCTATGTCGAGGGTTAGTCAACTTCATAATCCTATTTCAATTAAACACTCGAGAGAAGACAGTAATTGAGATATGTGGAGTTGTAGTACTGTGGTCATCTATGAGGCTTTCGACGTCACGCATGATATCTACATATCTTTCATGAGTTTTCGCGGCGAGAAGTGCAAGGCTGGGGCTGTTCTCTTGGTAGAGAGCCGTTGGCTGCGAATTCAGAACGAATGGCACCGCGAGGAGACCCTTCATCCGGGATTAGTTACTGTTCTATTGTGAAGGCAGGGTTTGCGTGTTCCTCTACCCACGCTGAATTTCCATAGTGGGAAGAATTGACATTCAAAGGTGGCCATACCTTCATCCATTCAATCTAATCAAATTCAGTGTCAACTATGCTCACATGGCTCTACAATCATATGTGCAACTCACTAGCTGATCCCTGCGGTGAGACTATCATCCAGAAGAGCCCAAAATTAGCGGTCACATCCATGGGTAAAGATACGTTCTCCTCTAAGTCTATGAGACATCTTAGGTTGTTCAAAGGGCGGAGAAATGCTCAGTACGGACCTTAAGAGCATCTGTAGATCTGAAGTTAGTCATGTTAAGGCTTAAAAAGATCATAAAATATGAGTAGTAGTGGCCTACATTCAACCCGGTACCGAGTCGTCATGATGATGGTTTGGCGATACTTCCCAGTTGTATTATAAAGAAGCCAAGTACAACGAACTGGAGGAATACTTCCACAGAGGCAGCCCGAGATTGCAGAATCACAAAGTCCGGCAACGTCCGCGGTTTCTGATTCTGATAGTTGTTTGTGAAACAAACAACGTGGACAGTAACTGACCTTCCCCTCACCCTTGCGGCGATGACTTTCAGACAAGATAGAGCAAATCGACCAAGGTTCCCCTATGATCAAATCAATCTTCGGAGGCCGTTAGATCACGCTTTCTGCAATGAGCACCTTAGAAGGCACAAAATGCTGAATATTCCATAGGACAGGAATATGCAGCTTTATCAACAGATTGGGAACTGAAGATCGAGGATAGCTGTGGAAAGGATAGCGGTGTGCCAGGAGCTTTGTCCGTGGTTTAGCGCTACTGCTATCGATGCGAAGTTCAGATGTTAAACTTGGCACCAAACAGAAAGAGGTAAAAAAAAAGCCTATGATTGGTATCCAGGTGGTTGACCGAGATGAACCTTGGATGAGTTGGTTAAACTTGGCACAAACTAAGAGTTAATAGGCGTCTATGATTGGTATCGAGATGGTGTTGGTAGAATGACAGATGGAGACCAAGATGTTGTTAACAGAGAGTTCAAGCTGGCAACTAGGGCAGGAATTCGGACAAGTAACTAAGTTAACTACTACTAGCCGAAAGCCGAGAAACTCAAGTTGCCCGAATATGCTGACTCGTCCCCGTCAGCAGAACCAAACAACGATATGAGAGACACTGTAACTATTGGCACTCAAAGGGAGTGCGCGGGTGGGATGAAATTAATGGTAGTTGGTAATTTGGTATCCTGGAGAATTATCTTGTGTGTGACCCTGCACTTTAGAATATAGCTGAATTAAAAAAGAACCGTCAGCTGGAATCCTGGCCGGTCGGGTTGAAAACAAAGGCGACATCATCGACGAGATGGTCAATTATATACATTTTACATTTCGTGTTACAGAATTACCAATTGGGACATATTTCATATATGATTGACTTCATCTACCTGCATCTCGCCTGTTTGTTTTGTCGTTTAGATTGGGCTCTAGTTAAAAACAGAACAGAATCCACCAATTACCTCAATACATCTTACACTCACAATTCTTCCTTGATCTCTCCCCTACTCATATCCCTTAAAACGTCCTGTAACATCTTTTCACCACCCTGCAAGTCGAAACCCCCGGCGTCATTTGCATCAACACGCCACGAATGGGCAATCAACCCTTTAGGAGGCCCTTTCAACTTTGCAGTGACATCCACCGCTCCATCAAACAATGCATAGTCAGAATCAGTATCCGGTCCGTCCAACCAGTGACACTGCACATCTAACCTGTTTGGATGTAGGTCAATTGTGAGTTTCTTGCTGCGGCGCTTGGAGGGGGAGAAGGCGGCTAACTCGCCATTTTCGGGGAATATTGGTTCCCACGAAGTTAGATAGGACTCAGGGAGTGGAGTTGGGGGGTTAAAATCGTCTTTACTGTCCTTTGGTGGTTGAGAGTGGTTGATTGGTTGTGTCAGTGTTGATGGGAATGATTCTGAGGTACCAGCTAGGTGTGGGATGAGGAAGACAAGGTCTATGGTGAAGAGATGGAGGATGATTTGCTGAAGATCGCTGCGGAGGCCCGTGCGGGATGATTTGGAGTTAGACCTAGGAGCAGAGGTGATGTTGGTGGCTATTTCGAATTCGGTACCTAGGGCGTTGGCGTTGGTGCTGGTTGTAACACGGATTTTGAAGCTGGAAGCTGGAGAGAGAAACGTGCCGGTTATGATGGACTCTAAGGGCGAAAGGAAAGAATCCACCAGTCTCTCGACGAAGGGTGGATTGTCTGATTCAAAGGCTGCACCTGCACCGCTGGAGATCGGAGGGAGCTGTACGGATACTAGAGGAGCGGTATCATATTTGCATTTCAGCCCAGCAAGTTGTAATGTCTTAGTCGTAGAGTCAAGGAAAGATTTTAGCCACCGCAGGGCTGATTTGTGCTGTAGATAACCTACAGTTGGCTTAAGGAGTGAGTATTCTGGGTCTGGGCGACGCTTTTCTGTGACTGGTGGTGGAATCCGGGTCCTCCGTCGGTATTTCAGTCGATGAGCATGGGAAAGGAGAAGCCGGAGAGATTGGGCCACAGTCTCAGCAAGAGCATCCTCAACGTGTTCTTGCTGGTCCAAATCTAAGATACCGTCTTCGAGACCGACCATGTCAATGAGGATTTGTTGGCTCTCATTAGCTTGGAACTGTATCAAATTTTGTTTACTTTCAACCCCGTGTTGCAAGAGGGTTCGAGCTTCTCTATTGATTTCATGGAACAGCTCTTCTTCATATAAAGCGTCTCTAGCCAAACGAATACGACATTCAATCGGGTCGTCCGGTGACAATACTAGGCGAATCAATTTCGAGGCTCCTACAATTTGGTTATCCTGATGCACCCTGACACGTAGCGAACGAGGTTTAGATGTTTGTAATCCCCGGTCCAACGTAAGCTGCCCTCCATCACCTTGCCTAAGTGCCGCAAGGCCACGGTCACGGAACGAAGGGGTGGCTTGAGACCTTCATTAGCCAGATGAACTAAATCACAAGTCAACTTTGAAGGGGGGGGAAACCAACCTTCCAAGAACCCAAACTGCACACCTAGCGTTTGTCGTTCTCGAGGAAGTCTGCAAACTTTCCAGCCCTTCTCCTTGATATCTAAAATCCCAGCCCAGTACTTCGTCTCCGCCGCAACCTCTTCTTCCAACCGGGTGGCAGACTGCAGTAGTTTACTAGCAGCAGCATCAAAGCTTTCTAGCTTCCACCCTCGTGACAGATTGTCAATTTCCTTCTGCGCAGCTGCGGTCTTCTCTGGGACTTTCACGACATCTGTTTCCAACGATCCTAGTGGGGCACTTTGTTTTAGGTAGGGTGACATGGAAATCTCAGCCTGGCGCGGGGTGTATTTTGAGAGCAGCAGTGATACAAAATCGAGGGCATAGTTAGCTTCAGCATGAGCCTGCCTATATTCTATCCCAGTCAGTCTGAGGATAATCTCTCCTTTTGAGACAACGTCGTTTTCTCAGGGAATCGCACATTGCAAAGTCCACAATCTGCGCACGGCTTTTAAAAACATGCTTGAGCCGATCAGTTGGCTTAGCTTCCTGCGATTCAACCCCGTCCAGCTCCTGTCCAGTCTCCTCTGCGGCGCGTCGAGCTTCGATCTCCTCTTGAAGGCTTTGCTCCGTCACGTTGCGAAACGAGCCGCGCTGGGCATTGATCTGGGCTATTCGTATAGGTAGCGAATCCGATTCGTCTAGTGGTTTCTGGCTCAAGGGGCGCAGCGGGAGGGTGAAGGATTCCGCCATAACGGCAGCAAGATGCGAGATCGTTGAATGGTGGTGTTATGGCTGGATATCGAGGATAACTCAAGAGAGCTCTGTTTTTAGTCTCTAGGATATTGTAAGGGGAACATTGCGAGGTGTGTTAGGACACTAAGTGTAGCCCAGTAGGACTCGGGCAAAAATGAATAGCTTCGGTTGGTGTATATCCAATCTTCGTGTATAGTAACTATATAGATAATTTGCTCTTTGGTACATCCGGAGCTGAGTTTATCCGAGACCACTTTTTCCATCTGCAACGGGCCCTTTGCCTAAGCCAAAGTAGGAGATTTAACTAAGCCCAACTATCTGCACCGCCCCACCCGATCCTTGTGGTTACTAATCAATGGCACGAGCCAAACCAAACAGACTGAACCCCTCGTCTCAACCGCTGCGGGCTTCGTTGCTGATACACCTGTTCACCTGCTCACCTGCTCACCTGCTCACCTGCTCACCTGCTTATGATTATGCTGTCAGAGCTGCAATTGTCTGCGGTCTTTGTGTTTGTCTAATACTGTTTCACGTTTACTAGAATATATCTAGATTTTCTGATGTTATTATTTTTCTTTGTTTCCTTTTGGTCCTTTCAGTTGCGTAGCTGCATCTACCATCACCTGTCACTTCAACTCCCACCATAATCCTTAATACTGTCCATTGTGTACCCAATATCAGCTCTACGGCATAAAATTTACCGAAAGTCTCGATACTGATAGCCGTTTATTCAATCAGCAATCACAATGGCAAATGTCACGAACATGTCTCCGGTGAGCCAGTCCAAACGCCGTCGTGTTGCCGTGTTAACAAGCGGTGGCGACGCCCCGGGTATGAACGGTGTGGTTCGCGCCGTTATCCGTATGTCAATCCATTGCGGTTGTGAGGCCTATGCTGTCCACGAAGGATATGAGGGTCTAGTACGAGGTGGGGACCTGATAAGGCGGATGCATTGGGAAGATGTGCGTGGTTGGCTCTCGCGGGGTGGTACTCTGATCGGCTCCGCGAGATGCAAATCATTCATGGAGCGGGATGGCCGCCTGCGGGCTGCGAAGAACATGGTGCTGCGGGGGATTGATGCTTTGGTTGTATGTGGTGGCGATGGGAGTCTTACAGGGGCTGACATCTTCCGCTCGGAATGGCCTGGTTTGCTGGATGAATTAGTGAAAAGGGGAGACTTAACGGATGAGCAGGTGATGCATTTTAAAACGCTGAATATAGTGGGTATTGTTGGGTCCATTGATAATGATATGTCGACAACTGATGCGACTGTTGGTTGTTACACGTCGCTCCATCGTATATGCGAGGCTGTTGATGAGGTCTTCGATACGGCGGCTTCCCACCAACGTGGCTTCGTAATTGAAGTTATGGGACGGAATTGTGGCTGGCTGGCATTGATGTCTGCCATTAGTACAGGAGCAGACTGGTTATTCATTCCCGAAAGGCCACCACGAGATGGCTGGGAAGACGATATGTGTGACATCATCACCCAGGTACTAGAAACTGGCATTTTTTGCAATTGAATGAACAACGGCTAACAGAAATCGGCTGGTGGTAGAACCGAAAACGAGGCAAACGCAGGACAATTGTTATTGTGGCCGAGGGCGCGCAAGATGCCAACCTAAATAAGATATCTTCCTCATCTGTTAAAGATGTTCTGAACAACAGGCTAAAACTTGATACGCGCGTAACCGTCCTGGGCCACACCCAGCGAGGGGGGACAGCGTGTGCTTATGATCGGTGGCTGGGCACCTTACAGGGGATAGAAGCTGTCAAGGCGGTCCTGGAGGCCAAGCCTGGCGACCCCTCGCCTCTGATCACACTCAGGGAGAATAAAATCGAACGCTCGTCTCTTGTCGAAGCCGTTCGGGTCACCAAAACCGTCGGCCAGGCTCTCAAGGACAGGGATTTCGCCACGGCCCTGTCAATGCGAGATGCAGAATTCAAAGCCTATCATAGAGCGTACATCAACACCGCGACCCCTCATCATCCAAAAATGCAACTTCCTGAAAACATGGTGAGTGTAGCTTCCTACCTAAACGTACTTTACTTGTTTATATTTACTCACACCAAAACCCTCCTTTTTCAGCGTATGCGAATTGCAATTATCCATGTTGGAGCGCCAGCGGGTGGCATGAACCCCGCGACACGGGCAGCTGTAGCCTATTGTTTAGCCAGGGGACACACCCCAATTGCCATTTACAACGGATTCCCTGGGTTATGCCGACACCATGCAGATACACCAATAGGCTCAGTTCGGGAAGTTAAATGGCTGGAGTCCGACTCGTGGGTGAACGAAGGCGGCTCTGAAATTGGCACAAATCGCGGTCTACCATCCGCGGACATGGCCAAGACAGCTGAATGCTTTGAGCTGTACAAGTTCGATGCACTCTTCGTCATCGGTGGCTTCGAGGCATTCACAGCCGTTAGCCAGCTGCGCAAGGCCCGCGAACAGTACCCAGCTTTTAAAATCCCTCTCGTCATCCTCCCCGCCACGATCTCCAATAACGTCCCAGGCACTGAATACTCACTAGGCAGCGATACATGTCTGAACACCCTCGTTAACTTCTGCGATGTAATCCGGCAATCAGCCTCCTCCTCACGCCGCCGTGTCTTCGTCATAGAAACCCAGGGCGGCCGCTCCGGCTACATTGCCACCATGGCTGGATTTGCCGTGGGCGCCTACGCAGTCTACATCCCAGAGGAAGGAATCGACATTAAAATGCTAGCCCGCGATATAGAATACCTAAGGCATAACTTCGCCACAGACCGTGGCGCCAGCCACGCAGGCAAGATCATCCTACGCAATGAAACTGTATCGAAAACGTATACGACCCAAGTAGTGGCAGATATGATCAAGGAGGAAGCAAAGGGCCGCTTTGAATCCCGCGCTGCGGTGCCCGGCCACTTCCAGCAGGGCGGGAAGCCGTCGCCCATGGACCGGGTGCGCGCGTTGCGCATGGCGATTAAATGCGTGCAGCACATAGAGCAGTTCCAGGGCCGGAGCAAGAACGAGATTGCAGCCGATCCGATGTCCAGTGTCGTCATTGGGATCAAAGGGGGCGAGGTAGTTTTTGGGCCGATGTCGGGCGAGGGGGGATTGGAGGAGACGGATACGGATTGGGAACGCCGCCGGCCGAAGAATGACTTCTGGTTGACGTTGAAATCGTTGGTGGATACGCTTAGTGGGAGGCCTGGGGAGGATCATGATGGGGTGCTGCAGATGTCAGAGGAGGAGGGCTGGGGGGCGTATGCGCCGTTGGATGAGTGTCATTTTACGGAGTAGATGAGGACCCTGGTGCCTCCGTATGTATCATTGCGTATGTGGTTGGTGGCGCGGAGATATAGAACGGGGCAGCGGTGGTTGTTTTTGACACATGTTTTATCTTAGATATTTGATTTAATTGATTTAATTTACATTCTATGTGCTTCCATATAGGTATTCATTTTCCAGTAAAGAGACGGACGAACCTACCCATTTTATTTATTTTATTTTTTATTTTTTATTTTTTTGACGTTGGTTCGGTAGTAAACTGACTAATTACTCCGTTCTCCCAAGTCACTTACGTTAACTCTCCTACCGATGGAATGTATACTTGTTCATCGGAACCCAGCCCTGCCCCTTGACCCCCTAAATCAATTATTGAATGGGAAGAATTGTAACAAGAGATACAATGATACTCCCTTTGGCCTATTCTATTTCCAGGTTTCTTTGGTTCCATGGACAGGGATCTTAAGCTTGAAGTTAGAAATATATCATCCATGCATAACCGACTTTCTGGAAAATCATCGTGTTGTATCAATTAGAGGCACAAGTAGCGAGGGAGAATTAAATCAAAATGTAGAACGTCAAATATAGATGCGGTAGTCATAGTTAAATCAGCCTTACATAACTAGCATAACTGCGTGGTTAACAATTTTGAGTTATTTCCATCAGCAAACTCCTCAAGAGGCTTCTTCCGCTAACCATGGTTCCAGGGGTCGTAGCAATACCGTTGCTTCTAGCTCCCTTTTTCATCTCATTTTCTCAAACTACGGAACATTAAACAATTAACTAAGTTTAAGTAACTAACTAGTTAGTTAACCAGTTGGTTCAACTAACTTCAGGTCTTTGGTGTGATTACCAAACGGCTCATTCCACTGAGACTCCATCCCGTGGGGCCATTGGCTCCCACAAATTCCAAGTGGGTTGGGTTGCTGGCCAGCAAAACCCGGCAATAAACAATGAAATCAACTAGAACCGTCCTCTGCCGATTCGCCGCTGCGCCGCTCCAGAGGGGGGACCCCAAGCGGCTTTCGCTTAACCAAGTCCTTGCATGTAACTCACCTCCGAATGCTCTGATACTCTCATTAGTTAGGGCCCCACCCCGTTATATGTTAGCGGCCTGCGTGAAACCAAAAATTAGTGCGGGGCACGAAGTTCAACATTCCGATATTTCAGTTGGGGCCAGGGTGGGTTGGGAATGACTCCATATTTTCTCAGAGGAACAGTAAGCGTTTCTCTGCTTCAACTTTGTCTCGCTGTATTATTAATTTGTAGATCGGAATTTAGTCTTCTTCTTCTTCTTCTTCTTCTTCTTCTTCTTCTTCTTCTTCTTCTTCTTCTTTCTTGTTTTTTGGGATCGAAGTTAAACTTAAAAATTAAAATTCCAAAAAGCCGTGCCTGATCACGTGGCTAGCTAGGCCGGATCAGGGGCGAAACCTTGGATGCTGAGGGCCAGACACACATACAACAACAGAACCGAACCTCCCCCACCCGAACAAGTCAATTATTCAAGAAAAATAAATCAATCTGATTGATATAGCGGATGAACTTAGTCTGTAGGCCGTGCCCCCCCCCCCCCTTCCCCCCATAGTTTTTGATTAGGAGGCCCCGCTAAAATATTAGGTGTGGGGAAGCGTGTTGAAATACCAGGAGGACATAAAACTTTGCACACTGCAGTGACCTGTCAAACGGTGGGTGCCGATCTTCAGCGATCTTGGCTGGAGCTTGTTTTGGCCAAAAGCTGGCGCAAACGAAGCATTTACTATGGGATTAAAAAGGCGTGTGAACTGCGAGCAAGGGGAAAGGCTAGAGTAGATGGTAGCTAGATAGGGAGGAACTTATTCTGCTTGCCAGTGATCTCATCGTCAGGAAGAACGTTCCTAATGGGTATGCCGCTGATTGCTTCGGTTGATAGTTTGATACGTGTTCGAGAAACTGTCTTGTCTGTCTGTCCATGGGCTGTGCAAACTCTCAGTGTTAACTGGTAACTAACCGAACTAAAATGCTCATCTTTGTTGCAACCTCATCTCGGGCTATTCCACTTCACTGGTTATTCAATCATCTTTTGTTTTTAACCATCGGATGGCTGGGGTTCTGTGTTTTCTCTTTCTCCTCTCTCTGTGCCAAGCTTCATAGCCACTCTGTAGCGGGCTACCCTTCATATTGTCCGGAAATACACTCCCTTTCGTCCGTCGCCGTGTTTGGTGCGTTCTCTCGAACATCTCCTCTATATGAGTTGAACTTCTTAAGTCCCGTTGATCCCTTTCTAGAGCTTTTGCCGTTCCCCTCCTCTCCCTCTTCCAACTGTCTCTTTTCTACAGCTCCCCACGGCCTGCAGTTGCCATAGGAGGATGCAATTGCGACCCTCTACCTCCCGCTCTTTTATCACATCATGGGTGTTTACATTCTCGGCTCTCCTCCTGCTAGCAGCACTTCCCGTACATGCCATTGAGTTAGATCTGGAAAACGATGGTATATCTCCTATCTGGAAGACCCCAATATCCTCCTAGAACCCTCTCTGATTAAAAAGAACAAGAAAGAAAAAGAAAAGAAGGAAAAAAAAAAAAAAAAAAAGTCTAACCCATGATCATCAATAGAGTCAATAAAATCTGCTGCCAAAGCCCTCGCAAGAGGGTGTAAAAGCTACTACACTGGCGACAACCCAGGCGATGTCCCGGGTAACTTGCCTCCTCCTTACTACTGGTGGGAAGCAGGCGCCCTCTTCGGCGCATTCATTGACTACTGGTTCTACACTGGTGATGACACCTACAACGACATAACCATGCAGGCGATGGTCCATCAAGCGAGCCATGACCGTGACTTCATGCCCACCAACCAAACAAGAGCTGAAGGGAACGATGACCAGGCCTTCTGGGCTATGACCGCCATGTCTGCGGCGGAGCGCAACTTCCCCAATCCCCAGCCTGACCAACCGCAGTGGTTAGCACTGGTGCAGGCTGTGTTCAACTTGCAAGTCGGGCGCTGGGACAAGGGGGCCTGTGGAGGTGGGTTGAGGTGGCAGATTTTCCGGTTTAACAACGGGTTCAACTATAAGAATACGATATCTAATGGATGCTTCTTCAATATGGCGGCGCGGCTGGCGACCTATACGGGTAATGAGACGTATGCAAAGGGGGCGAAATTACAGGGGGCCGGGAGGGAGAGTGTGGCTTTGAGAACAAAAATTTTTCTTTTCTTGGTGGGGGGGGATGATAGAAATATTGCCCCCCAAATCATTCCCTTCCGGGGGCCGTATAACCCCGGGTTTGCTTTGTTGGGGCCCCTTCTAATTTTCCATTTGTAAGCTTCTTTCACTCCTTTCCCCCAAAAAAACCCCCCCCCCCCCCCCCCCCCCCCCCAGGGTTTGATCGTGTCCCGGTAAACATCACTGACGGAAAAGACAAGACCAACAACAGCGACAAGTGGAAAACGCGCGTTCAGGGCATAGTCGACGGCTTGGACGTCTTCTTCTTCAATAACACAAACATCATGTTCGAAGTCGCCTGCGAACCGAACGGCAAATGTGAGACAGACCAACGCTCCTTCAAAGCCTACTTAGCACGGTGGATGGCCGCAACAACACAGGTAGCCCCCTTCACAGCGGAGCAGTTATTGCCAAAGTTGAGAGCATCCGCCATGGCAGCTGCAAAAGTCTGCACAGGGACCACGGTGGGGCAACAGTGCCCGCTCAAATGGACCACGGAAACATTCGAAGGCGAAACGGGCCTGGGAGAGCAGATGGCTGCGCTGGAGGTTATACAGTCGAATTTGATATCGAAGACCCCGCCACCGTTGACCAATCTGACTGGAGGAACAAGCCGAGGGGATCCCAACGCTGGCCTTCAGAGGGGGAGGGGCGATCAGACTCCGGATATTGCGACAAGGAAAATTACGGCAGGGGATCGCGCTGGTGCTGTGATTTTGACGGTTCTTCTCATTCTCGTTTTGTTGGTGTCCCCCTATTGGCTGCTTTGTGTGTAGCTACGTGCGGGGACACAGAGTCAAGGACGATATTTTGCGCAGTCTGACTAGCCTCTATATGTATAATGGCAGGTTCAAACACGACGGAGAAAACCTGAAAAATGGGTGGGTAAATTGGGCATGCGAGATTATAATTGTAGATATTAAAAAAATATGTACATTCTGGCCATTGCGAAGGTTTGGAGGAGGATTTCATATGCATGGAGTATCTTTAAAAAAAAAAAAAAATGATGGCATTGGGCATGGCGTTTGCGGGAGGAGATGGATGCATACTTTTGCATATATATGTGTATATAGCACGTAAATATTTCGTCCACTCTTTATATCCAAATGCATGCATGAATCACATTTGAACTGATGATGCCTTTGCTTCCAGTACATTACCTTGCTTTTTCCCGGATTCGCAACGTCCATGTACTTTTGAGGTTTTGTAAGTTTTAAGGTGCTAGTTAGTTAACAAACAATAGATGACTATCTGGCTTAGTGAGCAGCTTACACAATCAGGAGAATCGGACTGGTTTAACTTCGCTTTTACATTTTGAATGGGGTAAAGGGAGGAAAAGGTTTTCAATACAAGAGAAAAGGGGCTGGAGGGAGATGTGATGCTAGCTAACCGTTATGTTGAATAGAAGAAGAATCTAGAAATGGCCCCTCCTCCAAGGGTAATTAAATATAGGCCAGGAGTATGGAAGTTCGTGTGACTTGGGAAAGGGAGTCAGGGGTAGAGGGTGATTGAAGGGAATGGGTTCAGACGAGACCCTAGGACAACAATAGATAAAAAGAAGGTAGACGGCCAATTCCATATTGTATTCTGTTCAATGTGTCTCTGATATAGGAAAAGGAGGTGAGAGCATCTTCATTCGGAGTGAGAATTGTGGATCGTAGGCGTGGATTCTTAGGATAGAACCTTCAGAAGGTACATTGCATGAATTTCGGAGGATATTGGTACAGCTGCAGGTGTGAGCTATGAAGGATTTCGAAAGGAAAACTTTGAAATGGCAAATTAAGATACCACATATTATCCGCGACTAAGATGCGCAACATACATACACATCACATATGGAATTGAAATGAAAATGTGCTGGTAGCGTGCAGGGGCAGTGTCATGGGGCATTGGGGTGGTAAAGAATTCATTAATGATCATGCCAGATGTGATGGCAAAGAAAGGCGGGCTGAGAGCAACAGGGCAGGTAACTAATGAATCAGGGGAGACAATGCACAGATACATACATAACAAGGGACCACTTCCCCGCAGAGTTGGGAAGCACAGGAAACAGGAGACCCAACAGTCAACACTCTTTTCTCACATTTGCAGTCCTTATTTCATTTTCAACATTTGTCCATCATCTTCTGATATTATATATATATATATATATAATATATAGATAATTTCTTATTGCTTGTTTTCTTCTTCTTGCCATTCACCGCAGATGTGTATGTGACCGACCAATTGGTCATTGATTCGGGATGTTTTAACACCACATTTGGTCTCATAATCAGGTATTACTTTATTCCTCTCCCTCACATCCCCCACATAACGCAGTTCTCATCCTTTCTCAGCAACGACAGCGAGCACACAGTGTATAGCCTGTGTATAGCCTGTTCAGAACGAATGTCAAATATTTTCTCCGGCACCGTCACCAAAATTACACGGTCGCTTCTCCTTCCGCAGACTGACTCGGGGCCTCTCTCTTTTCCTGGTGGACCGCGGGGCGGTTACGGTCCTGATGATACGACCAGAGATTATAAATTTCCAGCATGGCCGCGGATAGGCAAGCGAAGCTACATTTGGACAAGTTAGCATCTGAATTGATGATTTTGTTTTACACCTGCATGCTTTTAAATAGGCAAATCCCGCTTGGATAATGAACCTCTGGGACTGGGGTAACAAGGTAACCAGAAATATAACGCATTTCATTGCAATGATGGATGGAGTGGTATCTTACAAAGCAAGGAATGTAAATGCCTCGTTGGCGCGTTTGGTTGAGCAACGTGCACCTGGAGGGCCGAATAAGAAGCATGGATTCTCGTTGTAGTCTTGAGCCGTGAAGATAAAGGAGGTTAACCATCTATATAATTATGATTTAGTATACTACTTTTGAATACATGTTTCGATGGGATTGTCAATGCGATTGTCAAACGTTAAATGGAGGGTTTAGCTCCGCTGTGATGCGAGTGATGCGAAACGAAATGGCATCTACGTACAGATAAGAGAATATAATGTCAATGGGAAAGGAGACTCCTCCAACTCGAGGGAAGAACGGTGACACCAATCCCGGGACGAAGAAGATAACGGATAGTACAGCCTGCTTTAAGTGTCAGTGAATTTGAACTCGTGTTGGGATTTTGAATGGAGCTTCCGAGAATGCAAGTAAAGAATGGAAGCAATAAAAAGTAGTAACCGTACAATAACTTCCTCATACTTCGTATGCAGGCCTCTAGGAAACCTACGAAGGAAATATGATACAATGCCCATGACAATAACAGCGCTGGTCCATTGTATGACGCGGATAAAGAACAGAAGGCCCCGCAAGGCAGTGTTAACTTTGTCCATGGCAGCTCAACTTGGTGCAGCGTCTCGTATCTGAACGACAAGAAATGAAAATATAATGAAAAGAAGCCCTCCTATCCTGATAAAAGAATATTTTATATGCTGAAAGGGGTATCTCTGAGTAGATAAATGGAAGAGGAGAAGGGATCAACCATAGCTGGCGTTTGGTTTTGGGAGGCGACATGCCTTTTATAACTACGAAAGCTCTTCTGCATTGCAGAAATACATGCCTGCTTGCCTCCTTACGCCATCTAAAGCATCAGTTAGGGAGGTGTCAGAGCACATGATCGATAACAGCATTGTCCTGCAATCACGCCGCCCATAACGTCATAAGAGCCCACACTCGTTGGAAGCATGAGAGGAGGATCCCCATTGGCCGGGATAGGGTGTGGTAGTTGTTGAACACAAGCTCGATGAAGTACCCGGTTATGATGGAGAGTCTAAATACTTGAATTGAGGGTAAGGCTGCTGCGAAAGGTAAAAACGGGTGCATAAAGGCGTTGTCATTCGATAAATTGGCGAAAGTTTGACGATTTTGAATAACTTTAGATGGCCAGAACCCACAACTTCCTAAGGTAAACCCAATGTAGGAAATAGAAGGTTTGGGGGGGTTTCCCTGATCCGCTATCAGTTATCATCTGACTCCCTGGCACTTTGCAGAGAGACTATTCAAAAACAATTCCGTGGACCTAAACAATATCTGGCAGACTTAGTCTTCCTGAGGATTGCCACGGTGTTTAATCCTAGGAATTATCATCATCATTGGACGTGCCGTCAAGCAACGGGGCGGGGGTCTTCTGGCGCGGTGACCGATGGTAACTAGAGATCGCAGGCTGCCTCCGCTGGCGGATATTCTACCCAGGAGTTCTTAGAGCGAACCTGCCATTGGGGCGATTCGAAACTAATTTCCCGAGCAACATCGATATCTGTCATGCTATGAACAGGGGTTTGCAGAAATCTAGAGAACGCAAGCTTAGATATCTTCCTTGTTGTCGGCATTTGGAATGATGTAATGCTTATTGGTAGGTGGTATCTAGTTAGTTAGCTACTCTGAGCGATTAGTCAGAACCTTAAATCAACACGAATTATTTCCACGTTCCAAACACTTGAAGCTTATCATCATAAACAGAAGGATTTGGATTCAACATGAGCGGAGGATGACTTTTCTCATCAAGCAAGCCCACTACCTATCTAGGTATGCTGTATCATGGGGAGCTTGTTTAACAACTCTGCTTTTGCAGCTATATATCTTCATTCTGCGGCCTCATCGTTCTCCATGGTTTCTCTCACACCCCGTGTCTTCTCGCTCTCTTCTGTTTTGACTCTCACTCTCCGTTTCACATTGGACAGTGGGGCTGTAGCTAACAAGTTGAAATCTATGTCATTGTTCCACTTTTCCTCTTCCCGACTCAATTCCACGAATCCCGACAGCACTTTGATTGAGTTGGGATAATCCTTCATACTTGTCTGAACCGTGATTTTTGGGACCTTGATTAATATTTACCCCCAAATATTAATCAAGGCCCCTCCGCTATCGACAAGCCTTGTAAGTGGATTTGCTGCCCAGGATTGTGGTTTGTAGTCCATTGCCCGCACACTACGACACCTTCCTACCCATTGGACCCTTCCGCCCCTCTTCGATGGAAGAGAACTTGGGGCTAACGTACGTAATCCACCACGACGCGTTCATTAACCTGTTTTGTCAACATGTCAACATCAATAGGCAATTAAGCCTCTTATCAGGAAGGTAGAATTCCATTAACTAGCTATTAAAGCTTTTGGAAAGGGGTCAAATTTCAAGTATTCAAGCTGCTGCATATACATATGATAACTATCTCTTACTCAATCTAAGTTAATTGACTATATAATTGTACAACATAAAGAGATTCTTGGTCTAGAAATTAAAAACTAATTTTCACTAAAAAACCAATTCTTGTTCAGTGCATATTATTTATAAATGAATGATATCAGTTTCTTTTATCATTTTAAGATAATTGAATCATCTTATTTACTATTAATATAATTAATGTAATTTCTTATAAAGTTATTCTATTAAATAAGTTATTAAAATAAAATATTATATTATATAAATTATAATTTGAAATAATTAATATTTGAATAATTTTAAATAAACTAGATTAAAAAATATTTAAATATATTATATTTACTATATTTTTATAATACTTTTATATATGTTTAGATGATTACTGATAGATATATTAAACAGTAAACTATTTATTAAACTTGAATTAAAATTTAAAATTTAAACTATTTCTTTAAATTATATTTTTTTATATTAAAGTATATAATTAAATCTTTTATATTTTACTTCTTTTACTTGTTTATAATAAATATATTTCAGTATTATTTTTTATAATAATAAATTTAATTATATTTCTATAAAATTTAGTAATTTTTATTGACTATTAATTTTAATGCACACTAATAGTTAAAATTTCACTAAGTTAAAACTGTAACCTTGACTCTAGAAAACCCTTGGATATGAGCATAACTTTGAACTTTAAATGGAAATGCCCTAGCCTTAACTCAAAGTTTTTTTTTTTTTTTTTTCAACAAACGTGGTCTGAAGCCTCAGATCTGGTTACACTAACAACGTGGCTTTTGCTTTTAACTTTGTGTCACTGATAAAGCTACCACCTCAGAAGTTGATGCGAGTAGGTCTTGTTTTAACGTTATTTCTCAACATGATAACGCTAAACATGTGCTGCTTTTATGAGACTACTGGCAAAAAGATCAGTTTTCCAGCAGTCAATACTGGACAAAAAAAGAGTACAATCTCATAGTAATCTCTAACAGCTTTTATCCATTTTTACATTATTATTAGACACTCTCTTTCTCTCACATTTATCACTGGACTGACTCTGAATAATAACTTTTTAAATGAACTTATTTTTGAAAGTTTTTTTAAACGTATTAAAAAAAGTTCAATATAAAAAAACAATAGGTAAAAAGCTTATTCTAATAAATACTACTGTTACAGCGTAGTTACTTGATCCGCTTTGCTATGCTCTGAAGGTTGATCCATTCTGACCTCAACCATATTTGGTTGCTCATATTGATCTGCTCTGCTTTGAAGGTAAATCCACTCCAATTCCCAACCTTCTATTTAAATTCACCTGCTCATTCATTCCACATGCTAATCCCCAGTTTAGTATTCTCATCGCAGCTGCCTAGTTAAAGATGAATAGAAGTTTTATCTTGATTTTAGTTTGAGTCATGACATAATACTAAACTTAAAAGCCCTGGAGATTGAGTAGGCAGGTCTTATATTCACATTTATATTCATGTTAGCTTCTCAGTGATTGCAATCATGCTGAGTACTCAAAAAATCTATGTTAATTTTTATTCTTCTTTATTGTCCTTACCTTCATTATGGAAGCTTCTCTTGCTGCTCTTCACTAGGAAATTAAGGTACTATCCAGGAGCCTCACAAACAACTTCTAAAGCCCTCACTGCCAGACCGCAAAACAAATCTCTGGCAGTGTATATTGCTAAGTTGAATGCATTCTCTATGACACTGAAGCTTAGGATTGGTCATGTTCCTCAGTATATCAATCCACAACTATCTAGCTCAGCAGTTAAATCTACCTTAGATCTACAAGGAATTCCTGCGCATTGTCCAGCAGTTAGCTTCTAGTTCTTCCTTCTATTCATTCTTGCCACACACTTCTCAGCAGTCTCAGCTGATCGCTCTGCCCACTTCAATCACCCTGCTCTGATCACACTGCTTACCATGATCCTATGAATTTATATCAGATTCAACTTAATGCTCTTGATTTAATAATCATTGGGTTGAAACTGTCAATTCTGTCCATAAGCTCCTAAGCTCTATCACTGTCAAACTGCCAAATGAATCCCAGTCTCTAAACAAGGATCTGACGATGATGACTCAGATGTTAGTGAGATATAGAAGGAAATCTATAAGAATCTAATAAAGAATATTATAACTATTATTAATCATATATATTATTTCTAGAATTGATAAATCTTATATATATTATATATAAAATAAAATTTACTGATATATTTTATAAAAATACTTCATATTTATTAAATATTATTCTTTTCTTTTCTTTTTACATGTTTAAATAAAAACCTTTAAGTTTATATAAATCAAAAAATCAAAAATTTCAATATTATCAAATAAAGTATAATATAAATTAAATGAAAATTTCTTCTTTATTTTAAAGAGAGATGGATCAAAGATAAATAATAAATAAACTAATTAGTATGATAAAGTTTTAGTTTTATAATGTTAGTTTTAAAATTTTTAATTTTTTACTTTAGTATCTTTCGTGTCGGTTAGCGGGGCGCCGAGACTGGTTGGCCCGTGCCCCGGTCGCGGTCCACATGCCCGTTACGGCATGGCTGTTGCCGCTTCGGGAATGGCGTCCGGCTCGCCGCTTTTGCAACATCTCACGCCGCCCTGACGACACTGCTTGATCTATAAAAACCTGACCTCACTCCAACGACGACGCACTTCCTCATCCTCTTTCTCCCTCATCCCATCTTCCCTGCCCAGCTACAATGCCCCCCTCACCTTGCAGGAGTGATGCCGTGTTATCTGGCACTCACCACCTTTTTCACACTGCACCCGTGCAGTCACCAAACGCCTGTCTGATGGGTCTGGCAGAGCTAGGCCTGGACGGTCAGAGAATCGCTTCACCAGTTTCTGGGCCACCCACGCCCATCTCGTGAGGTTACCTTGCTTGCTCTGGGGCCGAGGCAGCTGGAGTTTTTGCAGCCATGTCTCTCGATGGTCATCTCATTGTCTGATCGGCAACCCTGTGCGGCAGGCAGGTTTCACTGTTGTTTGTTTCCATTTTTCCTTTGCTTGCAGTTTCTTTTTTCTCTTCTTTTCTTTTCTTTTTCACGATCTCTCTGCTCTCCCGCTCTGGTTCATGATGCATTCCCTATCCATGGAGGTTCCATGCTGAGCGTGATGGGATGCATGTATCCTGAATCCACCATGTCAGCGGGGCTTGGGCGCCGGGGGTTACATCCTCCCATCCGCCTCTGACCCCCCAAGGCTGACTCGTAGGCTCTCACTTTTGTTCTCCAATCAATGGAAAAATTACTGCATCTCTTCCCCCGTGGGATGTTCCCGGAGCTGCCTCAGGCGGGGGCGTATCAAGGAGCGCAGGTGGGGCATGTGAACCTTGGAAGTTGCTATGATCAAATGAGATTGGCATAGGGCACTGAGGTATCTGTCCCCAGGGTTGCAATTTTGATGCAAGGAATGAAGGAACTCTCCTCATCAACTCTTTGGGGACGGCAGCAAAGTGAGCACGTCAACACATGTTGATATACTATGAGCAACTATAAGAAGGCCGACCGACCCTGCTCCAGAATTTCTGGTATCTCACAATCCGATTCTCCCACCGCACATACATACACACAAAGACACACACAGCCCTCATTGATTCCCATTCCTGATCTCCTTCTGGTTCCCTGATCATCTCCGCGTCCAAAAGTCCACTCCCACAAAATATGCCATCTCCTGCCCAGATCAACCCTATATTTCATGCGGACTTCAAACCATGGGCGCCCTCTCAACCCAAACTACTGTCGCCACACAGACCCTTCCATTCATGCTCTCCGGCAGCCACTTGTTTCCTTTTCTCTAACCCCATCATGATTCTTCCTGCAGCACCCTACCATCCCCCAAGAATCACCTCCCTACAAGACCACCGGCTGAAGTTTGCGTGTCATTCAGCAGCGGCACTGTATGCCATCAGCATCCCAATCTCGAGCATGAGAGATATCAATACCACCATCCAGTATGCCATCTTCAGAGAACCCCAAGCATGGACCTCTTTATCCGCATGATCCGGCACATCTTACACTGAATTCACCTTGAATTGGTGACTGGAACACAAAAGATCCCACTACCCCTCCAGATGAGCTGCCTCCGCTTGAGGGAGGCACTGCAGAATCTGGTCCATCCTCACAAGACAGGGCTACATCCTGCTGAACCTGCTGGCACCACACCGGCATTACCGGCTGTGATATAACATATGTTACATTTGGATACGAAGTCCAACAATGGATGGTTCTTGACTTAACCATCCGTGCTGACATTCCTGCGCCGCTGGCATTTCTTATTTAGTACAAGTCGATTGGCTTGTGAAGGCGAGGTCTCGGTTCTCCAGGTTGAAAAGATATTTCATTGTTTCTTCCCCACCCTGAAGGCACGAAAAGCTGGATTTTCTCTCCCACACCGAAAGGCTCGAGTACCACATCACGTGGTAGTCTACCTGGGAACGGCGGAGCAGCCTGGTTCGGGATTTCGAAGAGTTGATCAAAGAATTTCATGCAAAATGGAAGGACTGGCCGTCATTGACTTCTCTGGTGGGCTACAGGCACTCCAAGCAGAAACGGAGATCTAGTGAGTGCGGTAGACGAAAAGTTGTGAAGTCAAGCTATTAGTGTCTTCATTGGTGCTGGAGATTTTTTCTGTCAGTGGTAGCTATTTGAAACAATTCATTACCCATCCCTTTAGCGGAGGATATACACGATCGGGATGGTGGCTCTATATATTTATGAATAGGGCTTCAGGGGAAATTTTGTGAACTGGGTGAGAGTTGAATTGCTTCAGGGTCAGATTTCGATGTCGGATGAGACCACCACGCCGCATTCAAATGAAGTATTACACACTTTGCCAATGCATTCTCCACCACGACTTTCGGGCGGTTTGAAGTTTTACGACAAAACTGTGCTTAAATCGTTGTTGCCTTAAATTGTAACATCATTTGTACGTATGAAGCCGAAGCAGAGGAGGGACTATGAGAAACAACTGGTGTACACTAAACAGTATGCATTGAGAAGGCTAACATAAATAATACTTATACACCATAATAAAGCAATCACTAAACCTATTCGGTTTCAATCAGGGCTATTGCATCATCATAGGCCTTAATAATAGGGTCGTATAGCCTTTTTGGGTTTTGCGGTGTTCCAACTATAAGTCCGCCCCATGAGGAAATAGTATGCGCCGTATGGTTCTGCAGAGTGGTTTGACCCAGTCAAACCATGGAGGAAATTCTTTCATCAGGATGCGCTCAAAGCCGCCAGCTTCCATGTTGCCTCGTTTATAAGTTGCAATTTCCTCGTAGCTGCCGGTGTACCATTTCCTGAGCATACTAAATTCGGGCCTTTCTTGAAGTTTATGAGATGTTCGTGGTTGGTTTAACTCCCAACCGTGACGGGCACATTGCCAGATAAGCACGTAGAAGAACTACTCGAGATCATGCCGATAGGTGTGGTCAATATTAAGCAGCACCTCAATTGCCATGAACTCCATTGTGCCAGTCTGGTGCTGTGCGCCACTTCGCCCACTGCGAACTTCCTTGGCAAGATCCAGATCAATGAGCCTGCCAGAGTGACCATCCGCCTTTTCAGGATCAGTTATTATTATATTGTTCTCTGAAATATCCTGATGAAGGATGTTTCCATCCAGGTAAAGAGACTGGTGCGCCTTTATTGCACCATGAAGCACCATGAGCAGCTCCAAGGGTGATTTGTACTTGTAGATTGGCTGACCAGCAGGTGATATCACCAGACAGCAGAGGACACAGTCATCATAGGGTTCCTCACCATTCCTGTTGAAGAGGCTTGGCTGGTGTGCTGATTGAATGGAGAAAGCTAGTTCATTCTCCTGCTGAGGGGCCCTTGACAGTTGGTTGGTGGAACGTGATTGTTTGGACACCTGCATCCCCTTGCCTGGAGATCTGCGTTTCCTAGAAGATGATTTTTGACAGGATTGATGAAATGAGGAGGCAGTACTGGGGGATGTGCTTTTGAAGTTGTGGTGTTTGTCATCAAAGGTCAGACTGCAGCGCATGTCAGCGATGCTGGTGATGGTACTGTGGCCAATGATCCTGGCAACCCCTTGGACATTTTTTTGACCTGCTAGCTTGAAGAGTTCCACCTCTGAGTGCTGCTTGTCTGATACCCATGAGAGCTTGGCTACACCCTCCACTTGTCCATTGCCTGTGAGAAAACATGTGGTCCCACAACACACAATGGCACATTGAAAGAAAAGAATTTCACTCAGCTGCAGCACCATTTCCTCTGATGACCCAGGCTCTTTGACAGTTATTGACTTGCTGCCGCCTTCATCCCTAGCAATAAAGATGTCCAGGCCTAGCTCCTCATCACTCATCATTGTGTAGCCCACAAGCACCTGAAGGAACTGTCTCAAGTCTGCGTGGATATTGATGACGCCTGAGCTGTAGGCGCCCGAGCGGTCAAACACCCATGCCTCCATCTTGGTTCCGCAGATGGTGAATGTGTGGATGAACCACAAGGTGAGCTGTGCAGCAAAGACCTCATGCATGCAGTGGCCTATCTGCAGCAATGTGTCTTTGATCCTGAGCTTCTTCTTTGAATTTTTGAGCTCGCCAACCATCAGGATGTCTCTCCAGTCGTGTTTGTTTTGCAAGGGTCTCCCACCCCTAGCTCTCAAAAGGAGGTCAACTTGCAATTCTGCCTTCAAACCTGTAAGATCCACTTTACTTGCTGTGGTGTAGTAGGTGCTGTGTGATTCTGAGAGAAGGTCTTCTTGAAGATGAAACCACCAGGCAAGGATATTATCCTGTGTAGGCGGATCAGGAAACTGGGCCCAATTACTGTCACTGTCTGGGGCCAGCACATGTCAACAGATGGCATCTGCATGTTGCTCCAGTCTTTCCCTTCAAAGTACTCGTTGAAAAAGCCCTTGATATCTCAAAATGTGTAGCCATGTATCTCCTTAAAAGATTCTTGAATTCAACCTACATATCTGCTCAGAACCTTTCTGTGATGACAAGGTGGATTTGACTGACGTGCCGTAAAAGGAGGGAGGGATGCTTGCCGGAGGGGTCATTCATGAGATGGTAATAGTGAGATTGAGGACAGCCTTCCAGATATCAACGTCTGGTGCTTTTTGAATGACGAGCCGCGCCAGTGCTTGATAGCAGTCGTAGTTGAAGTGACCTTGTCTGAGACACCTAAATAAACCTGCCAGGTCAGAGTCAACATTGTGATCGCTTACGCGCGACCAAAGTTTGAATGCTGTTTCCTCCCTCTGTAAAGCATAGAGAAGCCTTGTTATTGTTCTTTGGCAGATTTCATGAGGATCAGCTGAGGCATTATACACTTGTTCTGTCTTCTGAAGTAGGCCTCACAGCAGATTTAATGAGTCATTTAATAAATGTATTGCAATAATATCACAATCATGGTGTGAAAGCTCAGTCATACATGGTGTTATAAAAGCAAATGAGTATAAAGAGTAAAATTGTTAGTTACAATGTACATTATCTGTGGGAGAGAATAGTAACTAAGCAGATGTTGAATTACTTGCAGTAGCAATGATAATTTAACAACAAGAAGTAAATGTTTATGAAATACTTGATACAATATAATTCAAGGAAAAATGTTAACTACTCTGGATAGTAATAGGTTCAGCATCATTGTTATTAAATGAATGAGCTAGGCTTTCAGTCTAATAGTATAATTACTCAGAGATGTATTATATAACAAGTAAACATCTATGCTCTTGCATGGTCTCATTAAAACATAATAATTAAAACAGTCAAATCTATATCAAAAACTGTTAATGTATTGCTTCAATTATTGAGCATTATGACAATAAAGATATTATATACTATACTGATTTTCTTCAATTTGAATAACATATCAAAAGTTAAAGAATAACTATATCATATGCATTTACTACCTCTCATTAATAAATGCACTCTATCATAAAGAAAATATCATTATAATTGAAATTTTTTATATATATATTTATCACTACTTTTTAAAATTTAATAATTATCACTATCATATTTAATAATATTAAATATTCAAAAAGATCAAATTCAGATAATATTAAATATTATAAAATTAAATTTAAAATTAAAAATTATAGATATAATATAAGAATTTAAAATTTTATATCAAATTCTATATAAATATATTAAAGAAAAGAGATCAAAAAATATAAAAGCTTCAATTAATTAAATACTAAGTAATAATTAGAAGGAAGTGATCAAGAAGTGAATTCATTAATTGAATAAAAACTTTACTTTTCTATAGTTGAATATATCAAAATTACTAGAAATTAAATATTAAGATATTACTATATTAATTCTGATACTTCTTTTTCTACTATAGGCAAGATGTAGGTATATTAATTTATTAAACATCTATCAAATTTTAAGAGAATCAAATAAAAACTTACAAATTCAAAATAAATATTAAATAAAAATATAAGCTTTATTATTAATTGATTTAACTGCTATAAATCTATCTTCAATTAGTATAAGTTTTATACTAGTAATATTTATAATTTTGATGAAATTAGATTTTAAAAAGAAAAATAATATATATAAACAATAGATAATAACTATCTATTGAGATGTTAATTCTGTCATACAGTTATTATATTCTTACAAGTTAATAACAGTGGTAGAATACATCAATGCAGATGATATAGTGTTGAAGTCATTGATTATAATAAAATTAAAAATTTATTTAGAAGATTGATATATATTTTTTAATCTGTCTAATGATTATATTATCATTATATCTAATACCAGCTTTACTAATGATGAAATTGAATTCAAATAAATAAAACTTTTTAATACTGTTACTAAAAAATATCAGATTAGTAGTCATTGATTATTACTATTTAACAATCATAAATCACATCTTATTGAAAAGTTTCTTTAATACTATGACTTTTATAACATCATTATATTTAAATTTTCATCTCATATGAGTCATTTACTGCAATTTCTTGATGGTATACCTTTTCAGCAATATAAATATTATCATATAAAAGCAGTTAATAAGGCTACTCAATATGGATATAAGCAATATAGTAGGAGGTAGTTCCTTGCTAATTTAGAGAGTCTTCATCAAATCTTCAAATTTACTATTATCAGAGCTGAATTTACTGACTGTAGAATCTATCAGTTAAATGAAAAGTAATTCTTCAATATCTAAAATATCATAATATAGATGATAGTCTGGAGCTGCTTCTCTATAACAGAGACAGTAAAAAATGCTTCAGTTTTATTTCATCTTCTGAGATCTAATTCTTTTTTGCATCTTCTCAGTTGAAAATTCTAGATATAGTTATAAAATTATATTATCAAAATTAAAGCAGTAGATAAGGTTATACAAAAGATGAAAAACACTCTGACATCTGATCTAACTCAGCAATTAAATAATATCTTTAATAAGAGTCTAACATAGGTAGAATTGAATACATATTGAGAAAATGAGTTATCTGCTCATTATATGATAAATAGACACTGAACTGTCAAAAACAGCTACAGGCAGATGCAAATAGAGGGTGTCCTCAATATCAAGAATGCCAATCACAAGATCAAGCATTATAAGGAAAAGGAATTGATAAAAGAGAGGAATAGAGCCCTATAGTCAGTTGGGATCAAAGTCCTCAAATCTAATGCCAACCAACCATTATTCTACATGCTCTAATGAGTATATAGATAATCTTTATATTATAGATAGGCATGGTGTTGACCATTAATTAATTTTTGAATATTGGTGATCCTAGAATATTTCAATTATGATGATATTTCCTTTATGGTGAGGCGCACTCACTAATGGAAGGTAGTGAGTGCGCGTGGCATGGTTAGTTGGTAAAGTGCGGCTATTGTTAGAAGATACATAAAGAATGCGAGGTGGAGGTCCCTGAGCATGGGAAGTTTGTCCGCCTTGTCTCCCATACCGGAAATTCGGGCGCTGCGAGGAGGATTTGATGTATGGCCTGACATGTTTCAAAACTATTCAGCATTTACTGACGTCTCCAAGGGTTTCAAACTAATATCACTCGAAATCCCAAGTGGTCCCGAACCACGTGCTGCACTTCGAGATGTATTCCCCTGGCTTCCAGATATACCCCAGAGCAATCTGAATTTACATGAGAATTCATTTCCGGGCCAAGTCTCTAAAAATTGCATACAGAAAGGCACATTGCATTGTTACACTTTGGAGGTTCAAGGGGTGTTAACCTTGACAAGATCTGTCTGGGACGTCCACGCCACACTGACGGGGATTGAGATACAGTGTGACGGCCCGGCGGATGGAGCCATCACTCATTCCATGGGGCATTGTGGCACCTACAATGCCACAATAAGTCCATTGATATCCCCAGAGACTAAGGTCACAGAAAAGAAGACAACTTTCATGATCGACAGCGCAGGCGGCGAGCGGATTGTCAGAGTTGAGTTTGGCGATATTAAGGGGAGGGCCAATGGAACAGAGCTTTGGTTTCTTGTACGTAGTTTACGTCATTTGAATAGTTGGTCTCCATATGCTCACTTGTCACAATCTAGGTTCATACGAATCGCGGCAGGTCAATGTCCTTTCCAAGAGATAAGCCTGTCCCTGACAAACGGGCAATGATTTTTGGGGATGATTCGAGAACTATTACTGGCTTTTATTCAGTTGAGTTTGACATTTCTGTTACCTACCACCCGTTCCCTTTCATCGTCCCTCTTTTCATTTGACATTTCATGCAAATGAAAGGTAAATCTGTTCACAAGCTAACTACATTCTTTTTTTCGTTATCCATGTTTTAGATGATTTGCCAAAGAATATTCGGCCTGGGTGCTGTTACGGAAGTCTGCTCACAAGCTGGACCAAAAAGATAGCCTTTCGTTTGTTTGATCTCTAGATAGGATCCATTGTACTGGATGACCCTCACTGGCTACTGTAACATGCGAAACTCACGTAAACTCGAGGCTGAGCCGTGAACAAATGGGGAGTTTTGTTCACATGGGCACTCCCAGAAGGGTTGCTTGCATTCCTTGTCTTTTTATCGGACAATACTCCTCAAACATGTTTGGGTTTAGGCTACTTACATGACTGTGTCCTAGAAAATTTACTATTCAGAAGACGAACATGAAGTGACAGCGTGAAGGGATAATTTCCGTACTTTCCATTTCGCTTGTCTTGATATGATTAAGCTCAAGCATTCCTGGTTACCTTCGTATTTGCAAGACCTCTTTCAAGATCACAAAAGAAAAGAAGAAAAAAAATCTATCCTAACATAAGCCAGCCACAGTTTCAACATTGGAAATGTTCTGTGATGTCACTCTACTGGTAAAACACTTCATCCTCAGTCAAATTCCATTTCCATACTCATATTGAAATCCTGATGGAGAGTATCCCACTGCACCCAGTTGACTGGGCTCCTGTCTATCCAGCTAGGTGCAATGCCGTCGTCAGGATTGGTAGACATCAATGGGTTCAGGAGTGAATTACTAGTATCACTCTTGCAGATGTGTTCATGAGTGCTGGTTGAGCCAGTCAAGCTAAGTGCAGTAAGTGGACTGAGAGGTGATTGATGCATTGTGATTATCACTTTTGAAAATATGTGATTATACAGAATGTTAAATTGAGGGAGTTCATTAAATGGTGAATTTTGTGTTGATTCATGTGACTAACCCTTCTAGAAATAACATCTTCTTTTAGTCCAGCTCTAAATTTAGGTTAAGAATTAATGTGACTTACCACTAAATAAGCTGTACCACTAAATGAGCTGTGTTTTTATTATGTGCTGCAATTTAATTCTTCAACTTTCACTGCTTCAAAATGTCAAATGAAGAAGCTATTCAACTTGCAATTAAGAATTTAAGAGCTCAAAAGATCAAAAATTACACTGCAACTGCTAGAAAGCACTCAATTAATAAGAAAATACTGTATTAGTATTATAATAACTTGTAACTCACACAGAATGAAGCAATCTCTTAACATAAAAAAAAGCTTTTAAATTAGCAAGAACAAACACTTTTGCTTCATATAAAGAAGCTTGCAGCTCATGACTTTGCTTCTACATCTCAAATCATTCAAAATCTCATTGCAAAAATCATTAAAGAATTTATTTAAATTCATTAAATAAGATACTTTACTGAGCACTATAAGACTCAAATTCAAAGAATTCATATCTATGACATTAATTAAAAATGTAAAGTAGCAGATAATTTTACTCATTTTGAGAATTATTTTCAGCTAGTATTTTAATCTTTTGTTTGTTTTTTTGCACTAAGATCTCTATAAACTCTTGCTAACTATTTTGCTGTATGACTATATAGTTGAATGAAAAGATCAAAAAATACAATATTGAATCATCAAATATTTACAATTTTAATAAAAAAAACTTTTTAATTGATATTAATCAGACTACTAAGCAGATTATTTCAGTTGAAGCTCTGAAAACAAAGTAAATTACTGCAGTTCAAAATGACAGCTGTGAATTCATCTCTTTACTTATAATAATATATGCAGATAAAACAGCTCTTTCACTTATTTTTATTTATCAAGAAGAGTCTTACAATATATTAAATATATAATTAGAGAATCTGAATGAGAATAATATAACTTATTTTGCAGTTTCCGAGAAAGATTGAAATAATGATGACTATAAGCTTAACTGATTAAAGCAGATTTTTAATAAGTATATTAGTATATTAAGAGTAAAGCAGATCAGAGAAGATATTTTCTTATTTTAAATAAATACTCTTCTCATATCAATATAAAATTTATTGATTTTATAAATTAAAATTAAATTTTTTTTGCAGTACTGTCTTCATATTCAACTTATTAATTGTAATTTTTGAATATTGATATTTTTAATTCTCTAGCAGAAGCATATTCTTACAATGCTGATAATCTTCTTTACAGTGAATTTGAATTCATTTAAATAATAAAAAGAAGTTTTTTATCAGTCTTTAATTCTATGTGAGATTGGTTTTTAATATTTAAAAATATTTAATCTGTATTTGCTGTCATTGATATTTATTCTTTTACTTCTGAATATGTTCTTCACTAATTTATAAAATAATTTATATCTTTAATCAATTCAGATTCAATTGAGATTACTATATTTACAATTATATATGTTTTTTGACATGATATTGAGAGAATTTAAATTTAGCAGAGTTTGCTCTTTAAAGACATAGAAAAGATTATACATGCTAATAAAAAACTTATCTTTAAAAAGAAGATACTTGCACATGAGAATAAAACTTTAATTAAAGTTTTATGCAATAAAAAGAAGTGATGACAGCATGAAAAGTTCTTAGATTTATTGAATTTGAAGCAGTAGTCTGATCAGACTCAATTCTTCTCATTATTCAAGATTCAACAAACTCATGAGAGAATTCAGAAAGAAGATCATGAAAAAGAGAAGAAAATTACTCAACAAACTTAAAAATAACTTCAATATAATCTTTAAAAAGCACATGAAGCTGAAGAGATAGTAAAAATAAATTGAATGACAAGCAGCTTAGACAGCAGCTCATAAAGTCTATGAAAAAGAGAAGACTAGAAAGACAGAGTAGCATGAAGCTCAGCAGTTTGATAGAGAGGCTAAAAAGACTCAACTTGAAGCTGGGAAGTAAGAATAGACTCATACTCATGCTGTAAAATAAAAATCAATTAGTTCAACTATAGCTACTTCAAAGCAATAACAGAAGCAGACATCTATAGCAGATTCTAATTCATTAAACTCTATCTGATCTTTCAGTCTAGAAAATGAGGTCAATCTCAATTTCTCAAAGTAGCTTACTGCTGCTTCTACTATTAATTTAGAAATTGACACTTCTTTGATTAATCTTTTTACTTCAGCTGAGTCTTTCATCATGGCTGTGTTCTTTGATCAAGCATACATCTATTTTATTAAATCACTTATTTTGTATGGAACTAGAGAATACTCTCATTACTATTTAATAATCTAATTAATATTTATTTCATTGTTGTGGAATTAATTAGATTCTAGCAAGTTGAGGCAGTTTTGCTGAGAGCAGCTCATTTAGTGATATGGCTTGTTTAGTGGTAAGTCACATTACAAGGGCTTCTTCTGTTCCCTCATTTGTTTCTGAGTGTTCAAATTACTTACTAGTTAACCATCAGCAATAACTAAATATCGTAGTTAGCTGAAGCCTCTGTATTATGAGGCTAGGCAATAATTTGTCCTGGCCACCATTCCCCATCCTCATCCCCTTTCCCCACTCCCCACTCCCCACTCCTCACATCGCACAACGCTGGCTACCTGGACGGCCCAAGACGCAAGTCAATTCGGGTATTTGGAGGCCAACTCAGCCGAAGAATGGGTTACTATGCTAAAAGTGCAATAGGTAGTTAATTGACAGGAGGTCTTTCTTCTCAGCATCTGTGCAGGCCAGCCTCAAACACTCCGAATTCAAATTGACTCCCGGAGCTCACTGGAAACGGCTTTAAAACTACCATCAGCTTTGGGATTTGAGAAAGCTAGCAACAGTTACAGTTGCTGGATTCTTTTACATCCTCCTTGAACTTGATATTGTCCTTGGAGGGATCATACCTCCCTTTCAGATAGGATTCTTATAGCCATCGCTAGGGCTCATAGTGGTAGAAGCATTGAGCATTTGACGTCCCTAATTGCCTATCACTGCGGCACAAGAGGCATTCCCTCAAATAACCATGTCACCCGCTTATGCATTTTCCGAAATTCCAACCATTGACCTGTCTCTAACGGAGTCTCCCGCTACAAAACCAGAACTTCTCGAGCAGCTACATCATGCACTTGTTTCTGTTGGGTTTCTATACGTGTCCAACCACGGTGTTCCAAATGAGACCATTGCCAACCTTGTTGATGTGCTGCCACACTTTTTCAGCTTACCTGACTGGGCGAAGGAGGAAATCGCGCTGCATAATTCTCCCCATTTTCTAGGATATAGCAGCGTTGGCGCAGAGACAACTGGGGGGAAAGCAGATAGAAGAGAGCAGGTTGAGTTTGCAACTGAATTGAATACAACATATGCACCTGGAAGACACCTATACGAAAAATTGAGAGGCCCAAACCAGGTAAACTTTCACTCACATCTTAATTTCCTTTCACGTTGCCTATCTCATTGCATATACTTCTGAGAAGGCTCGCATGGAATTGTATAAAAATGTTAACTATCACTCTATGTAGTGGCCATCCCAACTCCCGGACCTCAAACCAATTGTTCAATCCTACATCACGGAACTCACATCGCTCGGCGAGCGCTTTCTCCGCCTTGTAGCGGAAGCCCTTTCCCTCCCTCCATCAACATTTATCCCTTTCCTCTCGGACCAACACCGCCTGAAGCTCGTTCATTACCCCGGCACCACTCCCTCCAACCCAGCCGATAACCTCGAAGGAACGCAAGGTGTTGGCCCCCACAAAGACTCCTCGGGTCGGTGGACGTTTCTCCTTCAAGCTTCCCCACCCTCCGTAAAAGGTTTACAGGTTCTCAACAAAGCCGGAAACTGGATTGACGTTCCTTGTGTTCCTGGCACATTTGTGGTTAATATCGGCCAGGCATTCGAGGTCGTGACTAATGACGTCTGCAAAGCCACCATGCATCGTGTGCTCATGGATCCTGGGTCTGGTGAACGATTCAGTGTACCATTTTCCCAGGGGGTTAGGCGCTGTTTAACTAAAGAGGCCGTAGGGACGTTGAGGGATGAATTTCAGAGGACTGTGGCGATTGGTGGCGAGTCTGAAGAAGGAATGAGGATTGATTCGCCGTTTTTGGGAGGGAAGTATGATACGTGGGGTGAATCGCAGCTGAGAACAAAGGTGAGGAGCCACAGGGACGTGGGCAAGAAGTTTTACGCCAAGGTTTATGAAGCGTATGTGAATGATGATTGAGGTATGTCGTACATACACTGCAATCGGTCACATTTTCGAGAGACACCCCGATTTCGTGTTTTATTGCTCAGCATATCATACCCTATATGATCACTCCTTCGACAAACTCCGATATGTCGGGCCTCACTTCAAAGGAAGGTCGTAAATATGCTTCCTGAATGCCATGAGTTGATAATATTTGGTTAACAAGAGTCCTTCCAAGGTGTACGTATACAAAAAGCATCCATATCTCGCCTGTCTTTTTCCTGTTGGTCCTGTCACTAACTAGCCTTGGGGTTTGTAAATAATATTTAGACGCCAAGCAATTTAAGGGGATGCAGATCCAGGAGTGGGCCATATCTGGGCTGATGATTTTAACTCTTTTTTTTGCCCGTTAAATTAAATAGATATCTACGATGCTGAATATAATATCGGGTCAACTTCCCTTCCTTGCCATCCCACCTACCGGGGCCTTGCAATTGGTGCTTGAGATCTCGGGTCTGAGGTGGGCGATGCACGGTCCCTCAAAACATGATGTACTGAACATTCCATCGGGGTTGACAGGGGTGGGTTAGGGCAGCACGGGAAGGGCAATATTCAAATCGCGATTGGCGAACGTTTCCGGTATCGACACATCTATGCTTGTGGGTACTGAAGCCACAACACTTCGGGATATCATACAAGTGCCGAAGATGCTTGATCGTGTCCTTGATGAATATAGCGGGGAAAGGCGTTGAGGGGGGAGGCAGGTGGTTAAGAATTGTAGAACAGTGAGTAGTTACTCGATAGTTGTATTGATGAAAGTTAGTATCAAGAGAAGTGATTGTTAACACTGTGATTAGCATTGTTTCAGATGTCTCTTCTAAAATCTTTTCTCTCAAAGATAAATCTCTTTTTCTTTCCATATATCCTCTATGCTATTCATTCAGCAATATACTCCCTTGAAGCTAGAGTCAGATTTGATCCTTCTTATAGGGTCAAATCCTAATGCTAACCTAACCGAATTCGGGAAGAATTTTATCATATAAACGAATTAAAAGAGCCTCTCATCCTAGTAAGTAGAAAATTGCTTAATCGTTCAAAATTCCTGCACGGCAAGTCCGTTTAGACCGACCTAATTTGATAATATATATGTGTGTGTACATGTTTTGCTATCATAAATAGTGGTTCCCTGTCGCAGACCATCTGAATGAAGCATGTTCGAGGCAACGCCTGCTTAACGTAAGGGGAGTATTCATAAAACACCAATGGGCGGATCCACCTGATAAACACGTTTTAGCTATTTCTGCACTCTCCCCCCATTTTCATGCGGAAACCCACTTTCTCTGGTTCTTTTTTTGGTCATTAACTGTTTTCGTGTGTAGTTAACTCTCATTATTCCCCGAAACATCGATATTCACGTATTGCAAACACGGAATTTTGGTCCACATGTACGATTCTTTTCCTTTCGAACGCGTTCTTTCTGTGCCTGGCGGCATTGCCACTTGTGCTTGGGCCAGTCAAAGGACCGGCATATGGTGGAGCAATACCTTGATTGTGGAACATACCACACCAATTAACGTTGTGGAAGGGTCCTTCTACCACAGGAATTCTTTGAGATTGATAAGAGATGAGAACATAAAGAACCAACAACTTTAAACCTACCAAATTCTCCTACAACCGCTGCACCGCGTTGTATTGCTTACACGCCCGCAGCACTCGCAGCTCGTTGCTGAAGGGATTGGAAATACGGGATGCAGTATGTCATTAACATAATCTTTGGCAGCCTGCTCTGCTCGCCAATCGCACTCTCCGGCAGATCGACAAATTGGCACGACTGAATCCCAAAATAACGGACGAAAGGCAGGAGATGTTCCTACCCGGGGACTCAGAAAGGGAAGGCCGGAATGGTATAATTCCTTTGCAGGCTCTCCACATATTTGGCAGACCCATGGACGGGCGGCAAAAATCTCCTTATTGTGACGGATGACTATTGATTGAAATAATTGACCTTCTGCATCGTGGTCAACGGGCGTTTCCAGCGTACGGTTGCATATCGAACTGGGGCTCTCTTCCTGGAATCTAAAATTGTAATCATATCCCCCATAGAGGTCTGGAATTGGGATTCCGCATATCCCCTGATATGTGATTTTAGTTGTCTGCAGTCGAGATACCTGAAAGCGACCTGACATTGTCGGTTGCTGGAGGGGGGTGGGGAGCTGGTTTTTTGCCGCTCAGTGTGCAGGTAATTATCGGAAGAAACGATAAAGAGCGATATAACGTGGAAGTGACGTGCAAGGAGCTGCAACGATGAGATGCAGCATCCATCATTTGGAGCGTCATCAGCATTTCTTCGTAGGAATCCCGAGGTCTCGAGAGGTGATGTCCATTTTGGGTAGCTTCGGTTTGACTTCACTCCTTGAGCCTCACCGCCGCCCATCGTCAGACATGTTGATATATTCTCTTTCGCCATATGAGCCACCACATGGTTGCACGACAGCCATACCTGGTCATATCCAGTCCTAGGCTGCAGGATGAATCAACGTCGCTAAACATTCGACCATCCCCCCTTAAGCGTGCAATACGGCACGCTCTGGTTGAGCGGCGCTTATTCAACGCCAGCTTAGTTACTTAACTATCACCAAGTTCCCCCTGTTAACTACTATTTTCGTGCATATTATTGCAACTGCGTGGTTACGAGGATATCGCAAGACACAGGCGTGGGCATGTACCCGCTTGTTACAAAGTGATTTCGGCTCCATAACTGTTTGACACTTCAAACATATTTACATACTTGCTTCTTCAGGTTTCTTCATTGTTCTCTCTTCTATAATCGGCTCCCACATGGAGCCTTTTTCTTTCTTCCTTCTTCTTTTCTTTTCTATAATTTCCCTTCTCTAATGCAAGTTAAGGATAAATCCAACGCTCGAGGTAAGAGGATTTGATTGGCACTTCCAAGCTCCAGTTAGTGATATTGAATGGATTCGACGTCTAAGTCGATATAGACCAGATTTTTGGATAGAAATAGTCAGGCGCAGAGCTTTAATTTACAAATCAATATGATATTCTGAGTGTATCTCACATGGTAGACAATCAGCAGAATTTCCGACAATTAGGTGTAAAATGGTGTACATAGCTAGGCACGTCCAACGATTCGTTCACAGAGGAATGGCTGCTTCATACAACAGGAATGGATTTTGGAGCCATGAAAGCCTCCCCTACTTTCGCTAGCCATGAGGTCTGAGTAAGATAAGGTAGGCTTGCTGCGCTTAGAAAGGTAAATGGTAACCCTCGAGCTATTATCCAACGAGCTATTATCCGACGCGGCGGACAGAATTATCGGTATAGTGCTCAAAGTGATTATTGAAACCCGGGGACTGCGTGAAACTAGCTGTGAATCCAGAGCTTCCAACTAATAATACCATCAAGCACTATCTGCAGTAAAACGCATCAAACCACCTTTAAAAGCCGTTCATCAAACACGACTAGCATCTTCATAAGCAAACAGAGCAGTCTGTCGTGTTTGTCGATGCGTCCTGGAACTGGCGAACAATCATTCCCAATCGCAGCGCCCAATCTTCACGCCGTGTCTCTTGGATAAGGTCATTGGCCATATCTAACCTCCTAGCATACTTCTTCGATTTTCCCGTCGCCGATATTTTTCTGCCATGCATGTAGAGTTCTGACGTCATTGCATTGGACGAGGCTAATAGCGCGGTCGAGATGACAAAAAGTGCGAGAATAAGAATCTGTCCTGGTTTGCTCACATTGCTGACGAGAGCAACGTCAGTATAAACGAGCAGCGTCGCGAATGCTGTGATTGAATCTTCTGCGAACGTGCAGTCCCGCAGCCACTGGCCAGATGTCACGGCTTTTAGGTCATCCACCGCACCTTGAAGTCTGACCCATCGATCCTGGCTTAGGAGAATAAGAAGGTCGCCCTGAACTCCAGGTTCGGGAGCACCTTTCCAGCCGAGGGTATTCCGTCGGCGGATGACCATCACATTGCAGAGGCGAGCGAACATCAGTGCCAGGAGAGCAGAGACACCCCACCAGTCGTGTGCGATAATTAGGATTACTAAAACGGCTTGCGATGCAATGGCGGCAAGGAAGTAGGGTATGTTTGAAGATGCAAATGTCGCAGTCAGAGGGAAGAGGAAATTCAATTTTGACTGGAGACCAGTATTTGATTTTGAAACTGGAGCTACCTTGAGGTATGTAAGGTGACCGGTAACACTCATCTTCTGTAGGAATAGCACGGTAGCTGGATTTTCCACGCGGAATACATATCCCGATGTCAGCGCGGCAGTTGCTGGGTGCTCGCCATTGTTGAGTTCGGGTGCAGATTGTTGCCGATGAATGCCAGGACAAAGCACGAGTGTGTCAAGGAGAGCTGATGCACCTGTGAGTGCCGTGCGTTTAGCGAGAACCGAAACCTCTGCGATGGCTACAAGGCCAGCGGCATTCAATGAAACCCCCCTCACAGGAATGAAGTTCCAGGAGCGCGGGTGCAATTCAGCCTTCTAATATTAGACCTACACTAGGAATAAGCACTTTGTTGACACGTACCTGATGTGGGATATACATATTCAAAATGTCGGTGATGAAAGACAACATATTTGATACCACCTCCATGGCAGGCGTTTGCTTCTGGGGTTTGAGGCTCTTTTAACTGCTTGATGTCAATGAAGAGGACCTGAATACACCTAATCGTGCCGTGGCTGCACAATCTGCTTGGTAGGCTGATGAGTTGCTGCGCGCTCAGACTCACTAGTGACTAGAAAGCCTTCAGCGCCTCACCAAGCTTCTGTGAACCTCGCCCCGCCTGAGATGAAATATATGAGGAAAACAACACTATGATTGGTTGGGGAAACCATGGGCTACAGACAGCGAACGTCAAACCATGCCTATTCTATCAGTGCTAGTGCACTGCATGGTGTCCTCATCACAGCCTGGTGGGATGCAGAAACATCAATTCCAGCCTTGCGCATCCTGACGTTATCATAAATATCCCCTCTCCGCCTTGAGATAAAATGGTGTTTGAAATCCTTGTATGTTATCGGCAGGGCGGCTTTTGTCAGAGCTATAGTGCTATGAAGAGTGTCTTGAAAGTGCCTATTTCAACACCATCCAAGAGGGGGTCCTTGGGGCACTTGTGTCCAGCCAATGTGAGCATAGAATTACGGCCAACGATCGAGCTTTTCTTTCCCAAATAATATGGCAGCGTACAACTATCACGGGCAGTGCCCTCTAAAACGAGGGGAATTTCGGCTTGTACGACTCCACCGAGGCGAAGGCAATGCCGAACTTGAATGCAATCTGCTGAAGCGCACTCTTCCTAGCGACGACATGCCGGAGAGCGATCTCTTCGGTGAAGTGGTCAGTGCGCCAAATCCAGAGCCATATGAAGCCCTGTCATATACTTGGGGCCCAAAAGGTGAAAACTGTCATATCAAAATTCTGGAAGCTGATGAATCTCATGCAATGGAAATTCGACCAAACCTTAAAGCTGCATTACTGCGTTTCAGACTTCCTCGCTCACATCGATATTTGTGGGTGGATGCTCTCTGCGTGGATCAGGACAATCAGGAGGAGAAAAGCACCCAAGTCAGCATGATGTTCCGGATCTTTGATACCGCGGAGAGTGTCTGCGTCTGGCTGGGTGAAGAAGCCGACGGAAGTGCCAGAGCAATGGAATTTATCCGATGTCGTCTGAAACCTGACAATTTTGACAAATTGGTGGAAGACCAATCGTTATCCGAGGAGTGGGTAGCGCTGTGTGCCTTGATTCGACGACCATGGTTCAGTCGACGGTGGATAATCCAAGAGATAGCATTGGCAAAGAAAGCCACTGTATTTTGCGGTGGATCGAACGTGGACTGGGAAGAGTTCGCTGATGCAGTTTCCCTCCTTGTTCATAGTAAGGAGAACGTGCGGAGGCTCTTGAGAAAATCCAAGGATTATAGTGATCATCCGGACTACCTTGGAGATGTTAGTGAATCAGCAGCTGCCCGGCTGATAGATGCATCGGATAACATGTTCAGGAAATCAGAGAAGGGACAGATCCTAGAACGCCTCCTTTCTCTAGAGGAACTCATGTCCTCCCTATCCGCATTCGAGGCCTCAGACGCCCGAGATGTGCTCTATGCGATTTTGTGGCTAGCCCGCGATGCACGCCCGGGTTTCAAGGGCACATTCCCAACTTCGGATGACACCACCAATGAATGGCCAAGAAGGCTATCTGTATCCAGCGACTTTCCGACATCACCCACTAGTGGAGCTGATTCTCTAGATACACAACTTCGTGCGCTTGCCCACGTCACAGAGGGTCGAAAAAGAGCCCTTTCTGATACCACAAGCAATGAAACACCCCACAAGCGCGTAAATGGCACTGAAAATCTCGATATCCCCCAAATTTCTATAAGTTATGTCAATTCACGCGCGAACGAAACGACGGGAGATCGTTTAGTGAGGATGGCAAATTCACCTACCGATCAGCGCGAACCTCTAAATCCTATTGTGACCAACGGTCACCCATTTCGCACGTCTATTCTAGAAATTTCACCAACCCAGGGATCTGTTGACTCTAATCTAAGTGTGAGAAGAGACTCAATAGGAAGACAGGGTTTCTTGGCGATAAAAGCTGCAAAAACACTCCGCGAGAGGGCGAAGAAAAACAGTATCCCGGTTGATTACAAAAAAAGTGTTCTTCAAGTATGTAAAGATGTTTTAAGATTCATATTTACTCAGTCAAACTCGCTAGACATGATGTGCCGACCATGGGCACCCTCTGGCACCAAGCTTCCTTCATGGATGCGCCCCGTATCAGATAAAGCCTTTGCCACCGAAAGACAAGGAGTTTATCGTCGGGTTAATGCCGATTCGTTGGTAGGTAAACCCTGGCCCAGCCCAAATCTCTACAAGGCTGCCCATGATATCCCCGCTTGTTGGTCGTTTGATTCTGAAGTGGAGGAAATCCTAAATGTCAAAGGCTTCGTGCTTGATACGGTACGGCAAAAGGCATCAGCAGCTCGGGCGGGAATTATTCCATCCGACTGGAACAAAATTGCGGGTTGGGAAAATACATCCCTACCTCCCCCAGAGGCCTTCTGGAGGACGTTGGTTGGAAATCGGGACTTCGAAAGCCGCAGGCCACCACGACACTGGAGGAAGGCGTGCCAGGACGCGTTCAGTCTTCGAACGTCGGGAGGGGACCTCGACATGAAAGAATCGGTTGCATATGGGTGCCCGAAGTTTGTGCAGCAGTACCTCGAGCGAGTGCAATGCACTGTATGGTCACGAAGACTTGCGGTGTTAGCACGCATTCCAGCGCACGAAGCATTGTGTCTTCTCCCCATGGGGGCTAAAAAGGGGGATAAAGTATGCATTCTATATGGATGCAACGTTCCTGTCTTGCTTCGAGATAGGGATGCGAGCAGGCGTTGTCGGTGCGAGTGCCGGCAGCGAAATTGCCTGTGCTGCGCGCACAACCACACAACAGATTTAGACGACACGACGCCCTCTCGGTATGATCTGATTGGCGAATGCTACGTGCATGGAATGATGGATGGGGAGGCTCTTGATTACAAATTGAAAAACAGAATCAAAGGACAGAACTTTGACATCCGATAGCAAAAAAAGATGGGCTCTTCAGGGCTCGTCAGGTTGGAGTGAGGTTATAGACCTGGTTGGATTGGATAAGTCCGTTGGTGGATTAAAACATAGCGAAGGGTCCACTAATACTGAATCTGAATTGGACATACTTCATGTATATTTTTGAGACAGCGTATTGCCTCTCCTCTGCTCGTGTTTCCAAACTCGAATGTATTCCGAACCACAAGGGCTTATATCGAGTACTGCAATCTGGTAATCAGGGGCTGTTGGCTGACCTACTGTGAGCAGATATTAACAACCAATTCAAATGGTTTCGCTAAGTATCCGGTGTGATGTGCAGTAGCGATCGCGCTGCGAGGACCACTCGGAAAAGGGTCAATTATATTTTGTGAGTTTCAAGCTGCCTCCACCCCCCGAACCAAACACGCTTTTTGTTATGTCATGTTGGCAATTGGTTTCTCCTTGGGGTATTGAAGCCAAACCGGCACTCAGCCTCACGAAGTGTGTGATGGACGGGCCCCCTCTTTCCAATAGCTATCAACGCCGAATTTATCTACCGGGTCAATTTAGCATACCGTTCAGTATTGTGTGATGCGCAAGTCCCGCGACAAAAGGCGTTGAAGTTTGGGACAGGTATCCTCAATGTTGTAAGATCCAGTAATTCTAATTCATGCCAAGTCCAGCTGCATGAGAGAAATCATACCAACGGAGGCAATGTTGCAGAGCAATTGAGACATTCCAATAATAAAAAGACATACGCACAAGGTATTTGGATTGGAGTGGAAATAGCGGACCATTAAATATATATATGTTAGCATCCTCCAGAGGGATCTATGTATTGAAAAAAAAAAATTGAAAGAAAAAAAAAACCCGGAAAACCTGAAGATGAAGCAATAGGAAAGAAAAACAATAAAGTACATGACGAGAGAATAATACAATTGTACAGAATAAGATTGCTGATCTCCATCCAAGGACAGATTTGAAGCCGCCCATCGGAATAGGGTAGGCGTGGGAGTTATGGCTGAAGCTATGGAATATGAAGGTTGGAATGAATGTGCACAATCTCCGTGGAAGCGGGATAGAAGTGGGGTGAGGGGAAGGAGATGCAAAAATTAAAGGGGGAAGCACAAAAATCTAGCAAGGGAAGTCAACGAACAAAAGAGAAAAGAAAACGCAAGAGCAGTCAAAACATCATTCTATACCACAATTACACCACATTCTGACGCTATCGTCTTTTTTCTCGAAAAACATGTCGCATACTTTACTCGGGCTTCCGTCCCACCATCATGAACATGGGGGTGAATAACTTCATCTCACCACCCTTTACCAAGCAGTCAGCAGCATATGCCAAACTGTATGCAGTCTTCTGGGCGCCATGAGGCATAATTCCAATTTTCTCGAGGCCACCAACCAAGTGATGAACAATCGCACGCCCCCACCATGTCAAACGGAGAATGGTCAGGAAGTCACCCATAGAGCTCATATGCTTCCACGATCCGGCCAAGGGGTAATACCAAGGGATCTCATCACCTCGATCTGCGAGATCTTCGGCATGTATAAGTTCAAAACCGGCAGTTTTAATGGCCGCAAGCGCAACATCAGCCTTGACCATGTTGGAGATGCCATTACCCTGTTCAATTCCAAGGCGGATTTCACGGTGCTCTGGGTTGTCATTGTCGTATTTGTCAGTCATAACCCACTCATATACACCAAAAGTACCACCAGGCTTCAAGACCCGATAAATTTCACTGTATATGCCTTCAAGGGACGGGGCGTGGACGGTGGCTTCAATAGCATAAACTGCATCGAAAGTTTCCGGTTCGAAGGACATCTGCATAAAATCTCCCTTGACGAAACGCAGTTTGTTCGACAGACCCTCCTTGGTAGCGTAGTGTACGGCACGATCGATCTGGTAGTCGTTGTTGTTCAAGCCAATGACATTGACACCCGCAAACTTAACAATTTCTCTGGCAGGGCCACCAACACCGCAACCTACGTCAAGAACAAGTTGATTTTCCTTCAGACCTACCCAATGGGCAAGGTAATGTTCATGCCGAGCGATGGATTGGCGGAAAGGCTCGCCGTACGCGAAACGGCAGAAATGGAAGGATGATCCCCAGCCATGCTCATAGAAATCGGTAGCAAGATTGTAATAACTACGAATGGGCAAACCAAGGCTGTCTGTTAATAATCGGAGCTTACATAAGGGGCTAACCCTAATGGGACCAAATGGGAGAGACACTCACTGTCGGGTAAGAGTAGCATATTCCGCTCGTCGTGCCTAAGGAACAATGGTATTAGAACTATCCATTGCTAGAACACTCCTCATCCAGACGCTGCACTAACCTCTCTGACTTCTTCAGTTTCATCCGCAGAGGACTTCTGGTCCCAATGCTTGAAATACTCATCCACAGCGGCCTTTTGCGCGTTGCGATCCTTGGCTGTCAGAGCTGCCAGACCACCACGGCTTCTGGCAGAAGTGCCATGGAGGGCCTTACTGAAAGCAGCATCACGTTTGTGGTCCTCAGGCTCGAGTACTCCTGGCGCCATGTTGCCGGTTATATCTGTTGTAGAGAGAGTGGGGAGGGATTGTGGCGAGAAAAGGAGGTGCTGAGTAGAGAAAAGAGGGAAGATTACGAGGTGGATTTCAGAGTCAATTGGGCTTTCTTCAATTCGAAGGTTCCCAAAACAGTTGAGGATATCAAAAAGGTACAACTCCAGAGCGAATGTTGGGTTGTTGCCGTGGAGTGAAGAAGATGTTTAAAACATTTGAAAATAAATCTGGAGAAAACTCGCCGTTGATCCAGGAACAAGCGACAAAGGACTAGTGATTGTTAGCTTAGCCAAGCCTTAGTTAGCAGTTGTTAGGAAGAGCGCAACCCGTAGCCAATAGGGAGCTCTGAAAACGAGGCAGCCTGTAGGAAGTGGATACTACGCTAGCCTGCATACGGCCTGTGCAGACGTCTCTTGGCCAATCATAAGAGATGCTCCGCTGTCCAACAACCGTTCGATCCCGGATAAAATTGTTCCAAGTTCCTGTGCTTAGTAAGTCATTTCTCCGAATTCATGTGATAATGCCAAAGTTCGATGAATCCAAATGGGGTAAGGCTGATTTCTGATCTATCAAGATTGGATTTCATCCAAAACTATCTTAAAAACCAAACTTCGACAAACAGTTATTATAGGTAGCAACACTTACACCTCTTCACCTGTCACCATGGGCCCTCCTCCTCAGATAAAACAAGATATCAACCGCTCGGGCTGGGAGACAACAGATTTCCCCTCTGTTTGTGAATCATGTCTCCCCGACAACCCCTACGTCCAAATGCTCAAAGAGGACTACGCCGCCGAATGCAAAATATGCACGCGCCCTATGACCATGTTCCAATGGAAACCCGACCGAACCGCACGCACAAAACGCACAAATATCTGTCTGACATGCGCACGACTCAAGAACTGCTGCCAGTGCTGCATGCTGGATCTCTCCTTTGGCCTGCCCATCGTGGTTAGAGACGCGGCCTTGAAGATGGTGGCACCAGGACCACAGAGCTCGATAAATAGAGAATACTACGCCCAGGAACACGAGAAGGAGATTGAGGAGGGCAGAGGGGCGGTGGAGGAATATGCGAAGACGGACGAGAAGGCTAGAGAGCTACTCAGGAGGCTGGCTAATAGCGTACCCTACTATAAGCGGCAACGGCGAATACAGCCAAGCGGCGAGAGCGGTGACCAGCAGGAAGGATCGGGGCAAAGGCAAATAGGATACGGACCAGGACCGGGCTCTGGAGGTTCTACACCGGGTCCCATTCGCACCGGCGATATTCGGCGTGGCGGACCTCCTGGCCGAGGAAGGGCTGGCATGCGGGGTGGACGTGGTGTTGGTGGTGGCGGTGGTCGTGGCGGACGAGGCTTCCCCAGCGTTGCGCAGCTGCCGCCTGGGCCGCAAGACATTCTTCCCCCCGAAGATACCAACATCACATCCCTCTTCATCACCGGCGTCGAGGACGATCTTCCCGAACATGCAATACGGAGCTTCTTTACTGAATTCGGCACGCTGCGCTCGCTCATCTGCTCACATCGATCCCACTGTGCCTTTGTTAACTACGCGTCTCGAGAGGCGGCGGAGAAAGCTGCAGCTCATTGCCAAGGTAAGGCGGTGATTCAGGGCTGCCCACTTCGCGTGCAGTGGGGTAAACCTCGGCCACTGGATAGTATGGACCGGGAGGAGAGGATGCAGAACGCACGACAGGGACGGTTGATGGTACCAAGAAGAAGTTCTGGGTGGGAAAGGACCGCGAACGAAACTACGCAGGGTGGAAATATTGGAAGTGCTTTACAGGACACAGAGAAGAAACCGACATATGTCATCGCTCCGCCGCCAGGGAGTGGGGATGTTCATTATGCTAGCTTGGCTGGGGATTGATGTTGATTTCGGGGTATTTTACGATTCGTTCGGCGTTAATAATCAGTGGAAGGAATACTGTGATGGTGTTTCCTTCTTGTTTCCTATTTTAAATCATCTGTGTATTATATACAGCGGGCTTTCGGTTTCTATTATATATCTTACTCGTCCTTATCTTCCCATTGGACGGGGGGGGGGGTTTTTTTTCCACCTCGTATACACCGACTGTTGACGTGCGCAGCCTAAATGTAGTTCCATTTGCCTCTCTTCAATGTCGGGGCAAATATATCCTCCTTCAAAAATCGCATCAGGCAACATATCTGTCCAGAGAGTTCATAGCCCTAACAAGTACACATTCCAATTGCCACTGGACCTCGAGCGCGTTAAAATACCCTTTAGCCTTCACGATTGCGAGCACGTCTTGCCAACCGCAGCTTTGATTCCCTTATTCCCCGCCGTCTTAATTGTATCGTTATCCCCGCGCTCGATATGTTCATGAATACGCAACTCTACAACCAAGTAAGTCAGTCTATCGTTTTTTTTTTTTTTTTTTTTCCATCTTCCAACCCACAACAATCAAACAAACCAGCCAATCAGCCTGAATTACAATGGGAAGAGAAAAGAAAAGGGACACATACCATACCGCTGCTCCTCCTTTCCCGCCTCCCCGGAACCCTCAACCCTCACACCTTGGACAACATTCGTCCGCAAAATCTCCGCCGTCTCAACCGCATGTTGAATGTGCTTTGGAGTATCAACGCCCAGTCTGCGATTTTGGTCGAAGTGCTTGCGGGCTTCTGCCCGGGCGGCGTGGAGGGTTGTAAAGTCGCCTGTTGCAAGTAAATTCGGGGTTAGCTAGGGGATCGGTTGAGAGATGGAGGGGTAACAACTATGCGAGGGAGGACAGGCGTTTACCTTGGAAGGCGATGCGGGTTGCGCGGAGGAGGAGGCGGTAGGCGCTCAGGGCGTTTGGCAAGGGTGTGGTGGCCATGATTGCTTATGGGTATATGGGTAAGGGTGATTGTTATGAACTGGAGATATTTGGCAGAGTATCTTTTAGCATGTGGGATCGTAGCCCTGGGGAATTTGCTAAGTTGATCGAGGATTCGAGAAGAGATAGATGCCTTCAATAAGGGACTCTATTTTCTGCAGAAACAAGAAATAGCCAGTTTCATCTAAGAAGGATCATTATCGGATATCATTAATATCATCTGAATAGCGGGTAATAGATTCCAACTCATCGACTACCTTCAATTAGTTTGTCTTGTCACTCAAAAAAGCAGAAGCTTGCGGCGAACTGATTTCTCCGTCCCAAACAAGTTTAGCGTCTCTCGTCACCAAATAAAAAAAAAAAAAAAAAAAATTCAAGGGCGGGAACTTTTGTTACGGGTTCTACACTATGATGACATCCTCACATTCTCTCAGTTACACACTTCGGATTCTGTAACTCAAGCCGATATACGAAATGGCTGCTGCTGAGGTTGTGCTTCTGCCACTTCCAGTCCTGCCAGAGGGCTGGAGCGCCGAGAAAAACTTGAAAATTGTTGGTTCATTGTCCAGCGCAATTCAGAGGAATGTTGAGCCTGTTGGACCGCACTTTTTGGCTCATGCCCGTAGAGTATGCAAATATCTGTTTCCATATTACACTTTGTATTCTGCGGAAGTGCTTGTTATTTTGGAACCAAGACTAATAGCGATCGTTGTTAATAGAAGCGCCATCAACGCACATTCTCCGAGGATGACAGAATCCAGGCACAGGAAAATGTCAAGAAGATCGAAGAAGACGAAGTCGATGAAATCAGCGAGCCGGAAGATCCTATCATGCTTCAACGGGACGCGAAGGACTGGAAGGTGTGCCTTTTCCATTCGAACTCTTGAGATTTTCACTTGTTCAACCACCCCGGACACTGACTGTATGTATACAACAGGGCCAAGATCACTACGCAGTGCTCGGACTGAGCAAATACCGCTATCGTGCAACAGATGAGCAGATCAAACGCGCTCACCGGAAGAAGGTTCTCCGTCATCATCCAGACAAGAAGGCTGCCTCGGGCGATGCGGACGAGAACGACAGCTTCTTCAAGTGCATCCAAAAAGCCACCGAGATCTTGCTCGACCCCGTTCGGCGCCGGCAGTTTGACTCAGTCGATGAGCTTGCCAATGTGGCCCCACCAGGTAAAAAGAAGGGGAATTTTTTCAAGCTATGGTCCCCCGTCTTCGAAGCGGAAGCTCGATTCTCTAAAATCCAACCGGTCCCCAAGCTGGGGGATGAGAACAGCACGAAGGAAGAGGTGGAGGAATTCTACAATTTCTGGTACAACTTTGACAGCTGGAGATCGTTCGAGTATGAGGACGAGGATGTCCCCGACGACAACGAAAACCGTGACCACAAACGCCATATCGAACGGAAGAACGCCAATGCGCGACGGAAGAAGAAGACAGAGGACACTGCTCGTCTGCGCAGACTTGTAGACGACGCCCTTGCAGCCGATGAGCGGATCAAGAAGTTCCGCAAGGCGGAGCGGGCCAACAAAGACAAGCGCAGGATCGAGAAGGAGGCTGAGGCGAAGCGTCTTGCTGAGGAGAAGGAGAAGGCCCGTCTGGAAGAAGAACGCTTGAAGAAGGAGGCGGATGAGGCTGCTAAAGTCGAAAAGCTCGAAGGCAAGAAGGCCAAGGAGGCTGCGAAGAATGCGGCGAAGAAAAACAAGCGTGTGCTGAAGGGCAGCGTCAAGGATGTGAACTATTTTGCCAGAGGGGGAGATGCTTCTGCGGCCCAGGTCGACGGCGTCTTGAACGACGTCGATCTCATCATCAGCAAGATCAGCAATGAGGAGCTTGCTGAGCTTGCTGCGAAGCTTGCGGCTGCTGGCAAGGATGCTGCTGCTGTCAAGTCAACGTATGGGCATGTCGTCAAGGGTCTTGTTGGTGCTGGGAAGCTGAAGGAGGGCGAAACGAAGTTCCTCACTGTATAAAAGGTGAACGAACATGCCTCCATTAACACTGTTTTGGTTTTTTTTTTCTCTTTTCTTTTTTCTTTTTTCTTTTTTTTTTTTTCTTTCTTTCCATGTTTTCCTTCGTTTCTTCTTTCTTGAAGATTGGTGAGCAATCTTATTGATTTCCACGAAGTTAGATGGACGGAATATAGACAATGGTGGTTGGTAGCATCGAGTTCGCTGAGAAAGATATTTAACATTCTATACTCTCATGCATGCAGTTTTCTGCTCTAGCCAGATGTATCCCAGGTCTTTTTTCCCCTATGTGTGTACAAAACTGCACACAGTCGTGAGGGATCTTTGCAGATATTGTTGTGCGGTGAATTTCATGATTAAAAAGAGCAGGCAGTTATCTACATGATCCCGAGTGGATCTCCTTTAAGCAAAAGAGGCTATTATCAATTCAAATCCGCATGCACGATTTTGATCCATTATGCTGGTTGCACTTTATCTGCTAACCGTCATGCAGTCTGTTTGCATAAATATATACGGGATGTCGATGTCATTAATTGCTCTTTGCGAGCTTTTTCCCTGGTTGGTCCTCCATTTTAGCTAGTTACCTGTGTTTTTAAAGAAATGGAGTTTTGTATCGAGGACATTTCACCCCAACAATACCTCTGCACTCATGGATATAGTCGTTCTTTTCACATCTCAAAGAGCAAGTCACTTCCTCACCACTTCAAAATGCGTAGATAAATCCGGCCGGAAAGGCCTCACAGCGGACCCCGTTAGGGTCCAAGGGTGGACTACAAATACCGAAAGAGCATCACATCTCCATGGAGTTAACTGACTGACACCAGGAGTCCAGTGAAACACTTACCAAGATCCCTCTAGATAACTAGTTCCATAAGGGTGGCGTAGAATCTCTACGATCATTCTTCTCAGAACGGACTCCAGTGCAGTGTGTCGTGGGGAGCTGTTGGTACCGATGCAGGGTTTGCAGCAGGCATGCGAGGGGGGAATTGATGCGGGAGAGGGTTCTGTCGAAGGTTGCGCCGGGGTTTGATCGTGACGATCAATGCTAGTTACTAATCCCAAGAGCTCCTTCACTGCGGCATGTATTTCCTCCAAAGCAGACTGAAGAAAGCAAAGAGCAAGAAGCAGAGGAAAAAAGGAATATACTCCCCTGAGAACCGGATGAGAAGATCCAAATTGGGCATCGCGAAGTTCGGAGCCGTGTCCCGGATTCGTCTTCAGATAACTAATCCCCCCCGGTGAGGCTGGTGAACTTCCCCGTATCTAGATAAACAGTCCTCTCTGGCATGAACTTGTGGTTGCTTTGAAAGTTGGCCTTAAAACTCTTCGTCTCCAATTGACATGGCCCAGTGGTTGGTTGGTTGGTTAACTACAGCTGGAGGCATGCTAAAGAGCGGTTGTTCCCCGGTACCCCCGGCACCTCCCAAAAATCCGAGTTGGTCCAAAAATTGCGGCCCTGTCGGTATGAGAGCGTAGATCTCGAGGGCTATCCAAAGAGAGTGCCGCGTCTTGAAATATGCAAGGGATTGAAGGTCCAGGACAATCCATTTTGATTATCTACAGTTACAGCAGAACACAGGCAGCCATCAGCTAGGCACCGTCTTAGCTACAGCATCCAAACGATGCATGTTTATCAGCCCCCATTCTTTCTAGTCCGTATCATGCAGCACAACATGTTGGGATACCCCAATGGGGGTAAGATCTAGCCCGCAATCACAAGTCGTAGTGACGACACGCAGAGAAGCAGGTCTCGGCGACGCCAACCTATCGGCAGCTTCGGCCTCGGGCTGATTCGAGCGGACTTTTTGCACTGAAAGGGCAATCCGGTCACTGAATCAGTCGCAAACCCGCGAAGGATAGTCAACTGATTGTTCCTCCCCAGCCAACAACCAGCAGGAACCAGCAGGTGACGGGTTGATGTGGTGAACATTCAAGAACTCCAAGAATCCGATGCGATAACGGAGATGCGACGAGAAACCATTAGGTAACCGGAATCTGATGTGCAGCCGCCGTGGCCTTACAGCAAACAAGGCCTGCGAGTTGTGTGTCTAGCGTAACTATCTATGTGGGGAAAAACCCCCCCCTTTCACATTGTAAATGGCATTGGATGGCCCCGTCGGCCGGCAGCTGTACGCAAAGTGCCAACCGGGCGGCGGGTTCGTCCGTAGGTGCGTCTTGCTGCTGACTCGGTTGGGTTGATATGAGGCTGCGCCTTGACTGCTGAGGGCATGGGTGAGCCTCGAGCAGTTAGGTACGGAGAGAGCAAGAATCGTATATAAAGAAGAAAAACGCATATAACGAAAGAACCGGGAGAGCGACAAATACAATACAATACAATCCCCAAACACTAACTAACTAACTAACTAACTAGCTAGCTAGCTGCTGCTGCTGCTGCTGCTGCTGCTGCTGCTGCTGGTGGCAATATTACCGTATTGTTCCCCCGCAGAGAGTCGCTGTTATCATTCAATACAAACGCCAAGATTTCACCGCCAGCCCTAACCCTAATTAATTAATGCCTGGTGCATGCAGATTGACGCCCCTGGAAGATCGGGTCCTTGGAGATGCGCCATATGTTTGCTTTTTCTTCGGCTCCATGCCAATTAGAAAAGAAAAGATCTGCTTGGAACGAGAGAGGAGGCGCATACAAACTCCTGTTCCGTGCAGGCTAGCTGGAATGTGACAAGCAAACCCTTTCGCCAGAAAGTAGTTACATGGTTTGGACGTGGCTGTCTGTCTGCTTGCTGACACGCACGAACGCACGCGCGACCATGGAGATATGGAGATGGGTCTGATGGATTTCTTGCCTCCCAACCAAACTCTGGCTTACTCAATCCCCTAGAAACATCGGTCACATATTGGCGTTGGCTTGTTGCGGGAGAAACAGCAGAATGAATCTAGACCCTGGAAAATGCCAAATGCAACACACATGGAGACCCTATACGTCCGCTGCGCACGAGGAACCAGCATGCGTGTCTGGCAGCCAGCGCAACCGGGAAGGAATGGACCAGGAGATGGGAAACGGGGGGGGGAAAGAGGCCAAGGCCAGGGGAGGCGGCGACAAGCAATGACAAGTTGGGTCGAAAGCAGGACAATGCCAAACCATGTCGCGAGCGCTGCCGGCCATCACGCAATCTGGCGGACGGCGAATGGCGACTGCGAATGGCGACTGTGACTGGCGGTGAATCGCCGGGCAAAGCTGTGGTTGCTGCTGATCGACTGGAACAGGCATCCAGTTCCTGAGCCACGGCCGTAGGTCGTTTGTTCTTTGCTTTGCGGAACAGGCTGCGAATCACTCAATATATGAAAGGGGAGGAGGATGTCAGTAGCCATTCCAGATCAGCAGAGTAATTCCTCCATACGCCAATTTGTCACCATCGTGCCTTTGGGTCAGATTCATAAAGGGCGCGTCTGCCAGCCCCAGCTCAACCGTTTCACTTCTGTCTTCTTTCTGTCTTCTCTTGGTGTCTTCCTTTAGTTGTCTTCTCCGTCTCATAACATGTAATACCTCCCCTGCGCCAAGTTAATCACATTCTCTAATTACTCTAAACTACAAAACGGCTCGGCTGCGATCCCCTGTCGTAGTATTCCTGTCCGCTCCTCTCGTGGATCGCTCTCTTTGTGTTCCAAGAAAGCCAGCCCGCTGCTAACACATACCGTGTAATCACCATGAAGAGCCCCGAGAAGCCCAGCATTCTCTACATTATGGCGGACCAAATGGCCGCTCCCCTTCTCTCCCTCTACGACGAAAACTCCCCTATCAAAACTCCCAACCTTGAACGGCTGGCACGCGAGGGCGTCTGTTTCGAGTCTGCCTACTGTAATTCGCCTCTCTGCGCCCCATCCCGATTTTCCATGGTGACAGGGCAGCTGCCGTCCAAAACCGGAGGCTACGATAATGCGAGTGACCTGCCGGCGGACACGCCTACCTATGCGCATTATCTACGCAAGGAGGGATATCACACAGCGCTCGCGGGGAAGATGCATTTCGTTGGGCCAGACCAGTTACATGGATATGAACAACGCTTGACCAGTGACATCTACCCGGGCGACTACGGCTGGACGGTCAATTGGGATGAGCCTGTAAGCTGTTCTCTTTGCACGGTCATCCGTCGTACTCTTCTGACCAAGACAACCGCAGGAGGTCCGTCCTGATTGGTACCATGATATGTCTTCCGTCCTGGAAGCCGGGCCCTGCGTCCGTACCAATCAGCTTGATTATGATGACGAAGTCATTCATAGAGCAACCCAGTACCTATACGACCACACACGACACCGCGCTGGTCAACCATTCTGCCTTACCGTCTCCATGACACACCCGCACGATCCATATGCAATGACAAAGGAGTACTGGGATCTGTATGAAGATATCGACATCCCTCTTCCGAAAACACCCGTAATTCCCCACGATGAGCAGGACCCGCACTCCCAACGAGTGCTGAAGAGCATTGACCTGTTTGGCAAGGAAATTCCGGAGCAGTGTATTTTGGCGGCGCGCCGAGCATATTTCGCCGCTTGCTCGTACGTGGACTCGCAGGTGGGCAGGCTGATGGCCACGCTAAAGGCGTGTGATCTTGCCGATAACACCATCGTCGTGTTCACCGGCGACCATGGTGATATGTTGGGCGAGCGAGGACTGTGGTATAAGATGGTATGGTATGAACATGCGGCCCGAGTGCCGATGTTCGTGCATGCGCCAGGTCGTTACAAGCCAAAGCGCGTGAAGGAGAATGTCTCCACCATGGATCTGCTCCCTACTTTCGCAGCGATGGCCGGAGGTGAAATCAACAATCATCTCCCCATCGATGGCGTCTCTCTGATGCCATATCTCCTCGACAGCGACTCACGTGAAGCGGTTTCTGGGCTTAAAACCGACACCGTCATTGGCGAGTATATGGCTGAAGGCACCCTTGCACCAGTTGTTATGATCCGTCGGGGACCATGGAAGTTTATATACTCCCCAATCGACCCGCCAATGCTTTTCAATGTAAAAAGAGACCCAACCGAGGCCGTCAATCTTGCTTCCGGTATTGACATACCAACACGTCCACTTCTCAGCCTTAACGAGTCTCTTTCGCTCTCCGCCGCAAAACAACAAACAAAGCCCTTTGCAACAAGTCCCGCACCGCTTCCCACACCAAACATCTCCCCACCCCCAGGTACACTCCAAGTCCCCTATTCCACCGAGTACAAGACCAATTCGGCACAAATCCCCACACCACCCCGTTCGCCCAGTCCAGGCAAAGAATCTGCGGACACAGGCACAGACGAACACACAGCCACCGACACCAACACATCTCAAACCGACATCCAAAGTCTTCTCTCCGCATTTATCTCGGAAGCCCATTCGCGCTGGGACTTTACAGCACTTCGAGAACAGGTGCTGCACTCGCAACGGCGACGTCGCCTGGTCTATTCCGCCCTTGTCAAGGGGCAGATGACGTCCTGGGACTATTCGCCCGTAACGGACGGCAGCGCTCAGTACATCCGCAACCACAACAGGGGAGTGTTGGGGGATATCGAGCTCCTGAGCCGGTGGCCGAGGGTTGTGCAGTGGGGTGGAGGCGCGGGCAGAAACGGTGTCTGAAGCCTTGGAGAGAGCATGGCATTTGGGATCAGCAAGCGGCTAGATTAAATAGGGGGCGTCGGGAGCGAAAATATATAACTAGTTAATACATATAATATTTCCTTAATGTCTAACTAAACTTACATCCATGCAGCGACTGGGAGACGGTCAAAACTTACACAGTGAGGGGAAAATGCATAGAGAGACTCCGAAGAGCTAGGTTTATCCGGTGGGGCAAAACCATACATCAAACTTGTCAGTCTGCGGAGACGCGAAGCCTAGGTCTTTTGTACATGTGCAATTCATATGGACAATTATACTCTGCATGCATGCATGTGAGGTTTGCCATGCACATAAGGGAACATTCGCACTTTTTAAGATTGAAGGGAGGCAAGTTGAACATTTCATCTGCGGGCCTGCCTGCCTGCCTGTGCCGGCGAGTATAGGAAGTAAACATATTTATACATGCCTTTGGCATACATTCCAGATATTCCAGATACAGAATGAACTATGGAAATGTGGAAAAATCATTTGCCTATTTGAGAACCAAAATACCACGCACATATATATATATATGCATTGTTACCTCGCTACTCTAAAGGCCCATCATCGTCATGCCCTTTCATGCACCAACCTCCCTGCAACCCACACAGCCTTGACATTTCGATCATCTCCACTCCATACCCACTTCGCAATTTTCTCCTCCCACGACTCCCACCCGAAAATATCCACATTGCTGAGATATCCTTTCCCAGGTTTCCCGACGTCCGTACAACCGTCGCTGCCATCAATCGCTTCCCCAATCTCCACCATCTGCGCATCCCACCACATGCCAACCTCAAACCCTCCAATGGCATCTTGCATACCGACAGCCCCCGCCCCACCACGCGTAGCAAGATATAAGCCCTCCTCAACGCTGATCTTCTCACGGCCAGACACACTTTTCGGCTCCGCTTTCGCATCTGCATGGGCGTCCTGTTTCCGAAACTGCAGGAGCCGTGAGACAAGACATGCCTGCCGAACGGCCTCCAACACGCTCGGGCTCCAGCCACCAGAGACATCTGTGCCCAGCCCCACAGTGATGCCTTCATCAAGCAACTCGCGAACGGGACATAGACCGGAGCATATGGCAGAGTTGGAGGCGGGGCAGTGTGCGACAGACGACCGGCGTTTCGCAATGAGTGCGCGCTCATCCGGCGACAAATGCACCGCGTGTGCGAGGATGGTATGTGGGGTCAGCAGACCCACGGAGTCGTAGACATCCGCGTATGACTTTGAGGAGGGGAAAAGTCGTGCGACGAGGGCAATCTCGTTGAGGTTTTCGGCTATGTGAGTTTGGATAAAGGTTGGCGGCGATGTGGAGGCCGCAAGGGCGCCAAACTGGGACATGGCGGCTGGCGTGCAGGAGGGGGCAAAGCGGGGCGTTATTACGGGTCGGACAAGCGTGTGTGTTGGGTCGAGGCTGTTTATATGGGCGATTGTGGCTTTTGTTGCGGACAAGGAAGCAGATGCGGATTCTTCCCGATAGTACGATGGGCAGGTGGCGGGGCTGTCCATGCAGGAGCGGCCGATGAGGGCACGCTGGCCTTTCCTATGGCAGATGGTGGCCAGCAGGTTGGTCGCTGGGACGTGGATGGTGGCATAGTAAGCGGCGCAAGTCGTGCCGTGGGAAAGGGTTCGGGAGACAACACGATTATAGACCGTGTGGGCGATTGGAGGAGGTTGAGAAGGGTCTTCTTTGTTCCCGAAGGATGATTCAAGAGGGAACGTGTAGGTTTCCAGCCAGTCAAGGAGGGTGGAGGAGCCGAAAATACCAGAATTGGGATACTGAGGAGCGTGGATATGAGTATCTATGGATGGGTTAATATGCGAATCAACGTAATGGAAATATAAAAAAGTAAGACGGAGAAGACATGGTGTAATCCCGACTTACCAATAAATCCCGGAAAAAAGAACCCGTTCCTCTCTCTACTGGCCTTGACAACTCTCACCAATTCGCCCTCGCCATCCTCACCCGCAATCCCGTGAACATCGCTATTCCTCTCTTCGCCTTCCACTCTCCATCCCATCCTCTTCATCAATTCCGCGAAACCCTCCTCATCCTTCACTCCCCAGTCAAATCCCTCAATCTTTCCTCCCGTCTCCGAAACCCACAAAGCACCATGGTTGATTGACAACTTATGCGCAGGCGGTGAAGTAGGTGTGGCAGGCTCCTCTGGGAGACGTGGCAGGTGGATGAAAGTGCCATAGTACACAGTATGTACGTAGGAGCGCATGTTTGCAGTCATATTAAGATGTTCCCTTTTATATGGATATGGTGGTAGTCTGCGCACTGCCTAAGATGTAGCTCTTCGGGCTGACTTTGCTGTTCTTAGAGCAAATTGTAGGATGGAAAATGAAGCGAGGTCGAGACCAGTCTCTCTCTCTCTCTCTCTCTCTATATATATATATAGTTAGCTGTTCTGCAAAAAACGGGGTAAAACAAACCTGCACGCAACGTGTAACTAACTAACACGTAGCAAGGCGGCACATAAACAGGCTCAGATATCTTCTCAGAAAGCAAAGTCAATTGCCAATTAACTCGATTCCTCGAATTTCAGCAGAATGATGTAACGAAATGCCTGAAACGCCAGCCAATGACCCAAATATTGTCAGCCGGTCCCGCAGGAGCTAATAAGGAATTTTGTCCACAGCCCAACGAAATGTGATTTAGATGCAATAAATGCGGGCAGAATGCAGCACGCACTGCTAGAGATCAGATCTGACAACCTTGAAATCTGCAAAGCGAAGGATGTTAGAAGGGGATCATCAGGCGAGAAAAGAATGGAGAGATGGAGTCATATAATCAGATTAGATTAAACCATGGATTTCGCCGTCCGTACTCCGACTTGGCACGGGGGAAGGAGAGTGGCACGTGATGGGTTGGGTCCCTTTAAGTTTCACCTCTGGGTCAGTAAATTCCAGGGGAATCGAGGATGGATAACAATGTGTGTAATGTGAAAGAGGTACAAAGGCTGTCCGCTATCTACGCTATTTACACAAGGCAAACTTCGATTTATCATGAGAAGAACAGACGCTGAGAATGTGAACCCAACCATTATGGGGGACTGTTTCAACTTCACTAAACTGAAAAGAACTTGTGATAGACATATACACATACACGCACACACACAAAGAAAAAACCTATATCTGTATAGATCGTAACTTTTTTTAGAATGAAAATTAACTGCAAAGGACAGCGTGTAGGATGGATGGCGGTGTTAAACGCCGTGCCATGTCGTAGGTGTAGAAGGGATGTGTTGAATAAGGGTTTTGAGAATTGAGGTTCGCGTTTCGTGGGAAGAGGGAGAGCTAGTGTACGTGGGAGATAGTTTGGGATATGGGAAATGTACGAAGGTGTGTGTGGAGGGGAAACTTTTAAGAAAGAATTAGGTGCATCTAGGGCGCTGTAAAAGACCAGACATAGGCTTCTTCTACCCTGTAATAATACATTGCTCAACAACTCTCTCTTGTTCCTCAGGAGAGTTTATGACGTTGGAGTCACGGTATCTTCCACCGGCCCACAGGTACAGAAGAGGTTTTGGTCACCGAATGCTAGCCATGAATATTAGCCAGGTCCAACGTGGGAAAGTTTATCAGAAACAGAAAAAATTGCACTCACCGTCATCCACCCTGGTTACGCTAGGCCAGAACCTCTTCTCCAGCAACCACGGCAGGGGATACGCCGCCTTCTCTCGCGTATACGGTCGATCCCATTCCGTCGAAAGTAAATCCCGCTGCGTATGCGGCGCTAACTTGAGTACGTTCTTCTCCTTGGGCTGCTCACCGCGTTCGATGGCGGCAATCTCATTGCGAATGGAAATGAGCGCATCGCAGAAGCGGTCGAGTTCAGCCTTGTTCTCGGATTCAGTGGGCTCGATCATAAGCGTATTGGCGACGGGCCAGGACATGGTTGGGGCGTGGAATCCGTAGTCCTGCAACCGCTTGGCGATGTCGATGGCTTCGACGCCGGAGGTGGCTTTGAATTTGCGAACGTCCAGGATGAACTCGTGTGCGCAACGGCCGTTGGCGTTCGTGTATAGAACGGGGTAGTGGGGCTTTAGGCGGGAGAGAATGTAGTTTGCGTTGAGGATTGTGATTTTTGTAGCGTGGGTTAAACCCTTGGCACCCATCATGTTGATGTAGGAGAATGTGATGGGCAGGATGCTGGCGCTACCCCAGGGTGCAGCACTGATGGGAGGAGCTGGTGTTGAAGTGGCACGCCTAGACTGCAAATATTCGCTGAGAGGGTGGGAAGGCAGGAAAGGTTTCAGATGCTCCGCGACGCCAATCGGACCAACTCCAGGTCCGCCACCGCCATGAGGGATACAGAAGGTCTTGTGGAGGTTAAGATGACACACATCCGCTCCGATTTCGCCAGGCGAGCACAGGCCGATCTGCGCATTTAGGTTTGCGCCATCCATGTAGACCTGGCCTCCATTTTCGTGGACAATCTTGCAAACCTCCTTGACTCCGGGCTCGAAAACACCAAATGTACTAGGATAGGTGATCATGATTGCTGCCAACTCCTCTTTATGCTTCTCGCACTTTGCCTTGAGATCCGCAAGATCGAGATTGCCGGTCGTAACATCACACTTGACTGGCAGCACCTTCATGCCGGCCATGGCAGCGCTAGCAGGGTTGGTTCCGTGGGCAGACACCGGAATCAAGCAAAGATTCCTCTTCCCTGGTGTTCCAATCGAATCTTGGTACAGCTTAATCGCTCTGAGACCAGCGAATTCTCCCTGTGCTCCAGAGTTAGGTTGAACTGTTACCTCAGCCATGCCAGTGATATCAGCAAGTTGCCGCTCGAGATCCTCGATCATGTCCTGGTACCCAGTGACGAGGTTGGATGGAGTAAACGGGTGCATTGCGGAAAATTCTGGCCAAGTGATAGGAAGCATCTCCGTGGTAGCGTTGAGCTTCATTGTGCAGGATCCCAGTGGGATCATCGAATGTGCCAAAGACAGGTCCTTTGAGCCAAGATAGGTGATATATCGTAGCATTTCCGTTTCCGAATGATGGGTGTTAAAAACTGGATGCATTAGATATGGTGACATTCGTTTGACACTAGCAGGGATTTCTACTTCAGGGCCCTCTTCGCTGATATCGAGCAGACCCGCAGGGACGCCTTTTGGTGCTTTCTTCGCAAAAACTGCTAGCAAATCCTTAAGTTGTTCGACACCAACGGTTTCATCCAATGAAACGCCAATTTGAGTGGGGCTGATTCTTCTTAGAAAGATGGACGACTCCAGTGCCGCAGCAATCAACGAGTCGGCCTCTGCGCTGCTTCCCATATCTACTGTCAACGTGTCGAAGATTGCAGGAGTGTTTCCCTTGGTTGGAACGGTGTATCCCAGAGCACGTAACTTATCCTGAAGCAGGCTTGTCAACGACATGATCCGCTGGGCAATGGCTTTCAAGCCTTTGGGACCGTGGTATACCGCATAAAACGCGCTCATGTTGGCAAGCAAGGCTTGAGCTGTGCAGATGTTGCTAGTAGCCTTCTCACGGCGGATATGCTGTTCCCGGGTCTGCAGAGCAAGGCGAAGTGCAGGATTTCCTAGCCTGTCTTTGGAAATGCCTACAATCCGACCAGGGATTTTCCGCTTGTATTTTTCAGCGCAGGAAAAGAAAGCAGCATGAGGGCCACCGAATCCCAATGGTACACCGAAACGCTGAGCAGTTCCGAAGGCAATATCGGCGCCAAACTCCCCAGGAGGTTTCAACATGGTGAGAGCAAGTAGATCAGTTGCCACACTAAACGTCCCCCCAATTTCATGGATTTGATCACTAAGCGACTGGAAATCGGAAATACCGCCCTCAGTGTCAGGATACTGCACAAGGACACCGATCAAACGGTCGCCTTGGTCCTTAACCAATATGAACTCCTCAGCCATAACATCCCCGACCACCAGGTTGATTCCAAAGCCCTCTGCTCGCGACCTCATTACTGCGATGGTCTGCGGATGACACAGGTGAGAGACAACATAAGACATTCCGTCTCTCTTCTGTCTCTGGGCCGGCACCGTGGCCCAGGACATGGTCATGGCTTCTGCTGCAGCAGTAGCCTCATCCAGAACCGAGGCATTGGCAACTGGAAGGCCAGTCAAATCCGCTGTCAATGTCTGGAAATTTAGTAACGATTCCAACCGGCCCTGGCTAATCTCTGGCTGGTAGGGGGTATAGCTAGTATACCAAAGAGGATTCTCCAAAACATTTCGCTGGATCACTGGTGGCACAATGGTATTATAATATCCACATCCAATATACGGCTTCCCACTCGCATCGATGCTTTTCTTGTACTTCTCCAGTAATTTGATCATATCAGTCTCCCCCAGCCCGCCATGTAGGGGATCCCTATGCAGCCTTGTCGTGCCACTGGGGCTTGTAACCTCCAAGTTCCTTTCGGACAAGATATCTGCAGGGAGAACCTGTTTCACGAACTCGTCCAGAGATTTGGCCGGGGGATCCAGGGCTTTGAGCATCTGCTCCACTGTATGCGGGGAAGGACCAATGTGTCTGCGGGGGAAAGAATCAAGGGGCTGAAGGAGATCTCGGGGCTGTGGCGTGCCATGATTAGCGACGGAGCTGCTGTGAACAGTTCTGAGGGTCAAATAAGAAGGCGGTCGAGAGCGTGCCAATTGCAGGCATTGTCTACAAGCTGTCAGAGCAGATGGTCGAGCAGCTCTTGCAACACCTCTAGGATATTGAAGAGCTAGATGACGACCCCCGCCACGCAATAAAACGGAGGACGGAGCCGCTGCCATGATGCTCCTCCTGGAGGACTTTAACCAGCTCCTCACAATGAAAACTATCAATCGTCGAGATGAACAGAGCTCCTACACACCCAAAACGAAGGTCGGGAAGCACAGGGAAGGGAACGAATGACAACCGGAGAAGAAGAAAGGAAAGGCACACAGAAGGAAAAGAGGAGAGAAGAGGGTTCGGGATAGGGACTGGACAGGGGACTGGACAATAGAGGGGGATTTTGCTGTGTTGAGAATCGCTGCTGATTTGATGAGATAGGCAAAAAAATTCCGTGTAAATACCGTGACAATACGTATAATACGGTAGAAAACCGAAGTCGGCCAACAGGAGGGCTGTTTATTGGCTGGATAACACAGGCAAAACTCGGTTCAGGGGGGCCGTACAAGTCACCTGATCGCCACGCGAAGGAAAACCCGGAACAGACAAGGATAAATCTTAGAAACAGCCAAACCGCCGAGTTTGGGTTGCCCGATCGGATAATTTGACGGAAAAGTCCAGTGACTTGCTCTCCGATGGGTTTTCGTTGTTCTACTTTACAAACTTTGCAAGAAGTCCATTGCCCCAAGGGTTCTGGTGCTGGTGGCAGCCGTTACGATCGGGCGAATTTGGGGATGCATTGGAGATCAAAATCAACAGCAAGGAATCCCGGGATGACTTTTGGATACATGGCGAATACTCGATATTATTTTGTTCATTAAAAATAGTTGACCAATTTGTGTATCAACCCATGCTCGTGGAGGGTTATGGCTAATGAAATGGTTATTTTCGGACGTAAGAACAAGCAACAAGGGTAGACAGCAGTCATCAACTCGACAGTCATGCAAAAAAATAAAAAATAAAATAAAATAAAATAAAATAAAATAAACTGTGAGTGGCTATTCTTAAAGCATCAGGCTGCATCAAATTTTATTTAGTACGGCAAATACAAAAGAACCCATCAATTTATTAGTAACCCAGATTGCAAAAAGAGTCGCAGAATCCCATTGCCAATATCAGGCTGGTCTTCAAACCCTCTCATTCAACAACAACAACAACATCGACCTTGTTCTTATCTGCATTTAAAGAAGGGAATGAGTAATGAGCGCCAGACTCGGTCGGTTACATCATCAAAGGAAATACACGTACAAAACGCAATGTAGTCCTTGATATTCTGCGCGGCCTTGTACGGCTCTTCGTAATACCATGCCGCTTCCGAAATGACTGTTTCGGTCTCTAGATATCCAAATGCATCTGATCAGCCACTTTTTGTCGCCCTTCAATGCATACAGGTATGATTGTCATGATGTGGACATTTACATTTGATACGTACCCGCGATGACAATATCATAGTATGACGCTTTCCCCTTCCAGGGACAATGCGTTGAAGCATCACACTTCACCAAACTGAAAGCCCCCGTGGAGTCTTGGAGTGAAGAACGCGGGAACTATATTCAGGCTTTCTACTTAGCGTCAATGCCACCAGTGCTGGATATACTGTCTCTGGCAGTTTTCATGCATCAACGGACACAAAACCTACGTAGACGTTTCCCTCGACGCACTCCCACTGGTCCGTCTTCGCGAGAACGGTTTTTCCTATTTTTGCTGTTGCACAGGACATGATTGCCTTTTTTATTTTATTTATTTATTTATTTTAAAACAAATAGCAGTACTGTAAGGGATTTGCAAGATAGGAAGAATAATGTTTGCACTTCAATATGTGGAGCGACAAGTTGTCGTCTTGGCCGAGTCTGTTGCTGATGTCATCATCATGTTGAGACGCTGGATCTAGAACTCGAGAATATTTTTCAAGCACTGGAGAAGAAGGTAAAGCATATAAATTGAAATTGAAAGAAATTACTTAGCGCAATTATGTGCCATTTTTCCCTTCTAGCAGATGATACTTTGTCTCTTTTAACAATTGGACCCACAAGAAGTTGCGATTAAACATCAAGCCATACGTTAGCTAACTAAACTAACTTGACCGTTGGAAAAACAACAAAGTGTATATCAAGACCAATCTCCATACCAGAACAATCGAGAGGATAATGCAAATAACCGATATATGTACCACACATACTAAGCGTGATCCTCAATCCAACTAGTTAGCCACGGTCGTGTTTGAGCTCTGGTTTGACTGAAAGATCCTCTGGCACCTACAATCGTGTATCCGATACGCCATTCAGCTCCAATCCACCCATCAACCAGTGCTAGGATTATCATTAAGATCCGAGATATTACAATGGACCCCATCGTTTCTTCTACAGACAGGCCAAGAGATAAAAGCGCCGGCGCCCCTGTCCAGGCGCTGATGCATCTATTGTGTTTTTGACTTAACATGTTGATTGACATTTCTTGATTTTTCGACTTTCAGGCCATTGCATGTTCTCTCTCGTCTCCATCAAAAGCGAACTGAATCAAGAAGCTAGAAGGGGGGCGTAAATATGTATATGCTCATATCAAATCTCTCAATCATCCCCAAGACGTGTGCGGAGTAATTATTTGCTGATTGAGAAAGACATAGCTGTCTCAACGCGGGAAATCTCGTTTCTTCTATAGGTCGTGGTAACTGTAAACTACAACAGACCTTGCATTAACTATCTCGAAGCTCCCGGAGGTCAATGCACCCGACTCGGCAGCGTGCAACATACCCGGGTACCTACATTGAAGCGGGGAGGGTGAGACTAAATAAGACCCTTGATGGAATGGGATCGCTTAGACTACTAGCTCAATAGGCAATAGGGGTGTCTCTCTGTGCCTACAAAAGATGCTCCAGTGAGAATCATGAACAACATATCACGCTGCTCTTGGGCTAATGTAAGATGTTCAGAAACATGCTCCCGGAATATCAAAAGACATTGACGTGTTCCAACGAGTGTCTTTTATGTAAGTTATCTCTTCGTTTTCTCTCCAACTTTCTCCTCAACTCTTCCATTTCCATTAAGTAGTGTCCTAGGGTTCCCTTCGATTTTGTTTCAAATTAGCGGTTTGTGTTTCACCCAGTCACATTTTGCTTCATAAAACAGGCCGGAGAACGAGAAAGGGGTATGTTTCTACAAGCACTATCGATTATCTGTATTCGTCGATCACACTCCTGCATTTAACATATAGAAGTTCCGGTTTGTATTCGATATCCAGGCCAAATCCGGGGGGGCCTCCGATATCGAGTCCTCGTTTAGTAGTCCATATTGGGTGAGGAGCAGCCACCATGACCATAACTTTCAGACCATACCTGAAACAACCGAAAGTTAACTAATTCAACTTTGAGGATTGGCTAATAGTGAGGCCTATTGCTTACCTGTATTCTGGAGTTCCCACCGCCTCACCCGTGGACATATCAAGAAGCATGATCAAGTCCGGAACGACAGAGAGGTACTTTGCGCATCAACATCAGCATACAAATGCGTATCTATGCTTAGAGGTAATGAAGAAAGAGAAGGGGGAGAAACCAACCTCGTCAGAACCATCGTCTTTGATAACCTTCACACTCAAATTCTCATTGACAAATTCAACCACTATTCTGGTTGGACCCCCAGGCTGTTCAGCGCCCTGAGTTCCCAGTTCGTCTGGTGACAATTGCTGAAGAACCACTTTCCCAGTGGTATGGGCAGTGGCCGATAAACTATGCTCAACGCTGATGATTTTGCCATAGAAGACAACCTTTGCGCTCTGCTTTCCGCCAAACTCACACACTATATCATCTGACACTGAAAACAGGCGTCCCTCTTGTTGTGCTAATGAAACTGCGCGACCAAGTCGCCAAGCCAGGGAGTGTGAGTTGAGGATACCAAAGCGACGCATGTCGGCCCCGCTTATCGGGATTCCTGTGGCTCCAGCAGCAGAGCTTGGGGGATTATAGTTAGGTTCACAGAGACTATAACGGCAGAGCATATCCAACACATGGAACAATAAAAAACACTTACCCCATCTCAACGCATGTAGACCGGATGGCATAATCAGCTGCTTTCGCATCCGGTTGGTTAGGAGGGATAATCACGTTCCTACCTGTACCACTGGACAGTGCTACAGGGAGTATGTCGTTAATATCTGTCGATTCAACGAAGGTCGTAATCTTCTCAAAGTTCGGATAGGCTCTCCCTTAATTTCAGACCACATATCAGCATATATTAAAGAACAGAGAAAAAGGTTGCTAAGAAATATACCCATTAGGTCGCCATCAACACAGGGTAGGTTGTAGTGTTTGGAAGAGGCCCAAATAAGTGGCTGCAGTCCATTGCTTCCCCCTATCTCAACAGCCAACATGGCATCATATTTCTTCCCGAGCTCCTTTTCCATTGTTTGTAGGGAATGCAACACCATGTCTCCACCGGGTCTCTCATCGGCTACTGCTGGAGAACCAACTCCAGCTACAGGAACAAGAACCGCATCCGCATCTAGTGACGAAACATCAACTATAGCCAAAGTTCTTCCCTCTTCAACTAGATTAGCAACTTCGAGATATGTTGAATACGGAGAGCCCCCGCCCCCACAACCTAGAATGTAGCAGCCAATAGACATAAATTGAAGGTCAATTTTGGATAATAACCATCTACCAGACTCGTCAATTGTAGGCCGATACTTGGAGATGTCAAACACTGGCTCCTCTGCGCCATCTAATCTTGGCACATTATCGACGATTTTCGTTTCCTCGTATCCGGGTTCGTCCTTATTGGAGGAGAACATTGCTTCACTGTTCTCAAAAGATGAGTAGAATCGTGCATGATTTGCCGGGCACGCAACTTCAATCAAAACTTTCTTCACGTTGTCAATATAAGGGACTCCAAAGACTTCTTCCTTGGTAATCACAGCCCCCGAGATATCAGCCCCCCGAGACTCGGCATCTGCAAGGGCAGCAGCTTTGACTTTAGCTTTTGTATATTCTACAGAAGCACTGTCTGTCATTTCCTCCGCTCTGCCACTTATTTGCGCGATCGCAGCACCGATCGCATTAGCAACACCAGCAAATTCTGGGATAACCATCTTGCTGACTCCTTCTAAATGGTCCGGACAGAGCACGGCGCCGCCTCCGACTAGGATAACAGTACAGGGCTCTGGCGAGGTTTTTGACTTGTCGATAAGATTTTCTAGCATTAGCTTTATTCTAGATCTCGCTTTATGAACTAGCGGCTGCGGAAGAATGGGATTCGTCGTGCCAACAGATGCCCCTGACAAAACGGCAATGTCCGTAGCTGTTGGTATGGTGCCTCCAAAGCAGAGCGCTTTCGTAGTGATCTTATGCCCGACGCTTTCAGGTCCCACAAGCATGCTCTTGCCGTCTCCGTTTTCCCGGACCAAGGAACCGCCCCCAAGTCCAATGCTTTCAACTTGCAGAACCTCAAGGTTAACTTTGATTCCAGCAATCTCTGTTCGTGAGCTGGCAAGTCTCGGATATCCATTGCGCAGGAGAAAGCCAACATCAGTCGTCGTTCCTCCGATATCGACCACAACAGCTCCGTCACTACCAATGGAATTCCCTGCCAGATAGGCAGCACCACGAATTGAGTTCGTTGCTCCCGAGGAGAATATCCGAATTGGAAATTTAATTGCCTCGGGAAACGACAGCAAATGACCAGTGTTTGCTGTTAAATACAACGGGCACTTGAGGTTTAGATGGGATAGAGCTCGCAAAAAACCGTACATAGTTCTTCGTGCAAAGTTAATAATCGATGCGTTGAGAATTGCTGCATTCTCTCGGGCCAAAAGCCCACTCCCGGAAATCTCATGGGAACACACGATATTGACATCGTGCCCGAGTCTGGCGATCAAGATATTTCTAACCTGGCTTTCTTGATGGTATTGCGTATCCATCGGGGATCCTATTCCTGCGACGACAACATTTTTCAAGTTCTTGGAGTGGATAATTTCGGCTTGCGCCTCAATCGAAGCTGGATCAATATCAGCAATGCGTGTTCCATCAATATTACAACCGCCTGGTACAATCGCAGCATGCCCCTTAATTAGTCGTTTGAGAGCAGGAGGCCAGTCGATGAACGGAGGGGTCTGGCTAGAAAAGTTGTTGGATACAAGGCGGATGACGCCAACCTTTTCCAGTCTTGATGCATCGTGTTCGAGGATAGCATTGAGAAAATGTGTAGTTCCGATTGTCACGGCAGCAATGCTATTCTCATTGTTGGGTGCTTTGTGTAAGAGGTTTTCAAGGGTCTTCTGAACGCCAAGCGTCACATTCGAGGCGGTTGGGGACTTGTCCCATGCAATGATTGCACTTGATCCAGAGTCTTTTGTGTTGAGGAGAACAGAATCAGTGTTCGTTCCCCCAACATCCACTCCGATGACGAGGGAAGGGCCGTTGAATGATGTCATATCAATCAGTGATTAGACTGTAAAAAGGTATGTGCAGCCAACCAATTCGAAGCCAATGTGTCTAGAGATATAGGGACGATGGTTTTAAAGGTTAACTGTAAGATTGTAAACGCGGGTACGATGTTTGCCAAATTTCATCAAACTCCAGATCTGATCCCTAGTTAACGAGACATATTATCATTCCCGTTACTAACTACCTGTAAGTCCAATATACTCCCGAATCAGTGTATTGAATCAGTTTGGGTTTGGCATAGTGGAGAGTGATCCTAGATTTCTCTTTTACACGTCACAAGACTTGCAAAGATGGGGAGGTCGTCTCTCCGCCTGTTATCGGATCCGGATGCTGTCGTTGATTGGAGGAGTTCTTCCTAACAAACCATGATTCGAAAACTTGGCATGATTAGCGGTCATCTATCACTTAACGCATTGGCTCGGGAACTAATTAACTCGCCGATCTGTGGGGGGAGTTTGAAGCTATTCTTCAACTAAATACCGGCAATTAACTCAATTACTGTAAGGAGTACAAAGTGCAAGACTACTGGGACGTGCGCAGAACCATGGGCAAAGATTTAGGGACTTCCAGGGTGGCGTGCTCCGGAAGTTTAGGTTATAGTCCCTTAAGTCTTAATCAAAAGCTTTAACTACGAACAGACAGCCAAAGCCTAAGATTCAGTTAAGTTAGGCTTTAGCTTTCTTGTGCCTTGGCGAGTCTAACCTTCTGGCAGTTCTTACTGAAAACACCATTTAGCAGCTAACAAACGATGAAGTGCGATTTCGGAATCAGGCTACAAACAACCTCTGTGGGTAACGTGAAGAGAATAAATCGGAGAATACACCTAGAGGGTCAGCCTTGACTGCCTACGAAAAAAGATGAGAATGCTAATTCATGAAAGCGAAATTTAATTTGTCTCACAAAAAGGCATAAGGTTTTCCTGTCTCAGGAGAAGTACATTGAGCGAATTCGATCACATATGAAAATGGAAGAAGATGTAAAAGCCTAGTCAGTCCAGAACTACCCATATTCTTCTTTCTAGAATTCGCGATAGCTGCGAAATAGATGCTCTGCAAGATTGACAAGCTACAACCAATGCTTCTTCGTCCGTCTCGCAACAGCAGTAACTAGAGATCCCTTCTGTCTTCAGGAGCAGAATGAGACAGTGACATACATGCAAGTGACAAAGCTCCTGCAGATGGGACAGTTCATTGAGAATGAATTTGGCAAACTAGGCATGGGGCATGAAACAACATTACACCTTGCTCCCGGGACATGACCCCATTATCCTAATTAAGGACATCGAGGAGATACCCCCAGTTCCCATATGAAAATGGGAGACAGCCGATGGCACGTGTTTTGTGGAAGGAATGATATAGATTGTTTTGCGGATATCCAACTGGAGCTTAGGCTATGAGACATCGCAGGGAGAAGAGACACTTTCATCATTTTGGTCTTTCCACTAAGAGTTATGAAATGCAAGTGAGAAAATCACCGCAGATATTAGCAACTGAGTCATGGGGAGAACGATGATACCCTGGACAGTTCCCATGTTAAGATGACACGACCCAATCACCTTCAAAAAAGTGCGGCATGCGGCGCAAAAGTTTTCCCTCCATGAACTAAATATCATAAGCTATCAAGCTATCTTATCAGAAAATCCGGAAAACCTATCCAGGTACATACATCATACATGCGTTTCCCTTTCTCTTGATCCACTGTAGCTGAACCTCGAACATCCGCGTACGAGAATAGCTTCAACCTAAGTCAGGAACATTACAATGTATGTTTGTGTCCGGGAAGATTTGTAATAGCAAATAACTGATAAAATCCAAGCCGAATTGCTAGATATGCCGCTAAAGGCATATCCATAGTGATAACTTACGTCAGAGAATAAATTCATCATTCTGCGATGACAGTTACCACAGCTATTCGTCATAGCGAGGAAACATCATCCAAGACCCCCGAAATACGACTGCGAAACATCCTCCTTATTGGCAGCGGTGGCGTCGGAACCATAGCCTCCCTTGTGCTGGAGAAATCCCGTTGCGCAAGGGTAACCGCAATTCTAAGGAGCCGTTATGCTGTCGTTAAGGAAAAGGGTTGGAATATCGAGTCCGTCGACCATGGTACTCTGAAGGGATGGAGGCCGAGTCGTGGTGAGTTTAGTACACAGCACGTGTCTCTGCAAAGCCAAACAACAGTATTCACTTTAAAGTAATGAAGAGAGAACGGTAAGAGTGACGAAGTGGTACCGAGCGTCGAAAGTGCTCTGGAGGCTGAGACGGAACCTTTCGATTACGTTGTGGTCACCACCAAACAACTACCTGATGTCTTCTCAGTCTCAGACCTTATTATAAGGCCAGCTGTAACTCTAGGCCTTACTACAGTAATGCTCATCCAAAATGGCATCAACATTGAGGTTCCCGTCATCGAAGCATTCCCTACGAACACGGTGATGTCGTCCATCACGATGATTGGCCCTCGCACTGAAGGGGAGAACACGATCATCCAACTAGGCCCGAATATACAAATTATGGGACCTCATTTTCATACTGGGTTAGAGAGATGCGTTCAGACACAACAGGCACGAGAATTTGTTAATATATACAAGGCCGGCAGAGAAGGTGAAGAGGCCAAATGCACATATTCAGAAGAGATGCCCGTTGCTCGGTGGCAGAAACTTCTCTGGAACGCAACATTCAATACGCTCTGCACGCTAATGCGAATGGACGTTGGAGAACTGCTGTCGTCGGGGGGTAGGGAATCGCTTCTGATTCCGGCAATGTGGGAAGTATATTCCATAGCGAAGGTAGCAAGGGCCCCTCCATCCCAAGATATGATTCCCTTCTATGCCTATCAGCAGCCTGATGACTGTCGGTATCGCCCAGCATGTTACTGGACCTCGAGAATGGAAGGCCAATGGAGTTGGAGGTTTTGCTCGGGCTGCCGTTACAGATTGCTAAAGCGTTGGGTGTCTCAACTCCGATTCTGAGCACTGTTTATGAGGCGTTAAAGGTGGTGAGGTGGACGTCCGCGCAGGAGTCACGGAAGCAGCACAGCTAGCTTAAGAAAGAGCTCCACCGTAGCACGAGTTAACACGCTTCCACATGATTCTACAATGGGAACGGAATGCTAGGTCGTGTCCCCTCGATCAGATAGAGATGCATTCCCCAGGGGATTCATCAATAAACTTCATCCAATTCCAATCCTGATTGTTGGCATCTGTCACCTTCCAAACCGTATTTACACAGAAATTCTTAGTAAATGCGGGTAGCGGTTCGCCGCATATTGTATATAGAATGAAATATTTCTAGAGCAAAGGCTCTATCTTCCTCCGCAGTAAGCTCACAGGCAGCAATAAGCACTGGCTAGAGAGACAAGTTCAACTCCTCAGCTGGCGCAGCAAGGTGCGCCATGACCTCACAAGTCATCCAAAGGCAGTTGCGTTAGCTGCCCCAGAGTTTCCTGGAGGGTGAAGAAGGCGATGTAGGTAGAGTAGGGCAGCGGATCTACAGGTGTACTTCGCCTGCAAGAGAAATTCCCTTGGTGATCTTGCTGGCGCATTGCGAATACCGAATGGCCGCCAACAGCTAATCCGATTTTGAAGGCTTCCCGTTCTTTCTAACTTAGAACCTTCACAGGATACCGACAATTGACTCTGCACTATGATTGACGATGGGATTGCCATATCACTAGAAGATATGGGCCTCACATCTTCCGCAAGAGCTCGCAGCTTCTGTAGTAATGGCATTAAGGTTGTCGGATAACCCATGAGCCTATCCGGGGAACGATGCGTTGTTTCATCAAGTCACATCGCAGTGGGAATTTGCGCACGGCGCCTGTTCACAAATGAAATGAAAATGTCTTCGCAAGCGAGCCCCTGAAGGAAATATTTAGCCATCGAACTCATGGCTCGTCCGGATAGCATGTAATTGTTGATAACAGTGGCGAAATAGGCGAACAGGGCGGGCAAAAACCGTTCTGCCGCTCCGCAATCAATGTCAATGATCCAGACCAGTAACAGAGCTCGTTAATACAATCTCCATAATTCGGGTGTAGCACAAAGGCCTTGAATTATAACCAATGAATGCTCCAGCACCTGACTCAGATTACCCGACTTAAGTCTGTTGAAGATACGCGCCCTGCAGCGTTTGCAGGGCGGATCGCTGTCCCGCATTCTCCACATACTTCTGCCCGATTGGTGTAGAGACAGTCGCTGATAGCTCGCGCGCGGACTATCTTGCAGGAGAAAGAGGATTAGCGGATTCATTTCATCGATGAATTCGTAGCCTATCAGTAGCTCGGGAGGATGTCGTTCAAAGTAGACTTTTATGCTCGCTTCATCGGCAGGGGATGTGGTCCCGGGGGGGATCTATGGCATAGTCCATGATAAAGCAAGCTGCGGAATCTGGGAATGCGATTTGCCGCTCGTCGATAACGAAAACCATACTGGGCCGCTGGATGGGTGACCTATGGCTTGGCGTGAAGCACAAGTTGAGTATTTTCTATGCCAGAAACAGTGGCAGAAGTATAAATATGGTGCCTCCCACGCTCCAGTCCGTAGCCCTGAGGGTTCTGGAAGGCTAGCTTCCGTTCCCACCTGCGAAAGCAGTCTCTTCTCGCGAGATTCCGGGACTGCCTGCTTGGACATTCCGATTCCGTTGTGAACAGTTTTTCTGAGGAGCATATCCTTTGCATGAACGAGCGCGACAAGCGCAAGTGCTCTAAGAAGGACGAGCTTCGTCGCATTTAACTTTCGAAGCCTTGCAATCTATACATCCACCTCTTGATCTCTTTCGAAGCAACCGCAATTCGGCTAGAGCGGAGCCAACTTAGCTGTCTCCATGCTTGGATATCAGATATCCACTCTGTGTACTCGCTATGAGATCAAATTCAAATATCCAGAAAATTGGTTGCAAGGCTTTACAGGTCCAAAGGCCCTTCGGAGTAATAAACATGCAGGTGACGATCCAAGGTTTCAAATGGTCATGTCGGTAATCTGGGCTTTGACATTCTAAGTCTCTGGCAAACATCCATATATAATGCTAAAAATATGCACCTGAAAACCCCAATATTCACGGCAGATTTGTATATATCTTCATGGAAACATTATTGTAGGTGCAACCTCCTTATTTCGTAACAGATTTAGCGTAACTCTCGTGCCTTTCGTTCCTTTCCTGAATATACTTTACTAGGCTTTCAGGCACGATTGCTTCATCTGTCAATCCACTTGGCACCGGTTGACCCAGGTGTTCATACAAGGGCACAACCCCGGTCCACACGGGCTCCTCCCGATCGGGGCCATCCTTCGCCCTATCTCGAGGCTGAATCCCGGGAATACCAGTTCGCAGCTTCAAGGAGCCGTGCTCTACTTCCACGCGGATCACGAAAACAAGCGATACTTGAAAGGAGGCGACGGGATTGAGATCTTCCCATCTTCCAGCCACGATGTGGTTTGTGACAGCTCGCATAACATCACATTTCACATTGCGGTCTTCCACGCGAGAACATGCTCCATGCACTACCGCTGAGCGGTAGTTGAAAGTGTGTCCATTTGGAGCTGATGAGAGAACAAGACCGTCCACTATGTTTAGTGCTAGGTTAGCAATCGAATACGGTGTTGACCCGGATTTAACTATCAGGGACATCCATCCAACCTTTTGTTGCCGCAATGCAAACTTTTATTCGATCATCGCCGTCTCCATCCACATTTTCACCACGCTCCATCCTAGCGTTTCTCTCTATGTCTTTCTTTCGCACTAGTTCCATAAGCCTTGAGCTGGGATGACCATGCAAATAGGCCACCTCGCCCTCATCCTCACGTCGAAATAGAGCGACCATTGGTAAGCATTGTGGAAGGCCATTATCGATGTAGGAGACATGCGCTATAAAGTTGTCCGAGAAAACCGAACTGATGGATTCCGCATCGTATCTGCCTCGTTCCTTGTGTCGACGAAGTTCAGCGGGCTGCATGTTATATATTTCTTCGCCGTCAAAGTTACAGAAACTAGAGTTTGCCGTTGCAGGTTCTATATATATGGATATTTCTCTCGCTGTGATTAATGGCAGATGTCAAACTGTCACCTCTGTGCTACTTATTTAGATTCATCATCTGGGGAGAAAGCCAAGTGTGGTGTTCCCAGTATTGGCATTGGAGATTTAGCAGATGTCCGGCAGCGTCATTTAACAAGATAACTAGCCTGAGAAAGTTATCAGGGAGTAATTCAACGGGATACTAGGTTGTCAAGAAATATATAATATTGCTTCTCCTCCGTTGTTAATTGTTGTCTTGATAATAAGCTCAAAACTCTCCGATTCTATTATTATTATTATTATTATTATTATTATTATTATTATTATAGGGAAAATAAGAACAAGGGAACCTCTCAATCAAAAAGAACGCCTGGGGGCATAACAGTTACGCATCTTGGCGTTGCTTAGACCTTGGAAAATAGCTTTCTTACGGTGAAAATTGGTCACGGGACGGAAGGGTTCGACAATATTTTTATATTTTTTCTTTTTGAGACATAATATTAAAGGATGGTGAAATCGACCCCTAGTTATTCTATAGTAGAGTAGATATCTCGTGGAGCTTTAAAGTCATAAAGAGAAGCAATAGTGTCTAAATCATTAAGCTGAGAGAATAGGAATTCAACATTCACAAATGAACTAATTTCTCTGAAAATAAGATATATTTAGCCTCCGTAGAGTATATGAAGATATATATTTATTTCATAACTTCTTAAGATAACAGAATCATCAGTCATATAAATGATATAGTCAGTGATGAAATGAAATTCTAAATATCTGCCTGCTCAATCAACATCTGCATAAGTAATCGTGCCACTGCGCAACCCACACCTGTGTGGGTGCGCCACCCCAAAATGATAAAAACACCAAAATGATAAAAATCTTGAATCACATCCTCATTATTGCACTATATATCAACAACCAGTAGCTAATCTATAATAAAAAGATTATCTACATCATTCCCAGTATGTGTGCCATCTCCAAATTGATTTAATTCCTCTTCTGTCAATGATGTGAGTGAGTTATTGTCAATTTTCATGGGATCAACTTCAAGTCTTCATCACTTCTTATTCTGCTCTTTTTCAGCTTCATTATCCTTACATTGCTTGATTTTTCTATTGACATCTTTAATAGTGAGGAATCCCCCTACTTGAATCTGGTGACAGATTGTTTTAGCTCTGCAGCATTTACTGATGTTGAGAAAGTTCTTTAATTTAGTGATATATTGCTTATTAAATTCTGCATAAATTAAACTTACTTTGAATATCTTGTTCAAATAACATGTCAAAGTTAGTGATTTCAAATCAAGAGTATCTCTAATACTTTGTATGGTATTTTCCATAATATTAATATGGTGTTTCAGCTTTTGAATTGTTTTTAATAAGAATAGCTGAGAAAAAAAGATAAATATGTGATCTAAATCATTCTCATCTTCATAAATCTGCATTAAAGGAGGTGATAAGATTCACTGCTTAAGAGTGTCAAGAACTCAGTCAGAATTCCATGAATATATGTCATGTTGAGCTCGTTCTGCAGCTATTATATCAGATTTAAAGGTCTGCTTTCATATAGCTGAGAGGTCTTATAGGAACTACTGTTTTTCATACTTAACAAGAACATAGCATGCAGCATAGTTGACTGCTTTTGAATGATAATGCTTATATTGCTGAAATGATAGACTATTTAGAGATTGTAGCAAATAAGTGACTTGCAATGAAAATCTATATAGAATTATCTTATGAAGATTCACATATTGTATGAACTTCTTAGTGATATGAGATTTATAATTATTCATTAAAAGCAATTAATAACTTCTCCTCTGTCTTTTTTCTGTAGCAGCATTATAATGTTTAAGTCATTCAAATTCAATCTCATCATTTGTAAATACAGTATCTGATATAGCAATTCTATAATTGCTGAGTAAATCTGTCTGCATATATCAATTATTCAAGTGTGTTTTGGAGGCCAAGATTATCAATGGCAGAATGATATAATTATCCATAGATACACATTTGATGACTGTAATCAAACCTCTTGAAAAGAATGATGAAATGATGAAATTAACTTCTTTAAAAGCAGTTATAATCTATTCTTCACATTCTTGTTCTTCTTGAAATTTAATCTTATCAAAGTTGTATGTATCACAGATGTGAAATTGATACCACTCAAATAGAATTTGAAGATATTCAAATCATGTATTGATATATTCAATATCTTAAACTGTCACTCTCTTTGAATTCATTGGCTTCTGTTTTACTATTTTATACTTAGATATTTAATGAATCTATAAGTTCACATCTTGCTGACTTTTGAAGAAGAGGTAGTAGAATCTATGTACTAACATCTGAGCATTGAATTTGCAAAATCTTCAATGTGTTCAGCTGTGAGAGGATAATTCTTTTCATCAAGCAGCTTGACTTATCATTTAATTGCATTTTTCTAACTCTTATTTAATCTCTTATTAACTGAAATCTTTGCAGTGTTCAGATTTCTTTCATTAATATACACTTAAAGACATTGATAAAAAACTTCAAATTCTTATGACAGAGACAATATTTTGAAATTTTAGTTTTTTTGATGATAAGCAACAGCTTTTTGAATATAGTCTTTGATATTTTTATTCCTATTTGATATTGTGATAAGTTATTAATTAATGGAGATGGTGAAGATGATAAAATTGCAAGATTTTTATCATTTTGATGTTTTTATCATTTTGATGTGATGTATTCACACAAAATGTGAGATTGCATAGCAGCATGATTAATAGACTTTGTATTGAGATCTTATAGTAGATGACTCTAATATCAGAAATACTTTTAGAAATAATATAAAATATTAGTCTATAAAATTATTCTTAAAAAATTTACTATTAAAAGTATAAAAATATTATCTGATAATCAATAAATAGTTAAGAAATTTTAAAAAAATATAAAATTCAGAGTTATTAAATAATTTTTAATTCAATTTAAAAAATAATAAAAATAAAAATTAAACTAAAAGATAAAATATTTAAACTTATTTATCTCAAATATTAATTTATATAAATATTTTAAAAAATAATAAAAATTTAATAGTAAAAATTTATATTTTAATAAGTAATTTAAATTTTAAAAAAATATTTAATTTATAGAATATAAAATAAAAGTAAAATAAAAGACTTCTTTAATAAAATAAAAAAATAATTTTTTTAATATAATTAAAATTTAAATATAAATAATTTAAATTTTATTTAAAAAATTAAAAACTTTATAAATTTAAAAAATCTAATTTTTATAATTTAATTAAAAATTAAATTATATATTAATAAACTATTTATTATATATTAATAATAAAGAAAATTAAAAAATAATTTATTAAATTGATGTGTACAAGTAATTGAATAGATGAAATAAATTATATCTGATTCTCTTCTAATAAGATGAGTGAATGCTCTGCTATATATACATACTATAATCACTCTATATAATAGAAGCAATTGTATAGGATAGAAAATATAGAAAAGATTGAGATCTTTGAATGAATTAAAAAGAAGTGAATAAAGAATATTCAATACTCTTTTTTATTTCATCAAGCTTAGTATTTCATTATATAGCAGTTAGCAATGCAGAGAGTTTCTTCTTATGCAGCTCACATTCACTTTCTAATATAATACTAAGCTTCATTTTACTTTATTATTCAGAATTAAGTAGAACTTGCTCAGTAAGAATCTAATAGCACATTGAGTCTTAATACAGTTAGCTCAAAACAACAACTTATTTCTTTTAATTATCAGAAAGACTCAGATCAGAATGATTATCTCAGACTTTAATATACAAAGAGATAGAAAAATAGAGATGGAATGTCAGAGATGAAACATCATAGTTTCTCTGTTCAAATGAAGAGGTTTGAATGCTCATATAAAGCAATATCAAAATAAAGAGATGGGTAAAACTGAGAGGAAGTGATTTTCTTTATTCATTTTGACATGCTATTTCAGATTTTCTTTTATCAGTTATCATAATTAATTTTATAATTCTTTCATTCCATCTCTCTTTTCTTTTCTTTTTATTCTTTGTGCAGTCATCTATGCAGTTTTTTATCATGAAGGTCTTTACAAGTTCAGAACAGTTCTGCATGAGATCACTCAAGAGTTCTCAGATAAAATTGTTGTATTTCTTTTATTTGATCTGAAGATAGATTTTTCTATCATCAATTCACTTCCTTATAATCTGTTTGACTTTGAATTATGGCTGATCATTAACTATTACTAGTTCAGACAGCAGATAATGAGTGTTTACTTCTGTTAGATTTATTTTTTCCAGGTGAATCATGAAGATTATGAAGTGTATCTGTCAATCAGATAGTAGCTTCAGTCAGAGAATAATATCAGATACTTTCTCAAGAATGTGAAATGAATCTATATATAAAGATAATAATTTTAATGATTTTCTTATAGTATAATCTTTTTGAGCTTTCTGAGTAAGGTTAAGAAATACTTAGTTTCCTATATAGAGGTCAGATAGCTGGTAGATGTGGTTAAAAACTTCTGTCATTCTCATCTAAACAAGTGCATATTGCTTGAGAACTTCTTTTTGTAGAGTATTATACTCTGTCATGAACTCTGTCATTATACTATCTTTCTTCTTATCAGCAATCAGCATTCACTGTGATTTGATCTCTGTCATAAGCTGAAATGGTAAGACTGAAATAAAATGAGCTGTAATTGAGTTAAGAGTCTGTTCTATCTGCAGAAGCAGAGTATTCCAACTCATCTTATATCTACTCACTAGAAGTGTTTGCAACATGATCTTAATGATTAGATTGCTGTTCTTACTCTGATCATTTGACTGTGAATTGTAAATAATTATCATTTAGCTTTTAATACTTATCAATCTGAGCAGATTTTTTTCAAAAGTAAAAGATGAACTTTAGATCTCAGTTGAATATAATTGCCAGCAGTGGCT